TTTTGGCTGAGGTTAGAAACATTTCTCGGAAGGTGAGACAGATAGAGAAGACCGTCTGGGAGCTAATGTATATAACTTTTGTTTTTTGGCTCTTGAATGAACAAAAGCTTCTGGTTATAAGCATTATTCTTACATTCATTATATTGTATGAATATAAAACAAACCATTGTTCCTATATATATAGCTCAGATTAATTAAAATTACGATAGTTTTTAATTACTTATTATAGATGCGCAATGGCTCCATCAAAGAAATTGTCTTATAACTAGAGCATCCTTGTATTTTCTTGGTCCAACGAGGTGGAAAGAGGAAATTAGTAGCCCAAACTGAGTTACTTCGAGAAATGGCCTCTCACTTTAATTTAGTAAATGTTGGTATCAAATTCTTAAACAGAGTTGTGATAGTTCTCTTTCCTATACAAAGTTAATTAGAGAGGACTTGTTCCCAGTTCCCACCTTAACGGAGCAAAGAAAGCTAGAAAAGCTATATCTAACATTCTCTAATAGAATGAAAGTTTCATTGATCAACCAAAAAGCATTAAAGATCAATACAGCTTTTTCATGGCTACAGTTGTTAGTACGCAACAAAATTTCATATCCCGACGCATTCCCCTTATCCGGGTTAGAAAATGGGGAAGCTGTTGAATCATGCATTTAACGGGAGGCACATGCGTTGCTATTATTATCGTTGGTGGCTCAGCCATGTAGCTTTTCTTCCAAATTGTTTGTGGGCATTGCTCTGCGAAGCCGTTGACAACAGTGGAATGGTATTTAGTGTTTTACGAGTGCAGTAGTCGACCTTTCCCAGTTACCCATCATGAATTCAACTGCTGGTGTGTCTCTGGTTGGCGTTGTGGATGATTTCTGTCACTGAGGGAAGGCTGGATGGCGAGTCTTACGATCCAATCAAAGAAGAAGACAACATGGGCATGATTTTCAGCGTTAATTTACTTCCGCTTTCGGAGGCCATAATCTACGCTCGAAATTCAGGTACCCTTCCTTCCTCTTTCTATTCTTTGGGTCAAAAGAAGATAACCGGGAGGCTCAACCCGTTTCCATGGAAACCTCTTCATTGAAGGGGTCCATTATACCCAGGCTCATATGGGCTAATTTCTTGGGCTAAATAAGTGGGCCTTCAATTCTGGACTTGTTGTTAGTTTCCCACTTATAAAGCTATCATTGACCCTGGATTTAACTGTTACTTACGAAACAAAATTAATATCCAAAAAGTAATTAAATTGCCCATCCATGAATCCATGAATGATTAAAGTTAAAAAAAAAAAAAAAAAAAAAATTAGGATTTAAATTATTATGAAAATTACTTTTCACTTTTATGAGTAGGTACTAGTCGCCTAGTTTCATGAATGAGTCGTGTCAGTCTTCTAAAGTTTGATTAAACTTCAGTGATTATATCGAATATTAATCTCCTCTTATAAGGCTTTTATTTCAATTAATACATCAACAATTTTCTACTTTTCTCTTTCGACCTTTGTTTAAATAAAAATTTTTGAATAAAATTTTAAGGCTTTGAATATTAATTTATTTAATTCAACTATATTTATACGCAAATTCATTTATAAAATCATTTAAAAATTAATAAAGATAATTTAAATTTTGCTTATTATTTTATAAAATTGTTTATATTTATGAATAAATTAGTTTATAAAATTATTTTAAAAAACAATAAAAGATAGTTTAAAATTTGCCTATTGCTCTATAATAATGATATATAATTATTATGTTTATAATTTCATTTAATTATTAATATATTTGGTGAAATTTATAATTGGCTTTTTTTTTATTTAAATTTGTTTATTCTTCACAAACATATTTTTAATTATTTATTTATAAATATGTTCATTTAATATTTATGAACAAATTTATTTAATTTAAATGAATTAAGTCCAGTTATATCTAATTTTAAATGAGTTAAACTCAATCACTATCTCACAAGTCTTTAACAAGCATGAACAATATTAAAAGTAAACGAATAATCACTAATAAAATCATATTAGTTCAAATTCAGTTTGTTTACAATTCTAATTAGTGAGTGAACTTATCTATAATTATTATGAAAATTACTAAAATTCAAATTAGAAAGGATCGAAGTTATTTTATTATAACCAACACCTGCCTATCCATGGAATTCAACTCCATATCAAACATCTCTTCCTCAATTAACTTCATCAAATAAACTAGTAATACTCATAAAATATTGTCGTTGTCCCTCTTTGTCTGAAAATTTTTTTATTATTACATGAATATACAATATAGGAAATAAAAAATTGGGAAAACGACTGCCACTTTCGTTCATTTGTTGGCATTGTAATAAGAGATACAAAATGCTTGGTAAAAGGAAACAGAGCCAACTTTGTTACCAATATAGAACTTTTCTTTGACAAAAATCAAGAGATTTTGCATTTATTTTTACATTTCTGTCATTATCAAAGCTTTTCAAAAGTTAAAGAAAGATAACATTCCCAATATTCAATCTCATAGCTAAAACCAAATTGCCGATTACTTCTAAGCTATTGATAAAAAATTAGTAGTGCCAGATTTCTTGAGACTGAATTCAAAGGGGAAAAGAGAACGCAGAGTAGTCAAAAAGGCGTCCTTGATGATGTTGATGTCCTTTTTACACAGGCGACCATGCCCTCCGGTGAAAGGAAACCATCTAATTAAGATAGCAATGTGGGGAGGGGTGAAAGTTGCATATTAGATTATTACAATGTGCCTATTTCCCCTTGCAATTGGAAGATATTGGGCTTATGATATGCCCTTAAAAATTAAAATTCATGCTCTATTTTGATTTCCTCAGCATCAACCAATAATAATTTAAGGTCTAAGGGGCAGACTATACATATTGACTAATCAATATTCTGCGAATGGTGGAATGCTATCTGCGATTTATCAGTACCATGAACGTGACACTTCACAAGCTGCCTTTTCTAGCCTTAACAAGCTTATTTGTCATAATTAATACTGCATCTCATTCCAAATCTATGGGATGCCGATGTTTGATGACATACAATCCAAGTACACCGACAGGAAAAATAAGCCATGTCCATGGTGGCTCCGGCAGGGTTCAGGGCTTTGTTCGGATACGTTTGTTTTTTTGTGGCAATGGCAATCCCCTTCTTGGGCTGTCTAGGAGGTTTGGTGGCTGAATTGGGGACTAGGACTCTCTGGCACTCTCCTCAGCGTTGTACTAATTGCAGCTGGGGTTTATGTTGTGATTGACACAGGTATTGAAGTGAAGTGAGCTTTTTCAAGCCCCGTTAGAACAGATCATTAATTTCATTTCAGAATTAATGAAGATTATGTCGACATATACATGTTTCATGTTTGTCATTAGGTTTTCAATATGTTTGCAGTGAATTGATATATGACTAATTGAGCTAAAAGTGATTCCTTGAACTTTGAAATAAAAAACAAATGATTAAAAGAAATCCATTACCGCCATCCACGACTTTAAAATCATGGATTCAAAGGTTTGAATCTATCATAATCCTCTTCAGCAAAAGACAAGGTGACAAAGTAGCAGAGAAAATAAAATTGTAGATGCTTCACCAAAGGAAAAAGTAAAAGGTACAAAACAACTTTCACGAAGGATATGTTACACAAAATATATGGTTTCTTTAATGCCACTAACCAAATGCAAAAAAGATATACCTGAACAACTTCATGGAAACTGCCCTCATAGTTTGTAGTACTTGGTTGTATGGCTAGTCCAGTGGCCACCAACCATAGCAACGATACGTATTATGATTTTCCCTCAACCATTTAGTCTCTCTTTTTGCTATTAGTCTATTTCACGCTATAGGAACTTCACATGCTTCTATGATGATAGGTACTATTTCAATTCACAGGCCACAGACACACCCACAGACAAGGCAGAGAAAATTATTCAAAAGCAATTTGAACAGGAAAAAGAAAGGGAGAAAAGAAGAATCAAGGAAACTAGACAAGCCATTCGGGTCTTGCAGTAAAGGTTGAAAAATTGCAATGTAGATATAAATTTTAAGCATGCTTAATAAAAATTGTTGGCATCTCAGCTTTTTATACCGTGGTTGAATTGATTTTAGTCAACCCCATAAATGATCATCAGTCAGAAGACTGATTCGTATGAATTTAGCAGTTAAAAGTAAGGCTGCTATGGTTATGGTGGCAGTCAAATGAAAGAAATTCACAATATGGCAATATATACCCACAAGCAAACAGACAATAATCCACTGTCAACAATAAATCAGAATATAATTTATCTCTTTGGAATTACCAATTAAACTATATATCCAAAAACACACTCAATTATTGTATAGGTTATCTCTCCCTTTTGCTTTCTCTCTAACAAGTAAGAAAAGGCCTTCTTTTCACCTTTGATTGACTACGCACTCAACAAAGCTGCCGGCTCTCTTTGTTTTTCACTACAGCCGCTCACTTCAATTTCCAAATCCCAAATGTAACTCTCGAGTATCACTATTGAAAAGAAGGAGACCATTGTTTGCCAAAGATCCTTATTAGCATCGGATCATCCAATGTGGCATACATCATAGCCACTCAAAACAACAGCAAGGCACGTGCTTTTGAAAAAGCCAAGGGCTGGACCCTAGCACCTGACGTGCTCATAAATATTTCTCTTTGTTTTTCCAAATTATGATCAGAATCAGCTCTAGATTGATGTAACTCAATTATGAGAATGAAATGATGAGAGAACGAAGCATATGTAATATGGCTGACATGGGCATGGCGGCTGCGGCATTAAGGTCTCAAAACAGACAGAAAAAATGTGTCTAACATTTGCGGGTTGGGTTATCTTTATTTGAAAATAACAGCAGCCAAATGGGTCAGTCAAAGCTTTCACTTTATCAACCTCTCCACTATTGACCCTTGTTGGGCTCCACGTTTCACCCACTCAGCGCCCACATCCACCCCAACGTCAATTATACTTTAAAAGCTTGCTGCACACAACACAACAATTATTTCAGTGCATATACAAAACAGAGATCAGATTCTCTCCTGGAATGTTCACTTATATAGAGTGGAACAAACCCTGCTGAAGAGAGAGCTTACCAAACCCCTCATTTTAACTTTGATATTTGATCACTTACCATTTTACAAAGTACAGCAGTTGCTCTATAACCCTTGAAGAAGAGAGGAGAAAGTTGGGAGAGAGAACATATAGCTCGGTAGTTATGGGTGAACTGGTGGAAGTACACTCGAGCCCAGCAACAAGACGGCCTGTGGCCATTGCAGCACCTCCATTTCAACTCAATTGCCCATCAATGACTCGATCACCACTACTTGATTCGGGCCCCAAAACCCCCAAGAGCCCCTTTGTTACACGTTTGATGACTCCTGTGGCTAGCCCCATGAAAAAGGCAATTTCAAGCATGCAAGGTTACTTGGAAGAATTTGGACACTTCACCAAGCTTGACCCACAGGAAGCTTGGCTTCCCATTACGGAGTCCAGAAATGGTAACGCATACTACTCGGCGTTTCACACACTCAGTTCAGGAATAGGATTTCAAGCGCTTGTTCTTCCTCTAGCTTTCAAAATTCTTGGTTGGTAAGAAGCCAAGCTCTATTTATCTTCTTAAAACAAAATGGAGGAAAAGCTGTCAAACCGTATGTAAATGAACTTACCTTGCGGGGATTTCGATGAAAATGAATTAAACAACTTATTCAACTTATTGCAGGGTCTGGGGAGTTATATGCCTATCACTGGCTTTTATTTGGCAGTTATATACACTTTGGTTACTGATTCAGCTTCATGAATCAGAATCTGGAATGCGGTACAGCCGATACCTCCGACTTTCCATGGCTGCTTTTGGTAAGAGCTAAGACTCATAAACGTCGAGGGATAAAGCTAGCCTGTAGAATTTAGGGGAATTTGACTCCATGCGAGCTTAACCAGTTCATTATTTTCAGACCCTCCGCTCAAACCTATGCTTCAAGCGTAATAGATGGCATCATCAGGGTTAAGATCGTGATCAAAATAGTAGTGTTCTTTTGGGGAAAACTTACGTAAAATTTTTTAGGTGAATTTTGTGAAGTTAATTTTTTTAAAAAATAATTTAATAAAAAATTTAAATTAATAGATTAATGATATGAAAATTACTAATATGTAAAAAAATTATTAAAACTATGTTTTATAATTTAAATTTGATCTATACTTATTCAATGATAAAAATTTTATTGATATTTTTATTAAAAATGTCTATTTAAAAATATATATCAAAATTTATTAAAATTTTCTTAAAATTTACATATTTGATTTATATAATAAAATCTTTCAATCTATAAATTTTGATTTTTAATTTTAATTTTTATTAATCATTATAAGTAAAAAAGTTCACAAATTTTACCTAAAAAATTTCGTATGAGTCTTCCTCTCTTCTTTTCAAATCAAATTTACTAATGTTATATATATTTACTGTTTCGGAAAGATTAACGCGTGAATTGTTATAGCTTAGGACAAATTATTTATTTCTGTCATGTCATGTTTCTCTGTAGTTTTGCATGCTTCACATAATTTAGCAAACTTTGAGAATTGAAAGGTACCAATGGAAAAGTCTGTTAAGAAAATAAATGGTGATCTTAATCTTTTATGATCTTCCTTCCGCATATATTTATTAATCTAAATCTAATAAAAAGTGTTGTTTGATCTGATTGAAGACTTTAGTAAAAGTTGAAATCCTAAAGTTAAACTCTAATCAAATCTTTTTTCACATGCCATGATTTGACAAATTAATTATCGTGTCCATGCTTTTGTACGAGATGAACTGTATGGCATATACATGAGCTAGCATCGACCAGTGCATTGACATGGACCGTATGGTAAAATTATGCATGGGAGACTTGAGAGTGAATATCCTTTTCTTTTGTCAACTTTGAATCTTTGGATTAATTAAGGAAAGTAACATATCAATGTTTTCAGGAGAAAAACTAGGGAAACTACTAGCTCTTTTCCCCATCATGTATCTATCGGGCGGTACCTGCGTGACCTTGATCATGATCGGAGGTGGGACCATGAAGATTTTCTTCCAGATCATGTGTGAGAACACATGCAGCGTAAAACCACTCTCTGTTGTAGAATGGTACGTGGTGTTCACTTGCTTGGCCATTATTCTGGCTCAACTTCCCAACTTGAACTCTATTGCCGGAGTTTCCCTTGTTGGAGCAATCACGGCCATCAGCTATTGCAGTTTGATATGGATTGTGTCTATTATTCAAGGTAAGCCGGAGGCCGTGTCCTATGACCCGCCTGAGGCAAAAACGGAAGTGGCCAGGCTTTTCAATATTTTTAACGCACTTGGGATAATCGCGTTTGCTTTTAGAGGCCATAATCTCGTGCTAGAAATACAGGTAAGGCAATCAGATTTCAGATGAATTTATAGGCTTTACCTTGTTTGTAATCCATAGATGCTTTCTATAATAAACTTTTATTCTTTTCTCTCGCACAGGGTACAATGCCTTCCAGTGGAAAGCACCCTTCCCGTCTACCAATGTGGAGAGGAGTGAAATTCGCGTACTTGATTGTTGCGACCTGCTTGTTTCCCCTTGCAATCGGTGGCTATTGGGTTTACGGAAAGTTGGTAAGATAAATTGCTCTCCTTCGTCTATATATAAACACACTTGGGCCATGCCCATAAATTCCTTGTGGCTAATAGATATTGGTATTATTCCTAGATGCCTGAAAATGGAGGGATGCTAGGTGCTTTGTACAAGTACCACAAGCACGACACATCAAAGTTGCTTCTAGGGATAGCAAGCCTACTCGTTGTAGTTAACAGCCTCAGCTCATTTCAAATATATGCTATGCCCGTATTCGACAATTTGGAGTTCAGATATACAAGCAAATGGAGAAGGCCATGTCCGCAATCGCTTCGCACAGGTATCAGAGTTTTCTTCGGATGTTTGGCATTCTTTATTTCGGTGGCACTACCATTCTTGCCAAGCTTGGCGGGGTTGATCGGGGGGATTGCATTACCGCTCACTTTGGCATATCCCTGTCTCATGTGGGTGATAATCAAGAAACCTCGGAAATTCAGTCCATGTTGGTGCCTCAACTGGGGACTCGGAGTATTAGGAATGGTCCTCAGTGTCTTAGTGACTACTGGAGCAATATGGGGCATAGTGACCAAGGGAATAAAAATTCACTTCTTTAAACCCCAGTGAGCAACGGCTGCATGATCATAGATCTTGCTTATCAAGACTGACCAACAAGCCTTTGATCTCCTAAACTGAATACCACGAAGGAAGCAACAATGTCAAACATGTGCGACTTCTTTGAATGGTCTTATAATCCCTGTGCATTGGCTTAAGTCTTAACTGATATATACATATAAATCCTCGTGTATTACACCTTAATATATATGAAATCACCTTATCAACATGCCTGTTTGCCAAAACATAAGAGTAGCATAATTTTATCTTCAGTTAATTTGTGAAAACCCACGGACTCCGAACTTTATACTCCCTAAATTGACAAATTCACAATAGTAAAACCCAAATAAGCCAAAATTTGCAAGAATTTAACTCTTTTATCAACTGGGAAACTGTAAATCATGTATAATATTTATCTGTTACATATCAACTGTATGGGTACATCATACATGCAAAAATGTTTCAACCACTCATAGCACCCATTTCTATCCTCTGATGTCTTTTAAACTACAACCAAGTCTAAAGAAATTACAAAATAAAGCAAATATTGTTAACTAAATACCCACCTGATTTAGAATTCCAATATAGTTTCTCAGAGCCACGCATACGGTGCAAAGGTAGTGAGAAAGACACCATACCTTAAAACTAACTGCAACTAGTTCAATTAGAACATCCCAACATTCCATCTCAAATCAATAGACTCACCCCGGTTCACCTACGTTTTAGGTGATCATATCAAATCATATTCCTTCATTGGCTTGCTTCAGGAACAATTACATGTTTCAATAGACCAGAGCAAGCGTGGGCCAAATGCAATAATCAATAAATCTCAAATTTATAAGACAAAGTTGGTCACTTTCAAACAAATTCAAGCTTCATGAAGTTCTACATAGATAATGGAAGAAGCATCCTTCTTTTCTTTTTCCTAGCCAATCTCACTTGCTTTGTGATTTTCATGCAGAGAAGCAATAGCATTGTGATGCATACCAGGATAAAGGCAAGTTGCATATGCCTAAAATATAAAGAAACAGCCGAAAAAACCAGGAAAGCTAAAATAATGAGTTCCCATATAACAAAGACCACAACATCCACCCTGCACCCACAAAACAGTAAAGAAAGCACAACTATTAGAATCAGTCTTATCCTGAGACAGAGAAGAACAAACAGCACAATGAAGACAAAATAAACAGATCCCAATAAAACTACACAGATAAGCATTCTAGATGTTACATACTCTAATTTATTTTCCCCAACAAAAAGGTGGAATCTCCTGCCACATACAATTTATTAATCTCAATCATAACCTTACAAACATGTCAAAACTAGGACAAAGTACAAACATATCAAAGCAATGAATATTTTCCATCCATCAATAACACAAAAATCTCAAATGCACACATGTTGCAAAGCACAGATCCAAGGCTACCAGATATTTATTTTCAATTTCTAGCACCAAGAATTCCTAATTTGAGCAAGCATCTGAATAATATGGACTCCTAGCCTAGCCCCCCATAACCTGAACATATCCAAACAATTATATAAAGCACCAATTGCCAGTGGAGTTAGCAAGCATTCTGGTCTTGTAGATACTTCATAAAAGCTATGGAAAAACTTTGAGATACAAACGACACACAATCATAACAGCTAAGTGAATGGCAAGATTGAAGCACACATGTATACTCCTACAATCAAACAGTTAGTTTTAAACCAACCACACAATTCAGTCAATTGAAAATATACAATATAGAAAACAAGACAAGTAGAAAAAGCAAGAGTTGATAATAGCAGTATAACAAGTATTAACAACAGAATATAATTGTTGGTACAGAATTAACAAAATGTGATACAACAAACTCCCACAAATCAACTACACAAAACAACCCTCGCCGCCACAGGCATGTTGTTTAAGCCACCTAATTTTCTATTTCTGATGAAAATTAAGATGAATCAACAATTTCAAAGCATCCTTTTTCTTTACTTTCTGAGGGCTAATGCACATCGTAAGGACTAACTCCAGAGTCAAGTTCTCTTTCTTTGACCACCTAAAATTTCAATATTCAAAGAGATAATTTAATGACTACGAGAATCTTTCAAGCTTTTTTTCTCCAATTCCTAATACATGTATCAATAGATTGAGAAAATGAAATCAATAAAGAAACAAAATGTTCAAAATAAATTCAAAATATATCATAATCAAGAAGCTACAGCCGAACCTTTTAACCTAATTATTCTATAAAAGTCAAGCTTATTCGGTAAGGATTCGATCGAAGCTCAAATGAAGAACATTTCATAACCAGCTCGTTAAGCATGAAGATCTGGTTAAAGAATCAAGACCAGAAAAAAAAATCCTAAATTTCAATCATATATTCGAAAAAAGAAAAATTAAAAGGCAAAAACGATGGAATTGGGTTTACCTAGAAGATGTAAGATTAGACGTTGATGAGAAAAACGAAACGGAGGCCCAATCGTGCTTAGATCGAATCTGATACTCTCTCAACTGCTCTGCTAAATTCGATCGCGTTATCATCACTTCCCTTCTTCTTTCCCTGCCTTTCGGCTTTATGCTTTGTTTGGGTTTGGATCTCAAAAATTCTTTAAATTTTGAGAATTTGCAGAACAAGATACGAATTGGAGCTAGAATAAAGGGAAGGGAGAGCATCAATGTTCGATTCAATTAGGCCTTTGTTCGTTGCGTTGGCGTTGCGTATAACCTTTCCCCCTCCTAATTTTCTCTCTTCTGCAATCGCCTTCTTTTTTTTTTTTTTTTTGCAAACCAACAAAAATATTAAGCGAAACCACAGCCGGCACTTTTGACGGTTTTCTATATAACTACGGATGACCCCATCGGGCTTATATGAGAATGTGCTATATATATATATATATATACACTTGCTATGGGCTGATTTTGTAATCAAAATAAAAATTTTATAAATAATGATAATTGAGGGGATTTTTTAACGAAATTTGAAGCTTACTTATCAACAATTTTCTTTTAATTTGATGTAGCTTAAACATTTTAAATTATTTACTGTTGTGCATGTCAAATTGGTAGTTGTGTATTACTGATTCTTGGATAATAAATTCACTATTTATTAAAAAATATTTTAAATAATTTTTATACAATACACGACTTTGTTTGTTAAAAAAAAAATGATATTTTATTTACGTATTAAATTTGCATTTTTAAGGATGAACAAGGTTTGGATTCTAAATGGTGATAACTCTAAATAATTAAGCTGATGTCTGTTGTGATATAATTATTTTTAAAATCATAATAATTTACATATAATAATTATTTTTTTAATAAAAATTCAGCAATTTTACATGTCGATGATTTTCATTTACAAAAAATTATTAAATCATTGATTTGATGAATAATTTAATTCACACCCAAATGAGTTTAAAAAAAAATATCATTGATATGAAGTGAGTTGTAAAATTGATTATAGTTAATATTATTCATTTAACGTGTGACTTAAAATTTTATTTTATTTTTAAATTATAATTATTTTATATTATAAATTGTTACCTTTTAAAAATAATCTTCCTTGAACCAAATTCAAATATAAATTGCATGGTTCTTTTAAATCTTTTTAATGTTACATATAATTTTTTTTATTTTCTTTTATTATTGTTTTAATATAATTAATTTTCTTTATTCATTTTGGACATAATTTAAATAATAAAAGTTAGTTTACCTGTATTTATAAGTTCAATAATTTAGTTTTTTTTTGTTAAGTTTAATAATTTTGTTATACTTTTTTTGTGAAGTTTATAAAATATTGTTATTTTTTAATAAATTATTATATATTAAGCAATACTGAAATTTTTAAGTTGTATAATTATTAGGATATAATTATTTTATTATATTTAATAGGATATAATTATTTTAATATTTATTCATGATCAATTTATTTAGAAAACAAATCGTGTTATATGTTATTTTAAATTAAAAAAATGACATATTAGTATAATGTTCAAATCATGATATTAGTATTTGTTCTAGTAGTGTTTGGAATTGCCACCAAAAAAAGGGAAAGTATCATCCACTACGGGGTTATGCTCGTGTCTATTGTTTTTAATATGTTCGTCGGTTTAGGGTAAATGATACATTATTATTTTTGTATTAATTTGATTCGGATAAGATAAAATTTAAAATTAATTTGATTATTATCGAATCGAATTTATGTTTAAATAATTTAACTTATCAAGTGAATAAAGTTTAATTAATTTAATACTCGATTTGAATAATTTAATTTATATTTTAATATCATTTTATTTTTATATTGAATTTAAATTTAAATTCAAACACAAATAATATAATTTAAAATCGAATATAAAAATTAAATTTATTTTTTATTTAACAAATGAATACAAACGAATAAATTCAAATTGCTTGATTTTTATTTCAATTCAAACTTAAAATTTAGAATTCGTTTGAATGTTATATAAATTATTAAAGTCATATTTATGAATAGTAATTAAAATTATATTAAAAAAAAATGGAGAGTAACCGAACCTTCCTATGACGCAGTAATCGATAGTTGATTCCAGTCAGTTAAGACCCGAGCACGTCATCAACCCAAACAAGGGCTGGGCTAGAGTTACGCCCAAAGTTAACGAGCACTATAAATGGGCCCACTCTTAAGAAACTGCGGGCCTACTGAATAGCATTCGAAACTCTTGCCATTCTTAACTTGGATAATAAGGCCCAAACGAAACCACTCAAATAGACAAATGTCCCAAGGACTTCTTTATATTTTTTTGGTCATTTTTGTTTGAGAATCAAATATTCTCATTTCTCAAACAGTTTCTCACATCACGCACCAATACCGAAGCAGCAAAACTCGTGAGGCCTATGTTGTTGTAGCAGCAAAAGCTGCAAAACTCGCGAAACTATTGTCATTGTCTGCTTGTGAGTTACTCAAGTTTAACTAACTTGTTCATTATCTATTTGAGTTTGATGTATTTTTATAACAACGGTATTGAGTTTGAATGTTTTAATAGTTAAAAGATTTAATTTTTTATTTTTTAATATATTTTATAAATATTTATAAATAAATAATAAAATAAAATATTTAATATTTATATATTAATTTTATTAAAATAAAATTTGAACAAATTTAAATATATTACAATCAAGATTTAGTATAAAATATTATTTATAAGATGTTTTTTTGATAAAAAAATTTTAATGGTTAAAAAATTTAATATTATCTTATATTTTTAATAATTTATTATTTTGTATATATATTTAAAATATTTTAATTACTCACAATATTTATTCACAATAATATTAAATACTTAAAATTTTTAATCATAAATTTTAAATGTATTTTTTCAACTACAACACTAACATTAAACTATCCGTTAGTTTAGGTAAATTACAAGAGCCGAATGCCCAATTTCTACTTATAAGCGTTTTAAATTTACAAAATTTGTCACCTAGCATCCACCTTATCCAAAAATTGATAATCGATATTTTATTATTTTAATTCTACTAAACTATAATAATGGCTTGTATTGATGCCAATGTCTTTTCATTACCGATTACACAACGTTTGGGAAATTGCAAACATCTAGAACCGGTCACATGCGCAAAATCCCAAACCGCCCGCTTGTCCAAGACGCTCCGGCCCAAGTAAAATGTCTCCCGAAAGTGATTGGAATTGCAGTCAGATAAACGACAACGAAGCCCACCAGTCAGTGGGCCCCTCCTAAACCTAACAGTGGCAGATCTCGAAGCTTCTTTCTTCTCAATCTTCAATCTTCCCGACGTGATTGACACGTGGCCCAATATCCTTCTCTTGTCTGGGTCCCTTTACCGACCTTCCCAGGCCGACACTTTCGGGTCCCGCCAGTGACAACTCTCCACGTTCTTCTTCCACGTGTCACAATTCGAATGGTAGCATGCTCGCATAGCCAGTAGCACAGAGTGTCTATAATTTCCTTTTTTTCTACTTTCTTCTTTCCTGTCTTTTGACTGTTACTTTCCACCAGCGCCAGCTTATAAGGCACGCCTACACTTGCTGTAATTAGAGGGCACATATGCTCTTAAGACAGATGTCGAACAGAGAAAGTGAGTACATTAAAATTTTAATCTGCCCGAGAGAGTATTTTGTTTTGACACTTTGCCTTGTTTTAAAGCACAAAGTCGGTTACAGGAATGGCGCTCGATTGGCTACCCCATATAGCTTCTTTTGATTTTTTAATTTTCTTTTTCTTAATCGCGTCATATCCGCGTCGTGAATGGTGCTTTGGATGCTATAAAATCCCTGTTTCTCTCATTTCTCAAAAGCCATCTATTAGTAGCCAACTTTGTATAAGTGAAGTGATCAGCAAACTTTTAGTTTCATTTGTGTTTTGTTCAAATACACTAGCGAGCTTTGATCATATTTGTTTTAGTGCTAGTTGATCAAAAAAATGGCTGAGGAGCATCCCAATGTTGGTGGTGAGGGAGCAGTGGAGATCCAGGAGCGAGGGTTGTTCGATTTCATGGGGAAGAAAGAGGGGGAGAAGCCTCAAGAGGAGGTGATCGTTACTGAGTTTGAGAAAGTTAAGATAGAAGAGACAAAGGTAGAGGGACACAAGGGAGAGGGAGAGGAGAGGAAGCAGAGTCTCCTGGAGAAGCTTCACCGATCGGATAGCAGCTCCAGCTCTGTAAGTACTTTGACTTTCTTTTATGTTGTTAATGGCAACTTGCCACTAAAACAGTATTGTCATAATTTTACTTAGCATTCAATCTTTCTTGTGAATGTGCAGTCTAGCGATGAGGAAGATGAGGAAGGAGAGAAGAAGAAGAAAAAAAAGGAGAAGAAGGGACTGAAGGAAAAGATCGAGGAGAAGTTAGGAGGAGAAAAGAAAGAAGAGGAGGTCAAGCATGAGGAAACCACAGTCACTGTGGAAAAGTGTGATGAGCCAGTGGTTCAGCCAGAGACGCCAGAAAAGAAAGGCTTCCTTGAGAAGATCAAAGAGAAACTCCCTGGACAACACAAGAAAGCTGAAGAGGCAACCACCCCCCCACCACCCCCAGCTGAGTGCGTTGCCACTGAGGCACCCCATGAAGGTGAGACGAAGGAAAAGAAGGGAATTTTGGAGAAAATCAAGGAGAAGCTTCCTGGTTACCACTCCAAAACAGATGAAGAGAAAGAGAAAGAAAAGGAGAGTGCTTCCCATTAAAGAACAAATATGAACTTCAAGTAAACATGCTGATGGGTTGTGCGTGGTTTCTTAATTTGTTGAAATTATCTGTTTTTCTTGGGTTTGTATATTTCATACAAGTTTCTCTTCTTTTTTTTTTTTTCTGCTTAATGTTTAAGTTTGGCATATAAGAAAAAGATTTGAATGTTTATTTAGGGTTTTTAACTTTATAATGATATATGTGAGAAACGATATGTTATTTTCTTCCTTTCTTTTTGTGATTTGAACAGTGTTATTAATGGATCAATTTTTCCTTTTCTTGTGTATGTTAGTCTTAGTTATCATTTCTAGTACCACTCCTCCCACTAGTGTCTCTACATTTTTCTAAATGAATAATAATTAATGAAAAGTAATGAAGAAGTTTGGATAAACTTTAGCCACTTGGATAAGTTCATAATATCACATCATGCTTCTCCGAATGAGAGAGGTCACTTCGGTTGGCTTTAGCCACTTGGATAAGTTCATAATATCACTATCATGCTTCGCCGAATGACAGGTCACTTGGGTTTGGCTCACATCTTGCTACCATGAATGAGAGATCACTTTCGGTTTCGCTCGCATTTTGCTGCTATAAATGAGAAATCATTTGGGTTTCCGTTTGGGTTTTGGCTCACATCTTGCTTCTATGTACGAGAGAGAGGCCACTCGGGTTTGGCTAACATGCATCTTGCTTCTCTGAGTAAGAGACATGGGTTTGGTTCGGTTTTCAAATCTAAATCAATTAAAACTAATTCAAAGATAGTCAATTATTCAAGTTCTGGTTCTTTCAAAAAAAAAAAATTCATGTACGTCACCGCATTCTTGATGGATTTGGTAGATACATATACAACAGGGCCTAGAAATTTCTGAATTTTGAAGTATTGATCAATCAAATATATGATTAAAAGTTAAAAAAAAAGTTTTAAATGTGTGGAAGTATCTCAATTTTATGCAAATATTCCAAGGGCAAAACAGATCGAGCATTACTTTCCACCAAGAAGGAAAGCGTAAAAGGTGGCATAGTCATGAGCTCCTGTCATTATTGGACCAACCTTTTGTTACAAATTAATCAATGAAGTTGAATAGTTCAAACATTTTTTAACTTCAAACTTACACTTTTCTTTATGTCGTTTCCTTTTCTAATGGATGAGGGCATGGATATATATATATATATATATATGCATAGATTCATCAGGTTTAAACTTTAAAAGACATTAAGTGGTACAATAGCTTTTCTTTCCTTTCCTTTCCTTTCGGTTTCTTTCGGTTGAAATGTCACTTGGAAACATGTCCACTGGCTATTAGCTAGCTCAGTCTTCACGTCCCTCAGTGAACGGTCACATTTGATGCAGAAAGCAATTTTAAACGTACCAAAACGATGAGGGGTGCTCTTGAATCTTGATGGGACTAGGGTTCTATTACCATTTTTGTCTGTGTTTTTTTTTTTTTTCTTCTAATGTTAAAAAGTTTTACATTAGAACCTAACGACAAGAACATAGTACATTTGAAGTGCTAATTGGGTCAATTCTTCATTTTTTCTTGCATTTAAACTAAAAGTAACAGTTTTTAAGTTTTTATTTTTATCCAGATTAATTATATGTAAATTTAATCTTGTTTTTATCAATTAATCAAGTCAGCTAATCATAAATAATAGTTTTCGAATTCTATCAATCCAATATATATATGTGATCATCTAAACAAAATATTGTAATTTTTCATTCAATGAAAATGAATGTGATTTAACTTAAATTAACCAAAATGATCATGGTTTCTCTCATTGATCATGGTCATTATTGTGGCATAATTCCTTAACTTTGATAAAACTCTTCAGCTGTACATGTTCAGTTTCCATAAATCCTGTTCATCCAATAAATGAGTTCATCTATAGATCTTTTCAATTTTATGAAGAGCTCCTGTGACTTATAGAAGGAACTTCTATTTTTCAACCACAGAACCCTGTACTATATTTATATCTGTTGAGTGATCCCAAAACCAGCCCTTCAAGTTAAGGTATTCATTTTTAAAGGACGCGTTGCCGAAATATAAACTTTAGAAGTTTACACTTCGCAAAAGAGTGTATTTTTTCTGGTTAAAAAAACCTAGGTGAGGGCCAAGGGCAGACTACCAATTGCAAATTTCATGATCAAAGATCATATATTTCAACGATGATTTATATTAAATTTACATATCATTTATCAAATGAACTATTAAAGTCGAAATTAAAATATAAATTTTATAAATAAAATATTTAATTTTTATCAACTTAACTAATCTGTTGACGCAGAAGAGTATGTATAATAATCAAATATTTTTGAGACTTCTGTGGCATCCCAATGAAAATAATTAAGCCTTTTTTTCCTTAAGCAAATGGAAGACTAAACTCTTAGAAGATATTTTGACATACAAACCACCTGATATATAAATGAAGTGTTGCAACAAACTGCGTCGTTTAACGAGAAATAAAGCTATTTGATGACATGAAATGAAAATTTTGATGCATTTTGTCTGCGCGGGGCGCAAAAAAAGACTAATGCTGCCGCTTAAGCAGCATAATACATTTGACAATAGACGAAGCCCACGCCTTGTCAATCTCCCTTATGCGGAACAACCCAAGAAATGATGCTCTTGTGACAATTCAATTTTCAAACCCCTTAGGAATATAGACAAAACCAGCTGACGATCCCCTTTTAATTATTCCATGAATCGAATCTGCTCACTAAATACTAAGAAGCGTTATAGCGTGAGAAAAACTAGGAAATCCATAGCTAAAGCTTTATATATAGCTTCATGGCTGATGGATTATATAGTTAGAAACAGACTGATCTCTCAACAGGCAAAATGCATAAACACCTCCATTTGCTATCAATTGTTGTCGCTGTTTGTACAGCTTTTTCCTTGATAAATGAAGTTGATGGAGACTACTTGATTGGAGTAGGGAGCTACGATATGACAGGTCCTGCTGCTGGGGTTAACATGATGGGCTATGCTAATATGGAGCAGAGCACAGCCGGCATCCATTTCCGACTAAGAGCGAGAACTTTCATTGTTGCTGAAAGTTCCCAAGGTGCAAGGTTTGCTTTTGTTAATCTTGATGCAGGCATGGCATCACAGCTTGTCACTATAAAAGTGCTTCAGAGACTCAAAACAAGGTAAACCCAAGTCATGCAAGAAAAATTTAACTTCCAATACCTTGACACATTACCTTTTTAAACGAGAAATGTTTCCTTTTGAAGGTTTGGAGATTTGTATACACAAGAAAATGTGGCGATCAGTGGCACTCATACTCATGCTGGGACTGCTGGTTACTTGCAGTACGTGATTTACTCTATTACTTCTCTAGGGTTTGTCAACCAATCATTCGATGCAATTGTCAAGGCAATTGAGCAAAGCATTGTCCAGGCTCACAACAACCTCAAGCCTGGCTCAATCTTCTTGAACACAGGTAACGGTTTAATTTGCTGACTTGGAATGCTTAACTTTTCTTCTTTTTGAAATTCTTAATCTACTTTTAATGCCCCTCTATCCTACTACATACTTGACTGAAGAAGACATTATACGCTTAAGCTTTCTGAAACTTATAACCTCCAAATATCAATTCTAATAACATGACAGCTTTCTGAAACTTATAACCTCCAAATATCAATTCTAATAACATGACAACTCTTATCCAAGAATAGTCGGAATGCTTAATTTTTTTTTTCCATGAAAGGATGAACGTCATAAATGAGCAAATTATCATGACATGTCATTTTTGTAGGGGACGTGGAGAATGCGGGAATCAACAGGAGCCCAAGTGCGTACCTGTTCAACCCACCAGAAGAGAGGGCTAGATATTCCAGCGACGTCGATACAACAATGACCCTGTTGAAGTTTTGGGATCCTGAGAGCAAAAAGAGCATAGGTGCATTCAGCTGGTTCGCCACGCATGGAACGTCCATGAGCCGAGACAACAAGCTCATCAGCGGAGACAACAAGGGCGCTGCTGCCAGGTTCTTCGAAGACTGGTTTACTTTTGGCAACAAATCCCTCTCTACTCCAATAACCAAGTCTTCTGCCAAGCCAGGTAGGCATATCTCCGTTTACCCTCATCAGTTTTGGTTAAATTCAGATTATGAACAAAAGAACTTTTTTTTTATGATAAAACAAGTGCTCAACTCTTTGACTAGTGGTTAAGGAAGTGTTACACTATATTTGGATTGAGGGAAAAAGAGAAAAGAAAAAGAAAATAAAGTAAAGTAATGAAAATAGAAAAAAAAAATTTTTGTTTGGATATATTTTAATTTAAAAATAAAAAATAAAAACTCAATAATATTTAGTTTCTCTTATAACTTTCATTTTTTTAATACCTCAATTTAGAAAAAAAGTTAAGAAAAAAAATTGAAAAAATTTTATTTTTATAAAAAGACTATTATATCTATTCTTTTATTAATATTAAAAATTTAGTCAAAAAAACCTATCTACATCATAATTTTTTTGTAATTTTTTTAAAACTATCTCTTTTTTCAAGTAAGTTTTACATATTTCTTCAAACATAAAAATTTTTATAATTTTTTGATGATTTGATTTTGATGAATGATTGAATATGAATAAATATATTTTTTAGGTTTATGAGATGAATATTTTTATATGATTGCATTTTTTATATTTAATAGCTTTTATATAAATACATCATCAATATGATAGTATGCTGAAATTTTATAACCAAAAAATTTATCAATGCATATTTATAAAACATTTTTTTGTTTTACTTTAATTAAAAACTATTGATATAATAGTAATTGTAATATCATATAAAATAGCAAATATATCATAATTTAGAAGTACTTTAAAATTACAATGAATAAAATGTTATAATTAAAAAAAATTATTATAATGCATCATTTATTTTTTTAACTTTTTATCTAAATAATGGGTATTAAAATTCTTTTTTTTTCTTTATTAATTTTAATTATTCAAATAAAATTACATATAGTATTTTCTTTCCTATAAAAAACTTTTTTTTCTTTCATAAATATTTATCCAAATATTAGCTTAGAGAATATAGAGGTTTTAATTTCAAGCAAAGACCTTCCTCCCGATGGGCTATACTCATCCTATGAAAAAAATAAAGTAAAACAATCAATTCCGTGCACTAATCATACATGTTTTTACAAATTTTTTAAAAGTAGAAACCAGCACGTTAATAAAGAAAGCTCAAACAATCAAGGCCACGGGAGGAAAGCCCTGTGGGAAAACAACCAGCCAAGGCTTCAAGGTGAGGAAGAACGATGGGTCCGGATTTGTGGGAGCATTCTGCCAATCAAATGTTGGAGATGTGACACCAAATGTGCTAGGAGCATTTTGCACAGACACTGGGAAGCCTTGTGATTTCAATCGCTCCTCTTGTAACGGCGATGACCAGCTTTGCGTTGGCCGTGGCCCTGGGTATTTACATCTTTACCACATGCTTAAGTGACTGGTTCGGCATGTTTTCATCAATTAATTGGTTTGGGCTTTGATTGAAAAAAAAATCTTAAATTTGTATAACAGATACCCAGACGAAATATTGAGCACAAAGATAATAGGAGAGAGGCAATTCCAAAAGGCCGCGGAGCTATTCAATTCTGCTTCTAACCAGTTGAGTGGAAAAATTGATTATCGCCATACGTATCTAAACTTCACTAACATTGAAGTGGAATTGGATGACAATACTGTAGTAAAGACTTGTCCGGCAGCTCTTGGACCGGGTTTTGCTGCTGGGACTACAGATGGGCCTGGAATGTTTGGTTTTCAACAAGGCGACACAGAGGTTAGCCATTAGCAGTTGGTACCCATCTTATCGGGCGATAACTTGTTACTTGGGTCTGTTGTGTCTGAATTCCTGAGATTCTGATGTCTCTTTTTGTGCAGATCAATGAGATGTGGAAAAGGTTAAGGGATATCTTGAAAGAGCCCAGCCGATATCAGGTGGATTGCCAAAAGCCCAAGCCTGTTTTGCTTAGCACCGGCGAAATGCTTGTTCCTTATGCCTGGGCGGTAAGACCATCTTTTTGTTAATACATCCAGTCCAATTTAGCTCACATCAGAAAAAGAAAAGGCCAAAATACAGAATCGGCCATCGAACTGTGCAAAATGGGTCATATTGGCCCTATTTTTTATTTGGATCAATTTGGTCATTATACTATTATATTTGTTGATTCGGGTCCATCTAATTCTTTAGTAACATTATTTGAAATCATTATGGTCCTAATTTTACGGAAACCAGTCTCTTGTAGTCAGTGACTAACGGCTCCTTCAACAATCAAAAGCCAGGTTTACCCAGAGAAAAGAGAAAAGGAACTCCAATTTTGTATTTTTACTTTCATTAAACTGTCTCAAATCGCTCCACATTTTTGCAGCCCGCAATTCTTCCAATTCAAATGCTGAGGCTGGGAAATTTTGTTATCGTATCTGTGCCTGGAGGTTTGCTTTCTGTTGACTTATCCTTCACCTATTATCTTTGTGTGACTAAGGACACAGTTCTTGCAGTTACATAACAAAATAACTCATTTGCCCTCGTTTTCGGACAAAATCAGTCACACAATGCTGCAAAATCTACCTAATTTTCTTAACTAATCACGTTCTCAAAACTTCGAGTTTTGCAGAGTTTACGACTATGGCTGGTCGGCGACTGAGGGAAGCAGTTAAAGAGACATTGATAAGTAATGGAAATGGAGATTTTAATGATAAGACACATGTTGTAATAGCAGGGCTTACAAACACGTATTCTCAATATGTAGCAACTTTTGAGGAGTACAAGCAGCAGCGGTACGAGGTATGGACTACTACAACAACTCTGATCAAACAACAAAGCTGTTAAGAAGCTGCTTTTCAATTCAATATCTCATATGTTATGAAATATGCAGGCTGCTTCAACACTTTATGGTCCTCATACATTATCAGCTTATATCCAAGAGTTTAAGAAACTGGCAAAAGCAATGGCTACAGGGGAACAGCTCGGTGGGACAGACTTGTTACCGCCGGATCTTTCCTCTGTTCAACTCAGCTACTTACTAGACCCTGTAGGAGACTCACCGCCTCCTGGCAAAAAATTTGGTGACATTAATCAAGATGCTGCCCAGCCAAAAGGCCGTTCTTTCACGAAGGGAGATAAACCAAGTGCTATATTTTGGAGCGCGAACCCAAGATATGACCTGTTGATTGAGGGCACATTTGCAGTAGTAGAGATGCTTCAAGGTGAGAGGTGGATTCCAGTTTATGATGACGACGATTTTTGCTTGTATTTCAAGTGGAAATTAGATAACATCACTTTTTATGGTTTAGCAACCATTGAATGGGAAGTCCCAGAGGAGGCTGCCTCCGGGGTTTATCGGCTCAGGCACTTTGGGTCATCTAAGAAAACCAAGGACTCTCCAAACGAGTACTTTACAGGAGCATCTAGTGCATTCACAGTGTCATGAAGACCACCAGTGTGCAGAAAATAAGCATAAGGCAAAGCTGTCCATTGACATAAGTTTTCTGAGATTTTGAATCCAGACAACTGTAACTCGTTGAACTTTAAAAAGTAGCATACATATGGATCTCAATCTTACAAAAACCAGACAGTTAATGATGACAATATCAGAGCACATGCACAAGTAAAGCCTTTTATTAGTAAAATATAGCCCAAGTGACATGACAGGAAATCACTCATTTGTCCATCCATATCACACATCGGATGCTCTTCCCTTCCGTAAGTAATTCAAAGGCTTTGTTGATGTCTTCAAACTTCACCTCATGAGTGATAAACTCGTCTACCTGCAATTCCTGGAAAAATATAAGTAGTTAAGCACACATCTACAGACTCAGTTCACGATAGACATTCCATAAAACCAGAGGGAGAATCTTTCACATTAAATGTCTTCATGGAAAACTGGGGACAAAAAGAGTTGGGTTTGGGGGTTTCCATTCTTCTGATCCACGAATAATGCAAAATCACTGCAACTAACATAGCATGGCAGGCCACTTGATGGCCTCAAAAGTATATAGTAAGTTTAAAACACAATATAGGCTTGACGATCAAGCTAAAACAAGCAAAAATACAATTAAAAAAAGGAGTAAAGAAAGGAAATAAACTAATAAATGTAATTATTTACCTTGTCCATATAACGTTTTAGTAGAACTGGAAGGTCAGATTTAGCTTTCATTCCGCCAAACAAGGCTCCAGTAAGGATTTTACCAGAATGAAGGACATCAAAAGAGCTGAAGCTCAATTGTGCACCTGGCTTGTCCACTCCCAAAACGACGGTCTTTCCCCAACCCTGCAGTTATACACAAAGCTTAAGATCTGTGGATTATTTTTCTTAGAAAGAGCCTCATAATTACAAGTCTTATCTTTACTTGAGTTAGCCATAGCTCAAGCTGGATGTGGATTTTAGAATTTGCAAGCCAAAAGTCAGAATACTACAGAGTACAGATCATATAGTTGTCATATCTGGAAAGTACTAATCTTATCATTTGTAATTATATATCAAATTGTTCAAAGAAAACAAACAGCAAGACAACCAATTATGGGGAACATATGCCTTAGTATGTGATTAAATGTACGTGTCTATCAGAGAGAGGGAAGAGGATACCTTTCGGCAGCTTGCATAGGCTTCTTGTACCAAGGATGTCAATCCAACACATTCAAAGCAATAATCTGCACCACCTCCAGTTATCTCCTCGATTACCTACTCAAAGTTGGATAGGAAAAAAGAAAACCTGAAAGTTAGTAAATTAATCAGTTAGCCAAGAATCAAGATAAATGTTGCAGTTTTTCAAAACATTGTTGAACAAAAAGATTTGAGCTCCCTCATTAAAACTGCTAGCGGCCAACAGAAAACGTATTATGCATTTTCTTTAAACAAAGCATCATAAAAATAACAGGGTGTTCATTTGCCTATCAGGCTATCAAAAAGGAAAATGATCCATCTCATAGATCAGAAGCCATACGGACTTAAATATCTTATGGTCAACCTCATTGTATATGTATGATTTGGATACATTACAGGGTATGCTTTCAAAAGTAACAAGCCATAATCACTATTTGATGTCACAAGAAGCAACCGAATTGTACTGGCAGAAGTCGACAAATATCATAGACTGCGAGGAAGACCTGGCTTAGAGATTTGTCCCCACAGTCTTTTGAATTGATAAACTCGGTGACTCCAAATATTTTCCCTGCGCGAATGCCAAGGAAGAAACATCAACTGAAAACCACACGAAACACATAATTATTATTGCGTAAGATAGAACTGTTTCCACCAGTTATCAACCATTAAAATTAATCATCACAGAGTAATCCGGCTTTCAATTACGCATCGCTACTCATATAAGAAGATGAATTTGGCTATCATTCAAATGACCTCAAGCCCCAACTTGGATGAAAATTCAGTAACAAAATATCACACATAAATTTACTCACCAATTTCAAATTTCTCCGGGTTCACATCCACTCCTATAATTCTATTTGCACCACAAAGTTTTGCTCCCTTTGCAACCTAGAAACCAAGCAAGCCGTGAGTCAGTTTTCAAACTTAAGTCATATCAATGTCAGATAGAGGGTGAAACTTTTCTTCAGTATCGTACCGCTAATCCAACTGATCCCAGCCCGAAAATAACAACAGTTGATCCTGCCTCAACATTGGCCGTTTTGCAAGCAGCACCAACCCCTTAAAAAGAAGGTCATGTTGTATTACTCTATCTCAGATTTTTTATCTAGTACTTTGCAATTGCATTCATTTGAAAAGAAAACCATTGGGCTAAATATGTGAAAAGCCTCTTTGGTGGGTTACCTTCCACAAACCCTTAAAACAATGCTCTTACTCAAAATAGACAATAATACCAAAGAAATTACTGACGTTTCAGAAGTAACGTAAGCAAGCTTTAGCAGTGATTGATACTGCTGATTCAAATGTGCACGTTAGTTATGAATCTCATTGTGCATCGGGTAAGAAAGTAATAATCAAAAGCAGAATGGCCTAGTCAAGTCCAAGTTGATTAAAAATATACACCAGTAAAAAAAGAAACCATAACAAATGGAAACTTTTTCTAATGCAATTTGGATCAAGGCTAGAAGAAAATTGACTGGAAATCAAACATTCAAGGTAAAGTTTGAAATTTAAATGCCTATAAGAACAAAACACCATTACCTGTAGCTATACAACAGCCAAAGAGACATGCCTTGTTTGGAGGGATTGCAGGATCAATCTTTACAACATGGGTAATATCAACTACAGTGTACTCGGAAAAACTCGAAACAAATAGAAAATGATATAAAGCATCTCCCTTAAGGTCAGTGAACCTGCTGGTCTCATATCTGGGCATCCAAGGATGGACCTTGAATGGGAATTTTGAACATAAGTTGCTCTTGTTTGAACAGCAATCAACACATTCTCCACAATCTGACAAGAAGATTGGAATGACAACATCTCCTTCTGCTACCTCGTCTACATTCTCACCCACACTCTCCACCACCCTACAACACAATATCACCTAATCAATTTATATGGACAGAATTTGTTGGTTTGTCAAATTAAGTTTTAAATCATTGAAATTTGCATAAAAGAAACTCTTTTGAAGAGATAGAAAGAGAGAAGCAAAACATTGATAACATCATTTTTTTTTCGAGTAGAAAGCTTTAAACTGTTAAAAGTCAACGTTCAGCTTTGATGCAGACGAATACCGGGAAAAGAAAACTCCTAGGCATAATAAATGTCAATGAAGAAATCAAGCTCACCCGACCGCCTCGTGGCCTAGAATTCTGGGGAAACAAGCAGGAGGCACCTTCAAGCAGAATCAAAATTTGGGTCAGCAGCAATAATGTTTAAATTCAAGCGAAGATCAAGAGAGCTGGATCCATAGAAGACCTTCAATTTCCAAAAGGTGATGTCGCTGTGACAGAGAGATGTACAGATTATCCGAATTCGTACTTCGAAGGGACTCGAAGGGGCCACCATGATTTCCTCTAGCACTAGAGGCTCCCCTGCCTCCCGACAAACCGCAGCTAAACGCAGTAGCAACACGTGGTTTCATGCTCCAACTAAACAAAAAACAAAACAGGCACCTAAAGAAAAACTTGGAAGAGTTCATAGTGAGTTACCTTTGCATCGAATTGGTTTCCCAGCCGTTTTGCTTGACAATTTCTCGTTATCCATGGAAACAGAACTGGAAAGCTGATGCCAGGTAGGGGCGCTCAAGTCTCGATTGAATTTCTCAATCTTTGGAAGTTGGCTGTGGTTGAGTCAGCCTGTCAGGTATGGAGCGCCCATGATCATACGCTGAAACAAGAAAATGATGGAATGAATTGAATATAGTTGGCATGGGCCCATGACCTTTTGAAGTTTGGTGTTTGATCTCAAGTAGTAACCCACCGTCACCATTATTATATTATTCGTACTACTAAAAATTTAGTTTGTTGAACTATCAACTTCTCGGCTGTGCCTTTTGCTCTAACCGTTGTCCGTTGGTTTTCACGGATAAAGGAACAAATAAAGAGTAACAAATTGAGGAATACTTAGCCACCTCCCAATTGAACATGATCCACGATAAGATTGGTGTACAACATGGGGTTAGCCAGTGCATGGCAGAGTCTGCTCGATCTGACAGGTCCCCCTGATTTTGGGCCAGAGTCATTCCAATAAGATCGTGACATTCCAACAAGATCGTGACATTCCAACGAGATGTTGGGGTCCTCTTTTAAGATTGGCCGGCCCTATTGCTGAAGTTACTGTTTGCGATCAAATGCAAATCACAAAGTCTATACGAAGGAATACGATCCACCAAATATTCTGAAAGATAAAAGCGACAGCGAAATTATTTGCCATGTTTTAAAAATAATAATATCAATTAAAATATTGAAATTATGAAGTAAGTACTCTACCTACCAAAAAACAAAAACTATAGGAGCAGTTTCGACAACTGACCAAATCAATCAGTGGAAATTGGCAAATACGGTTTATTAAATAAGATTTCCTTTTTTTATTATTTTTCTTAATAATTGAAGAACAATCAACCTCTGTTTGATTCATGAACATAGCAAAAAGTCAATCCATAGGTGGTGAATGCTTTTTGCTGCCTGTTTCAATTTCGTGCAAAGGATTGCTTTATATTTGGATAAATATTAATAAAAAAAAATGTATATGAACTTTTAGATAGTTAAAATTAATAAAAAAAAATTAATAATTATTATTTGAATAAATAGTAAAAAATAAATTATTTTAATATTTTTTTCAATTATAATTTTTTAATAAAGTAACATATAATATACAAAAATATTTTTATATTATTTAACTTATACAAATAAATCTTTTTGAGCAAAATTAAACATATTTAATATAGTAAGATATTTTAGTTAATTATTGATTTACTTTTAATTTTATATTTAATTCAATATTTTAATTTATTTTGATAATAATTTAGTTTGATTTGTTGTTAAAACTTAAAAAATTATAAAATATTTATAAACTATGATATTATATAAAATACTTATAAAAGAAAATTATATTTACAAAAAATATCAATTATATAATCAAATCTAATATTATAATAAAAATATAGATATAATAATCTTTTCATAAATTTTTTTTTTACTTTTATTTTCTTTGTTTTTCCTTCAAATTAAGATATTAAAAAAATAAGGATTAAAAAAATCAAATGTTATTGAATTTTCACTTTTTTTAATTAAAAATTTATTCAAACAAAAAACTATTTTTTCTATTTTCATAATTTTCTTTTATTTTTCTTTCATTTCCTTCCTCTTTCCTATTTTACTATTTAATCAGTCATGATTTTGATAAGTAAAAATATTTAAATATTATTTTATTTGTTTTCTTTCATTTTTTAAAATCATGAATTGACTTCTGGCCAAAAAAACAAGTCATGAATTGACTTATCATCGTTCATGTTTGACTGGGCTAGGCTTTAGCATAGCGACATGGGCTGGCTAGTTATTAAGCCCAAGAAAACGACTAACACAAACGATGTCGGATGGGGAAAATCTCTCCGTCCGCATCACGCTGTGCACCCCCTCTTGGTCTTGGTCTAGGTCTAGATTCTGTAGATTCTTCTGGAATCGACTAGCTCATAAACAGGCCACATTGGCATCGTCGTAGCCAAACTCAGCTTGCCCGACCCGTTGCGATTTAGCGAACCCTAAAATTAACCCGTCCGGTTCGAACACATTCGATTGCTTTTTCTTCAATCAAATCGATTTCTCAGTTCCGTTCGGATTTTAACCTCTCCGATTTCGACTTCGGCACACCAATTAGGTTCGTGCTCTCTGGTTCCCTTATTATTTTCTTCTAGGTTCTTCGATTTGAACCTCCCGTTTAGCCTTACCGTTTTATAGGGTTTGATTTAATGCGCATTTTTATGATTATTATTTGTCTTAAATGATTTTGATCTTATGTGATTTCGTCGAGGTTCTTCGATCCGACGATTGCTCTGTAATTGTTCGTTGATTGATGTTATCTTCGATTCTTTTGTTGCGTTTGGCATAACATCTATTATCAGTATTTTTGCATTTCTTCTTTTCCTTTATATTAAAATACAATTGAATAAATGTTGGTTTTCTTTATGCAAACATGTACCTTAAAATGTAGGAAATTTGACTTTTGTTGACCTTGGCTGTTGATTTGTTGTGATTGCAAAATCTATTGGAGCGGCTGATGGTAGTTTACTTTAGCAATTTGAATTAGGGAAAACCTTAATGGAAATAATAGTATTACTTCTCTTTTGCTGTTCCAGGCTTTGGTTGCTGTGGAACTTCTATGGCAGATCAGCACTCTAATGAAGGTTCAAGTTCTGGGGAATCTTCAGATTCACTTGTTGAGCTCAGGATCAAGACTCTAGATTCACAGATTGCTAGTTTTCTTGTTGACAAGAATGTAAGCGTTTCATTTAAGCATGGACATTCTCAAAAATTACCAGCTGTCAGTGCATCTTTAATTTTTAAGAAAATTGTGCCTCATCCAGCTTTTAGTTAACCCCTTCTTACTGGGATGAATTCAGACACCAGTTTCATCATTCAAGGAGAGAATAGCTAATGCACTTGGTGTCCCAGTTGGTCAGCAGCGGCTGATTTTCAGGGGAAAGGTCTTAAAGGATGATCATCTTCTCTCTGCATATCGTATCCTATTGTTTATATTGCTAGATAATTTCATTGACATAAGTTAACCAAATTTGTTCTATATTAAAGATTTTCAGTTCTGCAGTTTGCTGCCAGACTAGCCATTACTTTCTTAGATGCCATGTTCATGAGCAGTATTATCCCTTCTATGTAATCTTAAGCATGATCTGTGCATGTATTTATAGTATTACTAGGCATGAAGAGTAGTTCTATATGTAGATTGATTTTGTTCCTGGAAAAGTATGTATATTGCTAGTGGTTGTAGCTGCTGCTTTAAATTGAGCCATTACATATACAAACAGTGAGTCTAAGCAGCCCTTTTTTTTCCCCTTCTATTCTCTTGCTATTATCCCGCTGATACTTGTGGTTACTAGTTATATGGTATATTCTTATCCTATCAGCTTTGCAAAATTTGGGCGAACCAACATTGTCCCATCAGTCCAAAATGGTCACTAACTAAATGGCTCAAATACTTGGCCATAGCATCAACTGTATTACTTCTTAGTTACTTCTTGTTATGTGTCATAATTGTAATCAAAATTGGAAATAAGGAATTGTTTGTTTAGAAATGTATTTGGTACTTAAGGATAAAGCTTGGCTTGTATAATGTGTGGCTTAAATATTGGATAGGATCTTTGTGGTAAAGCAATGCCTTGTCTTTAAAGTGAGATTTGGTTGCTTGTTAGTAATTATAACAATCAAAAAAGGGAATTGAGATGCTCTCTTTTCTACTATCGCTGAAGTGATATGATTATCACAACATCAAGTGCCAGTTTGTGACTGTGTCCTATGGTGTGGTTCATGTTATGCTCTATATCCTTTACTGTTTTTAGATGTTGAGAATGGGCATACATTTCATTTAGTTGAAAGGCAGCCAGCCCAATCACAGGCTTCATCTGATACAAATTCAGGAGAGACAAATGGAAATAACAGCAATCGAGGTATGTATATGTACATCAGTGCTTGTCTGGTCTGTGTAATTTGGAACATTTTATTAAAAGCTGCAGCCAACAAGAGTTAATTGAACCATGAATTGGCAGGAAATGATGCTAATGCAGGCATCCCTCGTAATCGAGTTGGTCAGATTTCACACAGTGTGGTTCTTGGGACCTTTAATGTTGGAGATCAAGGTGAAGGTGGCATTGTTCCAGAGCTTACTCGGGTGAGTACTCTTACTCTTTTTATTTGTGAAGCATTTCTGTTAAGTTAAGTCTGTTTCATAATTTTTGTTTGTTAATTGACATGTGAAATCAGTGAATGTGAATGATGTTGATTATTATTTCATTCTTTGTTGCATGACTTATAGGTTATCGGGGCAGTTTTAAATTCTTTTGGAGTTGGAGGGCAGTCTGCTGCTACTGGTATCACTACACAGTCTTCAACCTCTGTGAGTAATGCTTGATTTCAACTTTTGCTTTGCTGAAAGTTAACAAGTTAAATTTGAATTTGGGTGGCGTAGAAAAGCCATGATTAATTGTCTTCATCACTAGGTGCAATGGATGCACACATTTCCCCCTAAGCTTCCTATTGCCAACTGCTTCATGATGACTATCAATTCTTTGCTGATTTTCTTTTGTACGCTATTAACTGTAAAGTATATGTCAATGATTCAAATGTAGCATGAGGGAAACTATAAAATGTGATGGTGTAATGGTTTTTAAGTAATTATTGATTTTACTTTCAGTTTCTTAATTGGATAGTTATGTGGAATGATCAAAGTTATTAAATGATCTGTGCATATTGTTAAAATGCTATCTTTCAGGCTCCTCAAGGAAATGAAATGGATGGAGCACGTGGTGGTGGCGAGAACCAAGCTGGAAATCAGACACAGTCACAATCATTTCCTGGTCAATTGTTTCAAGTTGGTCCTCAAGTTATTCCAATCCCTCTGACTTCAGCACCAATACCTGTTCCTTCACTTAATTCGGTAGTACATATGAACTTATTAATTTTTTAACAGATTATACTTTGATTGTTATCTAATTCCATCATTTTCTTTTTCTTCAGACAATTCCTGATTCTTTAAATACTCTCTCGGAGTTTATGGACCGCATGGAGGCACATTCTCCAAATGGTGATAGCACAAAAAGGCATTAACTCATACATTTGTTTGAAAATTGTTGCAGTGACTAACTGCTGCTGCATTACGTAGGCTATCAGCCATACACATCTACGACTAACAGAAGAGACCAACCAAGGGTAGTATTACCGTCTGATGCACGGGGTTTGCCGACACTTGAAGCACTGAGCATGGTAATGCGACATGCAGAACAGCTTCTCAGCAGTCATGCTATTGCTGCATTGTCTGTAAGTGTCATGCCATAGCATGTTTCCCTTGTTTACTGTCTTCTGGAATGTTTGAGGCTTTTTGTTGTGATGAAATGTTTTATGAAATTGATGTTGGGATTCATATGATATCTGGGATACTATTTTGTATGTATAATTTTTTATCCTTGTATTTGTTTTACGCTGAAATCGATGTTAATTCTCTTTCACGTGTGCATTCTGACTGATTACCCAATCTACCCTCACTCATTCCAAGAACCCAGGAGAAGGAGATTATTATATTCTGAATTGCGACGTCCTCGCTTCCGTCTGGAGCAATATGCTTGGTTTATGATATATAACAGTTTAGGACATGTAAAATTACTGGGCTTTCTCTGAGTGAAGCTTTTGTATGTAATGTAATTCATAATTACATGTAAATTGCGGAAGCTGAACGAGACATTCACAAATCATATGATTTGTCAGTCCATAATCTAAGTTTTAGTGGCTCTAATGAAGATGAATTATGAAGTGCCTATATGTATAATTAAGGATTCTTTACACCGTATTAATTTCCCATTCCTTTTCTTTCTCCCTTTCAAGTGTGAAGATTTTATTATCTGATTCTATGTATGTTTAATTTGCTACAATTTTTGTAGCATATTGCAGGACGCTTAGAGCAAGAGAGGGATTCTTCTGAACCTTTAGTGAGGGAGCAAATTCAAACAGAATCAGTGCAAGTGGGTCTTGCAATGCAGCATTTAGGTTCCCTTCTTTTAGAGCTTGGGCGAACCATATTGACGCTGCGCATGGGGCGTTCTCCTGTATGATGCTATTATCTCTTGTATTGTTATTCTCTGTTGTCATTGAATAATAACATCTCACTAAAACTTTTCATGTAATTCACAGGCAGAATCTTCAGTCAATGCTGGGCCCGCAGTTTATATATCTCCTTCAGGGCCAAATCCTATAATGGTTCAGGTGTACTAAAAATTTGTTTACATTATGTCAAGTTGGTCAAATAACTGCAAAATCCTGCTAATATACCCTATTGTTATATGGTAATTTTTAAATACGTGATTATCAGAGCAACTCTGAGCAAATCAATTAAGCATTGCATACTTTCATGCTATGCAATATCTGTTTTTCTGTTAACTGCTATTCACAGATAGCTAAATTGAAGAGAATGATATTCAGCTGCTCTCTCTAGGTATATTTAACTAGCTATAGGGATGTACCGTGGAGCATATGTTTTAGCGGTTTTACTTTAAGTTACATATTAAAAATATCTTATGCTATTGAGACATAAAAAGCAATTTTCTTTTAAGAACTGAGAATTAATAGAAAGAGATGCTGGCATATGAAAAAGCAGGGAGTTTTGAGATGTAAAAACTTGCATTTAACTTTTCTAAGATATTATTGTTAGTTGTATTAAACTTACATTTTTCTTAGTACAGACATTATACTTCAACAGTTATTATAACTTCCTCGTTGTAAGAGTCTCATATATTATGCATCAGACAGTTTGGTATCCTTAATTCTCTTATTTCTTGAATCTATCCATTTTGGATCCAAAAATGAACTCTCCCTCGAATTTTTCAGATTTTGAGACACATTTGAATTCAATAAACTAATATAGAAGTATAAGTTGCCAAAATGAAAATAAAAAAAAAAAAAAAAAATAGAGGGGGGTGCCTGAAACATTTATGAATTAAATTTTCTAGTTAATTCAAGAGTTTGAGCTCTCTTTGGAATCCTATGAATGATGCATGCATTGATTTGTACACAACTTGCATGTTTTTGAGTGCAGACAATATACTTCAACAATTGGTATAACTTTCTTGCCTTGAGAGTCTCTTATACCATACATTCATCAGTTTGTATGAGATGCGATGGCCTGAAACATTTATGAATTAAATTGCCTAGTTAATTCAAGTGTTTGAACTCTCTTTGGAATCCTATTAATGATGCTTGCATTGATTTTGAATCCTATTAATCATGCATACATTGATTTGTTTATTTGCAGCCTTTCCCCCTTCAAACCAACTCCCTCTTTAGTGGTTCCCAGTCTCCATCAAATCCTCTGACTTTAGGTCCTGTTGGTACTGGAAATGCTCCAAGGCACATAAATATCCATATACATGCTGGTGGGTAAAATCTGCTTCCTACCAGACTGTAATTTTCTTTCTCTTTAAATTGAAGGTAAGTGACTTCCATATTTAATAATTATCATTATTATCAGGCACCGCACTGGCACCTGTGGTTTCAGCAGTTGGTAACAGAACAAGCAACGGGGAAGGGGTGCAAGGAGAACATGGTAATAATTCTGGTTCTGGTTCAATGCGGGTTCTTCCTGTGCGAAATGTTATTGCTACTGCTGTCCCAGCACGTTCTACTAGTGCTGCATCCAGTGCAGCCCCCACTGATTTGTCACTATCCTCTGTTATTGCTGAAGTCAATTCAAGACTTAGAAACTTTGTTAGTAACATGCAGGGAGAAAACCAGGTTGAATCAGGTAGCTGGCAATTAATTGTTTTCAGATTCTAATAACTACAATGTTATGTGTTGATATGGTATCTCTGGTATTTAAGGTCAAAGAAGAAACTGATAAATAATATATATATATATGTATGTATATTGTCTGGTGCAGGTAATAATGCTGGTATTGGACAGTCCAATAATATGGTTGCTAGTGGAGCTGGGGATTCTAGTGTTGCATTACCAGCAGATGTTCTTGAAACTGAAGAACAGAAGGTGTGCTTTGTTCACAATAAAATGATCTTATTAGCAACTATCTGTTTAGTGTCTCTGACCAGTACTCTGTTACTATTAATAATCAGTCACAACCTCAAAATGCTGAAGGAAGTAACAAGATTATGGAGAGTGGTGAGAGTTCAAAGGTTGTAACCGGCACAGTTGGATTTCCTCCAAGTTCAAGTGGAGAACTCTTGATAAAGTCAGAAGACCCATCAGGAAGTGTTGTGAGATCCAGTGAGGAAAATACCAAACCTGTACCACTTGGATTGGGGTTGGGGGGGTTGGAACGCAAGGTGTGATGATCATTTCTTACTTTATTCTAAATCATTTTATGTTATTTTATTGAAAATGATATATGGTATCATTGTGGTCAGAGACGAGTCAAACAGACAAAATCATCTCTCAGTACTGGTGATAGTGGAACAACTAGTTCTTCTTTTGATCCGAACTTGAGTGCTAGAATGACTGGCCAGCAGATTTTGCAGTCACTTGCATCTCGGAGCTCTTCTATGAATAGGGTGGAACAAGATGTTTCCTCATGTAATCCAGGTGTTCAGAGTAGTAGATTGTCAGGAGCACAAAGTTCTGATGATCAATTAGATGCTGCTAATGCTGTTTCTCAAGTTCTTCAAAGCCCTGCATTAAATGGCTTATTAGCTGGGGTTTCAGAGCAAACTGGTGTGGGTTCACCAGATGTTCTTGGGAACATGTTGCAGCAACTCACTCAAAGCCCGCAAATTATGAACACTGTCAGTCAACTAGCTCAGCAGGTTGATAGCCAGGATATTGGAAACATGTTTTCTGGATTGGGGGGAGGCCAAGGTGGTGGAATTGATCTGTCACGGATGGTCCAACAAATGATGCCTATTGTCTCTCAGGCTCTTAGTCGTGGGACATCTGTACCTCCGCCATTCCCTGCTGTAGAACCTAAATCACAGGTTCAGCATGATGGGAGGAAGTCAAGTGCAGCTGATAAACTTTGTGATTGTGATTATCAGGTTTATTTTTTGGATAATTTAGATTTTAAGGTTTACTTTTGTCACATAACAGTTAATTAGTGTGTGATAGTAAGAGACGCTGACAAGGGGGTTGTTGTCCTGTCTTATATATTTCATCTAGGATAATATTCAACAAACGGCTCGGAGGATTGAGCAATCTAATTCATCCGGCGAAGTCTTCCAGGCTGTTACTGAAAATGCAGTTCAGGTATATGGCAATGGGAGGAATGCTGAAGAACTTCTGAATGAGTTGTGTGGTAACCAGGGTCTTGCCAAGGTAAGTTCTCTGGCCAAGAGATTTTTCATGCTTGCCTATATTGTCTAATTGTGCTTCGTCTCAGTTGTACCCGCTTGTGGTTAAAAAATTGCTTGCATTTTGGGGAGAAAGAAAAGGGGTTAAACAACATTGTCCTTTTAATCTGCCTGCCCAAATTTTCTTGATGATTATTATATGGAAACTTATAATATTTTCTGGCATGTTCAGGAATACACAGAGATGCTACAGCAGGATTTAAGGCGAAGATTTCAGGATAAATCTGAGGACAAGTGTTAGCTCTTCGTTCTGAAAGTTAAAATTACAATTCATAGAAGTTCTGGACGTACTGCAGCTAATTACCTCCTGTACTGGGGTCATTTTCTCTGTTTTTTGGCTCGTACTCAGAATCCATGTATAAACTTAGGCTTCTGGGGGTTTGTTGGATATGCTGTTTAAGTTACATTTGATCTGTTTGTTTCAAATGTACTTTTTGGTTAATTGTGTATCAAATTGGAATTTTGATTATAACCGTAAACTGTCTTTCCTGTCAAATGATATTAAGTTCCAGTAGCATTGCTTTAGGCTGGAATCGACGAAAACCCAGACCTGTTTATGTCTTCTTTCAAGTAATCTTCTAGTTTTAAACTGGGGTCAAATAGTTGCAATGGTCTTCTTTTTTTTCAAGGGAAAAGGAAACAGGAAAATTACTATCGCAGGTAGGCGGAGGAAGTGAATCCTCCTGTATTTGTTCAAAATTTTATATTATATTTGATGCATAGCATCGTTGATAAGATATGATAATTATTTAATATTTTATTTAATTTGTATATAAAAAGAAGAATAAAAATTACAAAAAGGATTAATACTTTATGGGATTAATTAATTTTCATCAAGCGGAGGTGATTAGTTTTTAATTTATTAGATTAAAATTACATATTTAATTATATTTTTAAAATTATATCAATAATTTAAATTATATAAATTAAAAAAAATAATTTTAATAAATAAATAAATTATTTTATTATAATTTTTACATACATTAAATATAAAATAAAATGATATTATTTAATTTAATTTAATTTATAATATTATATTATATTATTTTATTATAGTTTTATGTATCGATTTTAATATCTAATTAATCGAGATTGTTTACTATTTGTAGCACATGGGTATACGTTTGGGCTACAAGAATGGTAGAATTACTTTCGTTTGTCTGAATAATTTGCACTTGTTTATTAATCTTCAACTACTGTGTACCCTAAATGATTGGGTCCAAAAAGCCAGCCAATCTAATGAATTTAATACTTTCATTTAATATTAAACTTGTTAAATTCCAAAAAAGCCCAATCATTTAGTATGCCTATCTCAAGACTTGGGCTTTTTTTGTGCCAAAAAACTTACTAATGAATCATAATCATTAACATTAACCATATTAAACGAGTTGTAAACAGGAAGAAAAAGATTGGGCTTTTTCTTTTTTGAGTTTGGACTTTTTGTCTTGGGCATGACCGAAGAAATTGGAACAAATGGACCTATTTGAGCCTTATCAAATTAGATTGGGTCCGATCCAAACCATACGAGACGCTGTGCCTTTTTTCACTCTCCTTGTTACTTATATTATGTCGTTTTTGTTAAAGACTTTTATACTTTTGGCTTTTATTTTCTAGTTTCTTCTCTCTTATTGAATGGTTGTTTTTTTTTTTTTTTAAATTCGCTTTCTGATTTTTAAGCCCTGCCTGAAACTCGTGCCTTGTGAAAGCAGCAAAACCCTTAACGGAAACGAACCAATCCCCGTTGAACTGTCAGTTGTTCCTATCAAAACATCTGGCAATTTATGGAAGCCGATACAAAGCCAAAGAAATATGGACCTCGGCTTTGTTGCATTTGTAACCAGCGAAGAGCTGCCCTCAAAAGACCCAAAACCCTAGAGCAGGTAACTTCTTAAACTTCCCTTCATTATGCTAATTCAATTTCAAACAGGCATCGAATTGAGGATCACTTGGTTTGTTTCAATCTCTTTTATCTCTTGAATTTGAAATTCTTTTTTTATTATTATTATTATTACTAAAATTATGCTTTGGTTAAAGATATGCAAGGAGTGTTTTTACGAGGTGTTTGAGGAGGAGATTCACCAGGTAATTATGGAGAACCAGCTGTTCAAGCCTGGTGAACGTATTGCTATTGGCGCCTCTGGTGGGAAAGGTTAATTTCTTTCTTTCCTTCTTTGTTTAAGCTGAAACCAAGCTCCATAGACTGTCATAGCAACAAGTTTATAATTCTTATTATCCTTCTAATATCTACTCCTGGGGTTGACTCAGATTCGACAGTCCTTGCTTACGTGTTATCAGAACTGAATCGACGACATAACTATGGCCTTGATCTTTTTCTTTTGTCTGTTGATGAGGGCATTACTGGGTACAGGGATGACTCGCTTGAAACTGTCAAAAGAAATGAACTTCAGGTCAATTTTGTCTGTCATGTTGAATTTTTCCAAAACATATTCTTGTTGCTTCTAAAGTAGATAAATTTTTAGTTGCTGGCTTCCTTGCTAACTGTTTCAAGCTTTGTTTTGAAACATTTTCCTCTCAATTTTCTGATGGTATAATTCTTATTATTGTTTGTTCTGCAGTATGGGTTGCCACTAAAAATTGTGTCTTACAAGGATTTGTATGGATGGACTATGGATGAAATAGTAAAGATGATTGGCTTAAAAAATAATTGTACATTTTGTGGTGTTTTCCGCCGCCAGGTATTGTTTTCTAAAACCCTGAATTCATAACAATGTTTTTGCTGGTTTCACTCTTTTGCTACGTCTGATAGGCTATATGCATGTTTGTACCAAAGCTATGTAATTAGATCTTGATATCTGAATTTTAAGATGGGGCATTCCTTTTTGTGTATATATAGTGTTTCTGTGAAAACCCTTAAGTTTTATAACTTGCAGCTACTCATTATCTTTCTCATTCTACCCAACCAAGCCCCATAGGTGTAATTTTTTGTCCTTATGTTAAATGTGTTTTTAGTTTTTACAGTGGTATATTTATGGTGAGAATTCCTACCTTTTTTCCTTTCTCTTTAAGCATGGTTTAATTTGCATTAGGCATGGTTTCTTTTATCTGGAATTTGTTGGTTCTCCCTCTATAAAAACTGGCTCATTGTCCATTTTGTTGATTTGAACTTTGTATTAATAAATTATTAAACAACTACAGCCATCAATTCCAATAAAGGATGTTTATACACAATTTATAGATTGTGAACAAAAAAGGCCAAACAAGTCATCAAGGGATGCATGTTCACAATCTAGATTGTTTATATACAAAGATAGTGAACATTCCAATGTAGTTATTCCAATGTAGATTGGAATGTTCACTACCTTTGTATATAAACAATCTATTCCAATGTAGTTATTACTATCTTTGTAGCACTTGCATTTGTGTTATAGTTTAGGATAGAATGACTTGTTTGGCCTTATTTTTGTTAAAGGCCCTTGACCGAGGTGCTGCATTGCTGAAAGTTGACAAGGTTGCTACTGGACATAATGCTGATGATATTGCTGAAACTGTTCTGTTGAACATATTACGAGGTGATATTGCTAGGTAATGTATTGAGTGTGCTTTTTGTTTTCTTATGAACATCTTGATTATTAAGCTGAGATAATGGCTTTTACTTGTGCAGATTGAGTAGATGCACTTCTATTACTACCGGTGAAGATGGACCTATTCCAAGATGCAAACCTTTTAAGTATACCTATGAGAAGGAGATTGTGATATATCCTTGAAATGCTCACTGTTTTGAAAGTTTTGATTGTGAATTTATTATATGAGCATTTCATTACACTTGGCTGCCAAAACCTTAACAAGATCTCCACGTATGCTTATTTCAAGAAGCTGGACTACTTCTCTACTGAATGTAATTGATTCTACCATTCCCTTTTGTGCCTTTTTCAATTGTTTATTTAGAATATGGTTGCTTCAGCTGTCAAGCTCCTTTTCTTAAGGTTTATGTTTAGATGGTATTGCATGTCTATATTGTCTATTACTCTAATCACAGAGTGTTGTTGTTAAAATTTCAGGCATTTATTCTCCAAATGCATATCGTGGTTTTGCTCGTGAATTCATAAAAGATTTGGAGAGAATCAGGTTAATACCTTCTTGTTCCCACTCTAGTATCACTTCTATCAAGTTTTAAAATTTTGTAGTTTTTTACTGTTATGGCTTACTTTGCAGGCCTAGGGCTATACTTGACATCATTAAATCGGGGGAGAATTTTAGAATTTCCACTTCCACCAAAATGCCTGAGCAGGGAACCTGCGAACGATGTGGTTATATTTCCAGCCAGGTGACAACTGCTTGTACCTTGCTGACACCTTAGATGTCTGAAACTTTGACATGCATTTGATGTGCCAGATCTTTTATAAAGTTCTGCCTTCTATTGAAGTACTTTAAGCACTAATAGCTGTCTGCAATATGATTAAAACTGATTCAATCTTATACATGGTATACAGAAATGGTGTAAAGCTTGTGTCTTGCTGGAGGGGCTGAATCGGGGTTTGCCGAAGCTTGGCATTGGTCGTAGTCGAGGCCTAAACAGTGATGTTAAGAAAGATATAAAACAAGGCGGTGGCACAGAAAGTATCGAGAGCAAACAATGTGGTAGTTTGGACTTCTGATGCAGAGTGTAGGCATCACCTAAGTTTTGGTTTGTTTGTGGAATTATGCAAAGTTGTCAGATTGGCCACCATTCTCTGTTGACTTCTTCTCCGGAGCGTCTAGGTGAATGATTAGGCACAAAATGCAGTTCATTGCACCCTTTCGACTGCTAGAAAGAGACATAGAATTGGGAGAGCTGGTGTTTAGTCAAAATTTTGGATGAGGGATCGATTGATTATTAATTATTATGTAGCAATGAATATAAGAGATGTGGACAGGGAATTCTTATGCATTTGGAGGTCATGTAATAATCGGAAAAAGCAACTCTGCTGTAATGATTTCCGCAGGTCAGAGGCTGGTCCTGTTCTCCATTTTCTGCTATTGGACGCTATTCCCTTTTCTTTTCTTTTTATTTTTTTTGTAATTTTTAGAAATTTATTGTAATATTCTTGGATTAACTTTCAATTATACTTTGTGATTGATACAATTCTCGTTAAACACCAAAACCAACTACTTACTGATTAAGGGAATTTTTACTTATTTTTTCAGATACTGGAACATTAATTTAGCTTAAAATCTCAAATGCAGAATCAACAATCGGAGACGGCCGGTATGTACTCTAAAAAGAAAGAGATTGGGCCAGACTGGGGCCCAATCAGAATCATAAAGGGCTAAAGGCCCAAAGCTAATTGCCCATGGCCTATACGACTTAAACTAAACGCTGATTAAGTTGCCGTTTTGTTTCTTAATTTCAGTCAAGGGCAACATTTCTAGGTCAGATATTCTTTCTTCAGCACCGGTCACGCCCATGTCTTCATCGGCACCGCCAGACGCGTCCACCACCGGCCAAAAAGGTAGAAAATCGCTTGGGTTTTTGAAAAATGCGGTGAAATACAAACACAACTTCATTCAGTTGTTCGCCATGACCGGGATTTTGCTGCTGAGCATGCGATCATTGGGCCAGAAATACCGCATCCACGACCTCCAAGAGGACACCGCTGCTCTCAAGCAAGAGCAGGAAGCTCTCACTGACCGCATGAAGAACATCAAACGTGGCCTCCTCCACGAGGCCTCTCTCGAGCCCTCTGGTCGCTTCGCTTCCCGCCTCCGCCTCCTCTTCGGCGACGATAATTAGACTCAACTGAACCCCCTCTCAGTGATTTTCCTTAAACAATATCTTTATTATGTCCTCTATAATGTTCAGAGATGTTTTGCGCTTTTTCTCTTTGGGTTAGTAATATTTTTTAGAATCTTTCCTGAATCTGCGAAATGCTCTTTGATTTGCTTATGTTTTTGGTTGGGTTTCTATGATATGAACAAGATTTGATTAAATTTCAATTGGTTGACGTTTTGAGAAGGTCTCGTGCTAGAGTTTGTTCTGTTTGTTTTGTCAATCGAATTTAGCCCTTTAGCATTAAGGGTCTATCCATTTAGTTGAATAGAAGAGTTATTCATGTCTGTAAGTGTCTGTGACACATGAATTTCCATATTGATTCTGCCTAGGTTTAGATAATATGTCATATTTTGCTCCAATCAATTAAAAAGTTGCAGAAGTTGAAAATGATGAGGTTTGGAAACATTTTTGTTGTTTAATGTCTATTGAACACTTCAAAGGAAAATAGGATCACAGAGAATTAAGAGAAGTTGGTTTCTTTTTGAGTTGCTGAGTAACAAAATCTGTGTTATTCTATGTGTCTAAGTATATGGAGAAGGTGGCCTAACATGGCTACTTACGTGGAATAATTATTTAGGCATCTGAAAGATTCACTTTTAGCTGAACCGGTTAGTTGCATTGTGGAGATTGTTGGATACAGACTTACAGGTATCAACAGAATTTCTAGTGATCCTGTGAACATCAATCCTGGCTCAAAATGGGGTTTAAGTGTAAGGATTTTTGGCTTGTAATTGTTTCCTTTGGTCTTTATTGTTTGCTGCCTCTGGCGGTTGTTATACTTGTTATTCTTGGGTAATAAAATTTCAATTATCCAAAAAAAATCACTTTTAATTCTTATTGATGCCTTGTCTTCCCAGCGGCTGCTGTGGGCTAAGAGTGGAAGAAGTCCATGAGGACCAAAAATGGCTTTCTCAGTAGAACATTTTGCAAGTTAGTTAACTAATGAACACCCTATTGGCCAAAAAAAAAAAAAAACTGATGAACACCCTTGGTTTTGTGTTATTAGGAGTTGGGTGTCCTATGGCCATGGGCAAGGCTCTTAATGGAGCCTGATTCATCATAAACTTATAGCTCAGTCTTTCTATTTTTTCCTTTTCCTTTTTGTTTCTTTTGTTTTTGGTGTTCTTTGGAAGGAGTAAATTTATTGTCTTCCTGTTGTGTTAATGATGATGGTGTATATGCAGATCCATACATAAGTGAGACTATTTTTAGTATTTAATCTGGCTAGATGGTATCCTTTGCTTCAAGCAGAGATGTGCTTAATATGTAAAAGCACTCGATAGATTTCTGTTTGAAGCCAACTTGCTCACTTGCTTGGTTGCTCTTGCTGTGCATTCAAGCCTTATACATTCTGAAAACTCACTAGGACCATAAGTGTGTAGATCTCGAGGGCTATCTGTCAAGTGCAACATCATCCCAAATCTCGAATAAGTTGGGACTTCCATGCCTAAACCCAATAATCAGGCTTTCCCTTCTTTTAAGCTTGGATGAATGATTGAATAATTTGAGTTGCTCCCAAGATACTCTGACTCAGCTCTCTTGTTTTTATATTTTCATTATGAGTACTTAGTTGTTCTATATTTGTTAATTGCCATCCCCATTAAGAGTGTGAGTCAAGATTAATATTGAAATGTGGAACTGATGATGGTGTTTTTGTAATGCGATAGAATTATAATCTATGAGCAGAAATGATATCCAAATGCCAAATCAGCGGAGTTGACATTTATAGACGATCCGAGCTGCGAAATCTGCATGTTGCACTTGGCTTCTTGTCAATTCCATGGCTTATACAGGCAGTAGCCTGTATGGTAAGAAGGTACGTGCCCAGTAATTGCGGGTTGATTGGTTCTGCTAACCTAGTAACCTATGGAATTTCCAAATAAATCTGACCAAATATATCATCAAAATTGTTACTATATTATATAGGTTGCTATTGAAATTCAATTTTAAAGCATGTAGTGGGTTATGGTAATGGATGAGATCCATCCAAGGTCTTGTAATTTGAGTTTTAGGCAATTATTCAAGCCTTTGCAATGATGGCACATGCTACTAAGACTGACCTTACGGACGTGGGGGCGTGGGGACGTTGCCTTGGAAATTCATGGCCATTCATTCATGGACGTTTTTGCCAATGCTAGCATTTTTTTTTCCTTTCATGGTTTCATTATATAAATATATATATATATATATATTTTTTTTTTTCTCTTTCTCTTGGCGTATGTTCTGGTTAAAGTCCCAATCAAAATAATTGGGTTTTGCACATATTACCACCTTAGGAAGATCTAAAGTCTAAGCCAAGATTTAATTACACTATGGGATTAAGATAAGGTAAATGCAAAGATTGACGTAAGGTTGAAGGGTAATGATAGGCGCTATGTTGCTTCCAGTTCACCAAAGCAAGCCGCCGTGGTAGCTCATTATCCGAAGTCACTGGAAAGTAAAAGTGAAAGTTATGGTCGGATCTCTTTTCAGTGAGTAATTTTTAAAGTCATTTTGTTGAAAGGCGTTTTCTGATTATTTGGATTAGAGATTGAATGCGAGATCTGATTGATCAATTATAACAAATTTGAAATTAGACAAATGTTATTGGGTTGACTCAAGAACTTGTTGAGTCAAGATTGCTGCAATGCAGGGGTGAGTTTTCAAAATTAGTTTGCTGCTTCTTTCTCATAAATTCGGCGAAAGCTGCTAATTTCAACTCTCTTTTACTCCCTAAGCTGCTGTTAAATTCAATTTTGCTCTGACTGCAGTTTTCTTATTCTGCCAGCCCTGGCACTTTAATTAAGGTTCCCAGCTAGACTCCAGCATGGTTTGTTATGACAATGACTATTCGCATTTCCAGTTAGGATTTGAAAACATAAAACAAATTTGATTGCCTTCATTATTGGAACAAAATGTTTTTCAGAGTATATATTCAAAAATGTTTTAATGGCAATGGTCACTGATTGTTGTCGGCACTTGCTCCTAGGAAAATCCAAGACTCACCAAGGCTAAAATATTTAGATATGCCAATACTGTCACAATCGCCGAAATTAACACGCTCTAATTTTATTGTTTTCTTCCCCCATCCCCTGTAAACGCCATCGACGGCAACATTTTGTAGAAAATAAGGATTAAGCAGCTTTATGTACATTACTAATTTGAGATTCTATTATTAGCAGCTTTGCCAAAAATGAAAATTTGCTCTAATACTAATATCAACAGGCCCATTTCAAGCTTTCTATAGTCAATGAGCCATTTGCCAGCCTAAGAAGATAGCCTCAAAAACATCCATCCATCAAAGCCTGCCATATTAGAGTTTGACTCAGCCAAGTCAGTAAGTCACGATCCTACTCCTTGTTACTGCATTCCCTGAATTGTTAAGAGATTCGTAGACAAAGTGCTTGTGAATAGTTTCACAAGGACCATAATAAGTTACTATGCTTAAGCAGAAGAAACCAACAAAAGATTAGATTGGATTATTCAAACAAAAACAGCAATAAATAAAAATGGAAAAGAAATGTGAGATCGTAATGGGGGCCCTTGCCCTTGCCTTTGCCTGTTTAACCTCTTCACGTGCAATCCCTGTTTCAAAACAAAATAAAACAAAGCACCCACCAGCACCTCTACCACCACCAGTGTTTTGCAAGAACAAAAACAAAGAACCCAGACCCATGTGGGAGACAAGCACATTCACAGTTCAAATAGTCTGCTAATGTAAGGATCCCAGTCCACCACCGACACTTCAATTCTCTCTCTCTCTCTCTCTCTCTCTCTCTCTTTAATTTCCTATTCCCAACTTTTCCCTCCTTTTTTTCCTTTACGGCTTACTTCGCTTCCACACATCACCTCCTACTCTGTACCCCACTTAAAATATTGTGCCATCCCTCATCATTCACTGCTCCTTCCTTCCAACCTCTTTCTTTTAAAATCTCCTTCTTTTTCTTTCTTTCACATTCACTACATTACGACTAAGACCCAAAAAAGGAGTCTCTTATTTTCTTTGCCTCCAAAATGCGGCTTCATTTGGCGGTGGGACTGTTTTGTGCCACAACATGTCTTTTTGCCATTGCCGGGGCTGAAGATCCTTACAGGTTCTTCAGCTGGAATGTTACCTACGGTGACATTTACCCTCTTGGCGTTCGTCAAACGGTAAGCCTTCAATAATCTGATTCATTTTGATTGATAGTCATTGATCTATATGACAATGATGCTGATAATATTAGTTACCTTTTCCCAGGGGTTTCTCATCAATGGGCAATTTCCTGGCCCTGATATACACTGTGTTACCAATGACAATCTCATTATCAACGTGTTTAACAACTTAAACGAGTCTTTTCTCCTTTCCTGGTAAGATCCAATCATCCGATGTTCTCTCCACAAAGATTTTAAGGGCAACTTTTTACGCACCCTTTATCTTTAAAAAGACGAATCTACCCCAACATGACTCTCTTATTTCGCTGCCATATGGGGGCATATTTGTTATCTACTTGCATTCTTCCGACAACCATCCGCCTTAGCCGCTCACTAAGCAACTTGTGTTTTTTCTTCCCCAAAGTTTGCTTTAGATTTGTGATTAAAAGAATGTCTGATCGAGCCGCCGGCTCATTCACGTTAGGTTTCCGTGCCATTCTTGTCTTCTTTCCTGGAGTGCCTATAGAGAAAAACATCCATATGGCTGGCGTCATGGTAGAAATGGCTTTAACGGACCCGGGTCATTTCATTTCTTAATTATAGTGCTATATACTACAATTCATTTATTTTTCTGCAAAACAAGATTGTCCACGGAATTGGTACTCCTCACCGTTTGTCGGGTTATTAGTTGAGCATATGAGTATCGTTTTCAGTGTTTAGTATCAGTGTATAACTAAGCAAGTTCTCTGCTTGGCAGTAATTAGATAATGACTTCTCCATGATTGAGAGATAACTAATCAAGTTCTCTGCTTTGCTGTAATTAGAAAACGACTTCTCCAGGATTGACAGATACAGCATTTACTTGTTGAATTTATTGCAAAAGTTGAATGGCCCTTTATCGACCTAATTAAAGCCCACTGATCATCCATGATCCTAGTGGTCGATTTATTGTTAGCTGTCTGCCACACCAAAAAGATATGGAAGGTGCTCGGGTGGATTAGGAATTTTTGGATAGAGATCATCTGGACCCAGAAAAGGAAGATATTAGTCTTATCATATTTAATATTTTGTTTATCTGGAAGCTATTTGACCTGTCCAAAATTTCGTTTCTACATGTTTTTGCCTTGGATAGATGGTTCATTTATGAACTTGCAACTAAAATGCTTGACACTCAATCAAGTAAATGTCGACTATTATGTTATTGGCCCTGTTGCAAAGTTGTAAAGAGTAGAAAAGTTATACTTCTCTAGAGGTAAATGGATACAACAAACGGATTAGAGTTTAGCATCTCAAAGCGGTGAACTTCATGAAAGATGCTGTTTAAAATTTGCAAATACTAGTTATAGTTGTTAATTTTGTAAATTATGTTGAAACGGTAAATGTAGGAGTGGAATCCAACAGAGAAGGAATTCTTTTGAAGACGGTGTATATGGAACAACCTGCCCTATTCCACCAGGAAAGAACTTCACATACATTCTTCAGGTCAAGGACCAAATAGGAAGCTTCTATTACTTCCCTTCTCTTGCATTCCACAAAGCTGCTGGTGGTTTTGGAGGGATCAGGATCCTTAGCCGACCACGGATTCCGGTTCCCTTCCCAGATCCTGCTGGGGATTACACTGTTCTTATTGGAGATTGGTACGAGTCTAATCACACGGTAATCATCCTACATTTTTCTAAACCTTGGTATATTTAAATTTGCTTCTTTTAGGTGGAAAAATGCATGATATTCATAACTGTAGGCGTGGGGTATACAAAAATTTGACATGATGGGATCACTGAGTGTCTGGGTATTGTAAATGTGTCGGCAACATAAAGGAGTTGGATAAACGAAGTAAATGGGCTTTATTTGACTATTCGATGCTATGGCTTTGGTGCCTTTTGACAGCTGGATTTCCGGACTGGCCCTTATCTTTGTCATTTCTTGCTACGTTTAAACTTGGGTTTTATTTTGATTTAATTAAACATAGTCTAAAAAGGCATTGCATAACTTGTTATGATGTATGTCAAAGTGATAAATTTTCTCTCTTTTTTTTTTTTCCTAAGTCCTAACGATGAAGCTTCATCCTCAATTATCCAAAAAACATAAGCTTATAATAGTTTCCTGGGATGTTCAACTCATGTCCTATAGCATATTTAGTGTTCTAGTAATGTATTCAACCTGTAGCTTGACATCTTGGTCCGGTGCATGTCATAAAGTTTCTATAAACAATTTGAAGTTAAATTAATGATTCTAATAGCTGCATTAGATTGATTTTATTGAAGTTGAGATAGTCTAGTCTGGCTAATAAGGAATTAAATGTGCTTCTGCAGGTTTTAAAAGCTCATCTGGATGGTGGTAAGAAGCTGCCTTTCCCTGATGGAATCCTTATCAATGGTCGTGGACCTGGTGGTGCCTCCTTCAATGTTGAACAAGGTATATAGTCAGTCTAGTACACAAAATCTAATCCACCTAAACTTTGATGCTGAACAATGAGGTTCTAGCATAAACATGTTGTGCATCATCTATTGCAGGAAAAACCTACAGGCTTAGGATATCAAATGTTGGATTGCAAAATTCTCTCAATTTCCGCATCCAAAACCACAGGTTGACTTTGGTGGAAGTGGAGGGAACACACACTCTGCAAACTACCTACTCTTCAATAGACATTCACCTTGGCCAATCATGCTCTGTTTTATTTACAGCTGATCAGCCCGCACAAGACTACTACATTGTGGTCTCCTCTCGCTTCACCAACCCGGTCCTCACCACTACAGGAACTCTTCGTTATAGCAATTCTGCTGGCCCTGTATCTGGTCCTCCTCCTGGCGGACCTACGATCCAAATTGACTGGTCTTTGAACCAGGCCCGCTCTATCAGGCATTTTCCCAAGTCAACCAAACACTTTCTGGCAAACAACTCGTTATTGTGTTCTAATCTAATTATTCGCATGTTCCTATTTTCAGGACTAACCTTACAGCAAGTGGACCAAGGCCTAATCCACAGGGGTCATACCACTATGGTCTCATTAACACAACCAGAACTATCAGACTTGCAAATTCTGCCGGTCAAGTTAATGGCAAGCAAAGATATGCAGTTAACAGTGTTTCCTTTGTTCCAGCAGATACTCCTCTTAAACTTGCCGACTATTTCAAAATTGAAGGAGTTTTTCGCATAGGAAGCATATCCGATAATCCTTATGGCGGAGGGATATACCTTGACACTTCAGTTATGAACGCTGACTATAGGGCTTTTATTGAGATTGTATTTCAGAATGATGAGGACATTGTACAGAGCTGGCATCTTGATGGCTACTCATTCTTTGTTGTTGGGTAAGCACATCATTTCACCTGAATAACCCAAAAAAACTTAAGTTGATAAATTTATTTCTAAACCATCTTTAAATGCAGTATGGATGGAGGGCAATGGACAGCAGCTAGTAGGAACGGATACAACCTCCGTGATGGAGTTTCACGTTGTACCACTCAGGTAACAAATCAAATGGATCTTCATTTGGCTCATTTTAATATTCACTTCTCCTACCAAAATAGACAGGAAGAACAAGATTTTGATATTTGATATGCCATGAGTGCAGGTGTATCCCAAGTCATGGACTGCCATTTATGTTGCACTTGACAACGTAGGAATGTGGAACTTGAGGTCTGAGTATTGGGCAAGACAGTACCTTGGACAACAGTTTTATGTACGTGTGTATACAACCTCAGCTTCACTCAGGGATGAATACCCGATCCCCAAGAATGCACTACTTTGCGGTAGGGCTAGTGGCCGAAGCACCCGACCCTTGTAAGCTAGCATAGAATAAAGGACCTAGACTTGGGTAGAGAAAACCTGTCCAGCTCAGGTGGATGAAGATTGAATAGCAGAGTTTTGCCTTATAATCTTATTATTTAGCCCATTAATTGTGCTAATGTGAGCATGTATGATTAGAACTTTAAAATTAATAGACCTCAGCTCGAGGTCGCATTCTTTCTTACTATAAATTTGTATTCCGACCATTAATTATTATCATATCATATTTATTGTTATGTTTGTTAATCAAGTATTAAATTAACCTAATGTAATGGTTGCAACAGCTTTGGCATGAATTCAGCCAAATTTGTTTGTTTCTAATATGCATTTCAACTTTCCAATCGTTGATGGTACTGCTTTCACATACAAGGAACACGGAAAATTCAACGAAGTTAAACGAGCAGCCCTCGAGTATAATCAAATTTAATGTTACTTTAAATGGTTTTTTATGTTAATAAAGGATCACATATTTTTCCATAAAAAATCACAAAATTTGTTAAGCAGATAATTTCAAAATTTATTTTTAAATCATACAATATATATTTTTATCAATTTTGTATCTAAATATGTATTTAACTTGTAATAAAAGTGAAATATAAATCAACACAAAACTGGGATGATTTCACTGATCCTAAATTAAGCCTGGATCATTTGAACTTTTGTCCAATTTGTGGGTCAAACACAACTTAATGGGCCTTTCTGGACTCAAATTGGGTTAGATTATAAGCCCATTAATAAGGGGAGTGGATGGCCCATTTCAGGCCTTCAGAGTTCAGAAACAAAATTTGAATAAATACATGGGAATCCCCTCAGATCAAGCTTATTGAGCCTCTCAAGGATTCTCTAATCATATACTCCCACATTTCATCGTTCACCAACCGATACATTTTAGTCAAAACAGTCAATCAATCCTGCGGACACAAAAATCCAGAATTCAATACCCTTGTCTAACATTTTTCTTTTTTAAGTATCACTCCGTTTATAGTAGAGCAACGCAGATCCCTGAGACAAACCAAAACTCTGCTTCTATTTCCCGTTCTCGGCGGGATCCAATCTCACTTTCTCTACATTTCGCGAAAGATCAGGTAATAACTTACTCATTTCAATGATTTCTAGGGTTTCTGAAACCCACGGCTTTTGTTTGGGGGGGGGGGGGGGGGGTGGGTTCGAGCGTTAGTTTCGTAGTGAAATGAGGGAAATAAAGTGAAATTTGCTGAGCATAACACTTTGCCGGTTCATTATACAAATTTAGGGTTTATTACGTAGCAATTCGGATTCGATTATTTTTAAATGCGTTTCTCTCTCTCTCTCTCTCTCTCTTTTATTTAGGGTTTTATTTGAGCACCAAGGCTCGAGTTACTCTCGTCCACGTTATTTTCCATGGCGGTGCGTTTTTTGCCTATTAGTACTACTTATTTTCAGTTAGGTACATTTATTTTTGGTTTATTTTTTATTTATTTCTTTTGAAGTTTTATTTTTCGTATGCTTTGCTTGGTAAATGTGATAGATTGAGAAAATTCTTAAAGATGATGCTAGTGAAGAGAAGGGGGAGCGTGCCAGAATGGTAAGTCATTATGCTTTATTTAATATATATATATATATATATATATATATTGCTGATAATTTGGTTTAAAGGGGAAGAAATTATTACTTGTTTGGAATTCTGTGATTATGCTTTTATTACATTCTTGCTATTTGGGGTATCTTGTTTTCAATAACATATGATTTGCATACTCTTTGTTACTTTTAGGCATCGTTTGTTGGGGCAATTGCAATTACTGACTTGGTTAAGACGACCCTTGGGCCAAAGGGAATGGTACGGTTTCCTCATTGTGTATCCAAATTAAAGGACTTGAATAAGTTGTTATTCTCTGCTTTAAATCATGACTTTGTTGTTGGTGAAATTATTTGGCAGGATAAAATTTTACAGTCAACAGGCAGAGGACGAGAAGTCACTGTTACAAATGATGGAGCTACCATCTTAAAATCCCTGCATATTGACAACCCGGCTGCAAAAGTCTTAATTGGTATCTTTATACTTGTTTTCACTTTCTTGACTACTCTTTATGTGTAATGTGGTTGGCTTTCTTGTCAACATGTTTAAAACTTGTGTCTTAATACAAAATTCAGACATCTCAAAAGTTCAAGATGATGAAGTTGGTGATGGGACAACTTCTGTTGTTGTTTTGGCTGGAGAGCTTTTAAGGGAGGCAGAAAAGCTAGTGGCAGCCAAGATTCACCCCATGACAATAATATCAGGTTCTTTTGGCATCGTTTAGTACATTGCTTCCTGTTGTTCTTCTTTTATGCTTCCTCTCATGGTTCATCCTTGTTTGATTTTGTTATAATATTTTGAGGCTCGTATGTGGTATTATTGCAAAGGCATTAAACTGCTGCAAATTTAAACTTGTTATCCAGTTTCTGTATATCTAGCATAAACAAAGGAGTAAGGGTTTCTAACAGTGTCATTCTTTTATGTAATATTTTCTGACTTGTTTCTATAATATAAAATTTAAAGGAATTGCATTATAAAGATGAACCTGAGAAATAACTGTTAAATTTTAATACTTCTCCCTCTTTAGTCCCGACGGGAGTATATTTTTCAGCATCAAATTTTCTATATTGTTTGTTCTAATTTTCTTTCTGAACTTAGTAGCAGCGTAATTGCATTTGTATCTAGAATAGATTTGGTTTTATTCTTTAACTTTTAATTTTTTGGTGTGCTAATTTCCAAATAAGTTCTGTTTCAGAGTTTATAGCAATGCATGCTGGTTTTATAGGTTATCGAATGGCGGCCGAATGTGCTCGTAATGCTTTGTTGCAGAGGGTCGTGGATAACAAAGAGAATGAAGGTGAAGATTGTTGGATATCAGTACATTCATTTTATTTTTGTATGGATTGTATGATACCGCTATCTTTTGAATTGTTTACCCAATTTTTTAGGGTTTTTTTTTTTTTAATTTCTCATTGAACTAGATTGTTTAATGTGTTTGACTTGATAGAGTCTGTAATTGACTTGTTCTTGCCATTAGAATGTCTTTACCCTGTTGTAGTTGTTTCTTATGCACATGGCATTTCTGAATTTTGCAGAGAAATTCAAGGCAGACTTGATGAAAATTGCAATGACCACTTTGAGTTCCAAAATTCTCTCTCAGGATAAGGAGCATTTTGCACAACTAGCTGTGGATGCTGTTCTGAGGTTAAAGGTGATATCTTTTCGGTATTTAACATTTTAAGATTAAAGATAAGTGCTTATTACTTTAATTAAATTTCTTTTCCATTTTTCGTTATTGAGTTTGTGTGGCATGTTATTTGAAACTGCAGGGAAGCACAAATTTAGAGGCGATCCAAATTATCAAGAAGCCTGGAGGATCTTTGAAAGATTCTTTCTTAGATGAAGGGTGAGTTCTTATGAGCTTCTTATCCCCGTCAACATTTATTATAGTAGTTTTTTGGTGTGTCCAGCTGGGTCTCTGGTATGTTAGCCTTTCCCTTATTGTGAGAAAGAAGGATATTATCAGCTTCATTTTGTTGTAGAGTTTACTGCACTATTTCTTATTCAGTCAAGGTATCATTTTGGAAATTTTATTTTATTGATTTAAACATAAATTATATGCTTTCAGATTCATTCTTGACAAGAAAATAGGGCTTGGACAACCCAAACGAATAGAGAATGCTAAGATCTTGGTGGCTAATACTGCAATGGATACAGATAAAGTGAAGATATATGGTGCACGTGTTCGTGTTGATTCAATGTCTAAGGTTGCCGAAATTGAAGGGGCTGAGAAGGAAAAGATGAGAGAAAAGGTGCAAAAGATCATAGCACATGGGATTAACTGCTTTGTTAACAGGCAGTTGATTTACAATTTCCCTGAAGAGCTCTTCGCAGATGCAGGCATACTTGCTATTGAGCATGCTGATTTTGATGGGATAGAGCGTCTGGCTTTGGTAACAGGTGGTGAAATCGCTTCAACCTTTGACAACCCAGAGTCAGTTAAGCTTGGACATTGCAAGCTTATTGAAGAAATTATGATTGGTGAGGACAAGTTGATCCACTTTTCTGGTGTTGAAATGGGTCAGGCTTGTACTATTGTGTTGAGAGGGGCAAGGTATAGTATTGCAGTAACTTCTCTAGTTCTCCTTGATTTGTTTGTATTCTCCCTGACATGCTACTTTTAATGGCAGCCATCATGTGCTGGATGAAGCTGAAAGGTCTCTGCATGATGCCTTGTGCGTGCTGTCTCAGACAGTGAATGATACTAGGATATTGCTTGGAGGTGGATGGCCTGAGATGGTAATGGCAAAGGAAGTGGATGAACTGGCACGGAAGACTCCTGGGAAGAAGTCTCATGCCATTGAAGCTTTCTCGCGGGCACTTGTGGCCATCCCAACAATTATTGCTGACAATGCTGGTCTTGACAGTGCAGACTTGGTAGCTCAGCTTCGTGCGGAGCACCATCAGGAGGGATGCAATGCAGGGATTGATGTCATCTCTGGATCTGTGAGTGCTGAAATTGAATTATTTTAAAAATAAAAATAGAATCTAGTGTATTTATTGATGAACATGGCTACAGACTTTTCTTTGGCTGTGTCACATATGTCCTGTTAGTAATTTCTTGTTACATCTTAAAAGATGTTACACTTAGATTATAGTACACTAGCTAAGGTATGGCTGCATAACATGATTACAGACTAAATACTCTGTACGTGAACTTTTTATCAAGAGATTTGATTTCTTGGTAGTATTCATCCTAATGTTTTATAGATTCAAATACTGATATGGTTCACGGGTCTATTTGGTAGATGAGACTGGTTATGATTGAATACATCCAAACAAAATGGAATCCTTATAAAATTTTCTTCCTTGGTGTGACCAATTGTATGTTTCAACTTATAACAGGTAGGAGATATGGCTGAGCTAGGAATCTCTGAATCCTTCAAAGTCAAGCAAGCTGTATTGCTCTCTGCAACTGAGGCTGCTGAGATGATTCTTAGAGTTGACGAAATCATTACATGTGCTCCAAGGAAGAGAGAAGACAGAATGTGAAGAAATTCACACGTTTGCTGTAATGGATAGCTATCTTGGCATTTGCTTCTTGAACTGAATTATTGAACTGAAGTTTTGTGGCTTGTTTCAGTTTTGACTGAATGAAAGCGACGTTCACTCTTCTGAAAAAACTGAAACTCACATCTTTCTGATTCGGCAATCGAATTATTAATGATAAAATTTCTATAATTGGTTGAGTTGCAATTTTTTTGCTTTCTGCATTATATTTCTTTTTCATTTTACTCTATGTTAAAATAATAAGATCATAAACAACTGGAAGCCCTCATAACAATTAAATATCTAGAAACATTACCAATCAAACACAAACTGGTTTGAATTAGCAACAGTTTTATGATCTCATGCTCAAAGTTTCAGAATGTGATTATCCGATTTCCCATTCTGCAGCTTACCTATTTATAAAGTTTGGAGAAGATACGGTAATTTTCCCTCCAAATAAACTAAGAAAGTAGAGGTGTCCGAACTAAGGGCTTAAGAATATTTATTTGAGGAATCTAGTTCATTTATAGTGAAGCTGCTAAACGATGGAGGTGAACATAGCCTGACAACACAGCACGATTTCTTTGTTTCGCCTTTACTCTATATATGACCCTGTAGATTATAACACCAACATCAGATCTCTATTCATTTGAATTTACCACTCAAGTTATAACATTGACTTCGAGTGTTACACAGAAGAAAGAATACAGCATACTAGTTGAAGGTTACCTCAAGCCTTCGAGCCACATTTCAGTGACCAATGTTTCACCAGGATACACATGTAAAAGGAATCGTCCGAAGATGTTTTTGATCATGTCTGGATCTCCCCTGCAAATACATTTGATGATAGCCCGAACTGCAAACCCAAGGGTGCACAATCCATGCAAAATTGGCCGCGAGTATCTTTGAACATGAAACAATAAAGAATAAATCAGTATAAAGCTTGGGGTGTAGTTGGGCTGTGTCAAGAAATGGAAACCGAACTTTTACACAAAATGGGACCATAGCCTTAAGAGAAGAATAAGTAAGCATGATTTGCCTTAGGCAACAGAATTGCAATTGAGTAGTGCACTAACCCTGCGACTTTTGCAACCATTGGATCTGAATGAAGAGGATTATTGTCACCGGATAACCTATACAACAATGCCTGAAAAAGAGAAAAGAAGTTAAAAACCCGTGGAGAAGCTTGTCGTCAAAAAGCATCTCATAGGCTCTTGAAGACAAGTTGATATTAGATCAATCTAGTCCACGGCATATAAATTATATGGACTAAAAGAGATTATAATTGAAGAAAATATCTCTTATTTTGAAAGCAACAGAAAAGCTGTTAGGAACTAATCATGATACTAATGCTACACGCCTGAGATGGTTGGGTACAATCCTCAAAAACTGCAAAAGGCTGACTTTCTGGGGTTCTCATAGCTGAAGCCTGGTTGGCTGGATAGTTCAAGTATGTAAAGCGATGAGATGGATCTGAGTAGCCACCAGCACCCCTCAAAAAGGCACTTGTCCTGAAGAATCATTTCTACACTACATTAATGAACCACAGCATGACAGTGTTAGATCAGATAATGTAAAAGAGAACTCACCTATTCATGCATAATAGTTCACCAGACTCTTTCTCATAACTTCTGATTTCAATTTCAAGTACTGCTGCTTTACCTTAATATTTAAAGGGAATGGAAACAGCCATCAAGATCATTGCTTGTAACAGATCACTATCCTTTCAAAATATACTTGAAAACATTTCTTATTTCTGTTTCATGTTTTAGACTGTTTCCAGAGGTCAACAAAATAAGGAAGCAGGCAACAACCAATTTCTTTGTGCTTATTATCCTCACAAGAACTTTTAAATACAGACACGTTCACCAAAGTAAAGACTGCAGGAGCAGCAGACCTGTATACTGCCATAAAACAACTTGACTTCATCCTCTCTATTTAGACACATACCGCCTGAAATATTTTGTAGACAGCATTTTCAGGTAACGAGTACAAACCTTTATCATGAAATCCTACCAGACTTACTTTATTTTGTATCTGCAAAAAAAAAAGGAGGTAAATAATAACAATAATTAATTACAGTATTAAACAGCGGTTGAGAGAGAGAGACTAAACAAATGAATTCCATTAGAATACTACTCTTACATCCCAATTTTTTAAGTACACTGTGTCAAATTTATGTGCCAGATTTTTTTTATTAGAATTGAGAAGAAATGCTCAACCTAGCATAGTTGGAGATGTGGGATTCTGAGCAATTCAATTTTGACATCAACCCAGATATACATAATCCAGAGATAACCACATTCAGGTATATTATAAACAACTATATAATCCAGAGATAACCACATTCAGATATATTATAAAAAACTTCCCAGTTGGCAGTATCATGGACTTACAGTGGCATTGGAAGGAAGTGGCTTGTATACTTCTATGTATTGTTGTCCATGCAACAGAAGACGTGGATCAAATCTGTAAACAACAAAAACAAGAAAAATTCATGAGTTTATTTTTTGAAGCTTCAAACAAATTGTAAAAACCTTTTACTAGACCAAACAGAAAATGAGTTTGTAAACGACAAAGACAGCATTTTTCTGAAAAGGAGGGGGGTGGTATGATATGGGTTTGAACTTACCTCAAGCCAGGCAGATCCATATCTTGCACCATAGATTTAACAGAAAATAAAGTAGAAAATGTTGGCAAAACCTGAGAAGCATGAAATATGAAGATTATTATATTACAAGCAACAAGCGAAAGTGGTTTGTTTCTAGCATATTAACACACCTCCACAGGCCGCCAAGCGATAAATACAAAAGGTTTTTTTTCACTCAAACCTCAGTTTGGATTAACAATTCTGGTCATATTAGAAATCCCATTTGCAGTTCAAATCAGCTTTTCAGGAATCTAAATGCAATTCCATATTCACCCTTAGCGAAAACAACTTAAGCTAGCTCACGATAACAAATATAGCATACACATTTGCCAATTAAGAATCACGATGTCAACATCTTCTTTATTCTTTTAAGTTCCAATAGTCTTAACAAAAAGCTACTAGATAACCTTGATAAACTGCTGTCCGTTTTCATGGTAAAGATATTTAAGTTCATCGGTATCAACAGCGTCCCGACCACATGCTCCAACACCCAAGGCATAGAGAGCTACATCTCTGTGTACAAGGAAACATATCATTGTCATACAAATTACATTAAAGTAAATTTATATATTAAGCTGAGAAGCTAGGCAGTACCTCTCAGTATAAGCATATGTTGTCTGCAACAAAAATTAGGATAAGGATCAAATAACGGAATTAAATGGTGAAACAAGAAGTCAAAAACCGGAATTTCATTCAAGAAAAGGAGAAAACGAGATACCTCGGGAAATTTATGAGAAAGAAGGAGCTGTGGGTTGCAAGCAGAATTATCAGCCATACGAGCTTCTCAAAGATAATCGATTAGCTAGCAGAGCTGATGATTATCAAAGTCAATCCCAAACAAACGATAAATCGAATCTGATATATATATGTATTGAATTTTGAAAATGATAAAAAAAAAAAGACGATAAAATGATTGATAAATAATTAAATATGGAGTGACAGACAATCGAGGGAAGCTTGAACTTGACATCAGAGTGGGCCGAACTTGTTTACTTGCCCTGACTCCTGAGCGCTCAGGCAATCGTGTCTGGTCTGGGTTCGGCCGGTTCTGTCTGGCTGTTTTTATTAGTTTGCTAGAAATGGCTCGTGGGCGTTTTACATTGTTTTTCTTGCGTTTGGGTTTTGGAGGTCTATTGGCCCATGGATTTGGTTTTGACGGTAGTTACATATTATTCGGCTGCGTTGGCCATGTTTGAATCATAGTCTTCTCTCCTGAACCTTTTCAAACTTCAAACTCATCTAAACTAAACAATTCGCTACGGACTGCCGCCATCTAAACACTTCGCTAAGAGCCGTTTCTAAAATGTCCAAAGAGACCCAAACCGTGCAGGCTAGCTCATCCGCAGTGGAGAGCCACGCCGGTTCCTGCGACGCGGAGATGCAGCTTCTCAACGACGCCGTGCGGTCATTGCCTTACCCCGTCGTCAGGGACCTTTTGTCTATCGGTGTACGTTCTCTTGTTTTTTTGGTCAAATTACCTAATGCAAATTCTTTTTACTATTCGTTAACACATGAATTTGATAAAACTAAGCTAAAATCAATCAGATTCGGCGTTTCTTTGGTGTATTTGATTTTAGGTATGTTCGAGATGCGTCCTTCGTTTATTTGGTACCGAGGAGCATATTTATTGTCGTTCCTCGTTTTCACAATCGATGCTTCGTTCAATTCTTGAAGAAATAGCTTGTTTTAAATCCGAAGTCGAGTTTCAATTCTGCACTGTTTGCTTAGGTATATTACAATTCTGTTATTGCGATGACAAAGAAATGGTGGTAAAAAAGGAGAGTGCGAATGATATGGCTTTAAGCATTGCGGAGTTAGTGAAGCAAGAAGGACATCAAATTGATGGATTTTCTCTTGAAGTTTCTTTACTACCACTTATATTGGAAAATGAATCCTCGCTTTTGTAAGTCTTCTTTTGCTTCTTTGGTGGATTTTATGTATAATTTAGGGTTTAGGGTTTAGGGTTTAGGGTTTGTGAAAGTTTTATTTTCCCCATATTTTGTAGGTCACATATGAAAAAGAAGTATGAATCAGAGCCGTGGTTTCAAGAAAGGTTGCTCTCTAAATGCGTTTCTGTTAAGGATGTTCTGAAATTTGCTATAACAAAACCCCTTGAAACATTGTTGGTGAGTATAATTTGCTTGTAATTCTTTTTATGTTTCAAAGTATTGCTGGTTGGAATCCGTTGTAAAAAATCATCGATCTTATGTCAATACAGAATGTATACAATCAATGAGTTATATTAATACTAAATTAAAATAAAGTTTTACAGGATGCTAAATCTAGTGCAAGCTCCTTTCGGATCCGTTTGACTTACACACACAAAAGGGCATCAAAAAGCTCTGTTGAGAGGAATTGGGAATGCAAAAGGCGAAAAAACAGGTATTTTACATCCATCAAAACAAATACCAAAAGACTTGTTTGTATCCAGAAGGCCATAGTTTCACTGATTTCATTGATTGATACAGGCACTAGGTTGCACAATGTAAATGATGAATCAGTGGTTGCTGACAAAAATTGTTCTCCTATTGAAACAAATGCTGTCACTGGAAGATCTTCTAATAGTTTGCAAGATCAAGAACCTTCTGAACACTTTGGATTCCCCATAGAGAAGGTTCTCTTTATAATATTTGCTGACTTCAATTTCTTTACTTGCAAAACTTTTTACTGTTCTAAATGATCTTGCAAATTCAACGGTGTGGCTTATCTTGATGTTTCTTAGTATTTAGTTTGGTATTTTTCCTGTTTAGGTCAGTGAACCTTGCCACTTGGTATACCTTTGCTACAGGACACATATTTACCTATGTGGTCGATATCTGAAGGTAATTTAATACTTTAGAATATATATTTTTTTTGCAACCTTGTTCAAGCATTATGAGTTTATGACTTATGAGATTGCAAAAAGGCAATTTGTTTGTTTTAAACCAATGCTATATTTTAAATCTCCTTCAATTGCCCTAATGAAAAGACCCAAAAACATACTATTTGATGGAATTACTATGACCTTGTACAAGCCTCATATTTTGGTTTGATTTCCCATGTATGTTTTGCTCTTTTTATTGCAGTACTCAAGAAATGTGAGCCAAACACGCTGGATAATTGATGAGGAAAGGATGGGAGAAGCATCTGTTGAGGTATTATCTACTGCTATGTTTTTCCTTATTATCCTAAATGAGGTTGTTAATCCTATGTAATAACATGTCAATCTTAACAGGTTTTTTTGTTTGCTCCTTAGGAGATAATAGGTAGCAACATTCTTCCTATGTGTCAAGGTGATAATTACAAGTTTCATGCTGCTGGCAGAGAAGATATTGATGTAATTAAGTTCTGCTTTATTGATTCCTTGTTTTTTCACTCAATGAATATTTGGCCAAAAAAATTAACGAATATTATGCTGATCTATGGAACCTATTGCAGGTTCGGATGTTAGGTTCAGGTAGGCCTTTTCTGCTTGAGATACAAAATGCACGCCAAGTCCCATCAGATGTGATTGTTGAGGAAATTGAATCAAAGATAAATGGCTTGGAGAATAAACTAGTGGGTTCTAATACCATTGTTATTACCATGTGTGTGTAAGCGCCCATTTGTGTATCAAATGATTTAAACTTGGTTGCACATAACACATTCTTGCAGGTTGGAATTAAAAATCTTAAAGTAGTAGGTAGTCAGGGTTGGACACTGATACGTGAAGGAGAAGCTGAGAAGCAGGTGGTATTTGCTTTTATAATTGTAGTATATCGTAGCTAATTCTCTTATCATATGGATTGATATATGAAGCTTCAATAAAATAAGATCTGTGTTAATCTTTAGCTTTACAATATCCTCTTTCATGCAGAAGCAGTATTGTGCCTTAGTGTGGATTTCTCGCCCGCTTGAGGATGAAGATTTGAGATCCATATCATTGCTCAATGACATGGTTAACTCTTCTGTAAACTTTATTTTTTCTTTTCCATGACATATCTAGAATGTGTATTATAATTAACCCTTCTATTTGGTGAGGAATTTCTGCTGTTCTTATGCAGAAAATTCTGCAAAAAACCCCAATACGGGTGCTTCATCGTCGAAGTCCGTTGGAACGTGAAAAAATTATACATTGGTTGGCACCTTTCCTTTTTACATCTTTGCTCCACAAACATCTACATTTTTAAAATTCAAAATGCTTAATGCTGTTTCTGTTTTCCTTTTTAAATCCTGTGTAGGATGAAGATTGAGAGGATTGCTGGAAGCTCTCAATACTTTCTTTTACATCTCTGCACCCAGGTAATGATTTTATTCTCACTTGAAACATGGCCAAATAAATCAAGTTTGTTTAGTGGGCTGTGGAGGATCTTCTAATGGGTGAAATCATAGTCTTTTTCCTTCTTGGTTTGTTTTTGCGAGAATCATGCCTTGGTACTGTTCTATATGGAATATAGGCTGGCACATTTGTAGAATATTGCTGTTGGTTACTCCTGAAATCTTAAACTGACTGAACTATTCCATGTGCATTATTCTGCAATGGAGTCTTATTAGACAAAGATTCAAGCTATGATATACTGAGTTATAGTAATGGTGTCTCTGAAGAAAGGCTGGTCAGATTGGTTAGAGAGGAGACTAGCCTAGTATGGGGATGTCCTCTGCTAGTATGGTGGGGAATGTGTAATACACTAATATCTTTGGAATGCAGGCGGGAACTTATATCAAGGAATTTGTTCACGGTGATCTTGGGCGTACCCAACCTAGGTACTATACTAAACTGAAAATGACATGGTTGTACTTTGAGTTCTAATGGAAAAGCTCCAAATATTGCTTGATGACTATTCTCACTTTTTTCTTTACATGTTCTTTTTCATTCGGTTCAAACTTGTTTTCCTATTATTGTTAGCAGAAGCATATCATACTATGTATTTTAGATGAAATAAAGCTTTGAGCCTTTGACCTCAGATACGTCTGTGATTATGTATGTACACTTGCAGTGTCATGGAAATCTAACGACTGCTATTTTGCAGTATTGGATCAATTCTAGGATGCAGAGCAGAGATATTGCAGTTGGATGTTACAGACGTGAAAATGGATTGCTTTCTGACAGAATGAGGGATAGCGTACACACTCATATATCCAATGATGCACCACGCATTATGATTGTCATATAGGAATCTGAAATGTTGCTGCCTGTCATTCTTCCTCTTTCTTTTCTTTTTTTTTTGTCCAAAATCAAGTATTTAAGCCTTCTGTTTTTACTCTTTGATCCCTTTACTTTTTAACAAATGTGAAACATTGGCTCATTATAGAAGGCCGACATTCATGATAATAAAGATTCTGATTTGGAAGATTTAGTTGTGCATTGTTGTCAGTTACAACGCCTATCATTGGTCTTAAATACTTTTCTTTTTTTTTTTGGCGGCCAGCTTCTTGTAACCATCTTGAGGCTTTGCTTTGATGTCAAAAGTTTGGAAAGCGTTCTAAATTTAAATAATCTTGAGTGGATTAAACCATGCATCCAAAACCAATCAACGCCCAGTCTTCCCCCTTATTGGGCTATCTGCTTTGGGTCTATCAAAAGTTCTTGTTTCAGCTGCCTGGTCCAGTGCAGTAAATATCATGGTTAAATATAACAAGGTTTTAGCTGGTTGGAGCAATGGCCCAACACGGCTGATAAGGTATACATAGGAAAATTGCCGCTCTGGGCTAGAGTAGCCCATATCCTTGCAACAGGCCTTCTCATGGTAAAGCATAAAATACTTAACATGACCAATGAGGCCCATACCGTACACAGATTATTTTGTCTATCTGGTCAGACCAGCCCATGATAGAATAGTTAAAACCTAAAAGTCACCGCCTCACCAATGCTTATTATTAAGCTACATTGGCCCAAGTGGCTTTTATCTTTGAAAATGGACAAACAACCTATGGCTTTAGCTGCCAAGTCTGCGCTGCCCTTATCAACGTAAAAGCAGCCCATTAAATGGCTAGTGGAATTTAGTAAGCACATTTCTTTTATTTGAATAAGAACATCCTAGTGATCCAGTAATTCCTTATAGTTGAACAAGGTAAAAAAAGAACCTTTCTTGAACCCTATTGCAAGAAGTAAGTAAGAACAAAAAGTAGTAAAGTAAAATATGAAGTGTGTGCAAAAGAATTCTTCCCAGCAGGCATTTGATTATCATTCATATCCTCATTCCATCACAACAAACTACTCAATCCAAGATGCACCCAACATCTTAGCCATGAATCCATATCGGTCAGCAGCTTCATCAATCTACAGCACACAAAGTCAAACGCCCACATCACATGGACTAGCAGTAAATAAAATTTTCTAAAAGGGCAAACAAAAAAGAAGTAAAACTAAATGCATACCATTTTCTGTGTTGGGCGCCCTGCTCCATGTCCAGCCTTACATTCAATACGACCTATAATTGGGTTGGTCTGGGGACTCTTCACTAAGCTCGTACACAGAACATATTGCATTGTCTGAGAAAGAATAAAACACGAGAAATTCAGTGCATCAGCCTTACTCATAGCTAAAATACAGGAGCAAAGTATGAGATATAATATGTTTGGAGAGCTTCTGGTTTGTGATATGCAGATGGGTGAAATATTTGAGAGCTAATGATTCAAGGACTCACTGCCAATAATTTCAATGAGTGCAATGGCACAACTCGGTCGTCATGATCAGCAGTCAATAGCATGGTAGGCGGGTACTGCAATGGCTGATCAGGATGCTGTTCCCATGGTCTTCGTACGTTATGTAGTGGTGAGTACCTTGCAAAAGAATAAGATAAATTGGAAACTGTGTAGGCAAATAAGTAATGGTGTTAAGCTTTCTTGTTATATCATCTGTATTTTCAGCTCTGTTTTCTCCCTTGGGTGTGGAAAAAAACCTTTTGTATCTATGTTTGACATCAGCTATGTTGGGAAGATAAACCACATTTGGAACCTATAAGAGCATACCAGAGAGCCCATACATACAAGTTGGACATCAATTGAGCCCAAAAGCTTACATTATTAGGTTCTTGGGTCCTTCATGCATATATAGGACATCACATTCAGATTTCCTAATGATGAGGAAATCTGAATGAGATGTCCTATATATGCATGAAGGACCTAAGAACCTAATAATGTAAGTTTTTGAACTCAAGTGATGTCCAACATGTATGTATGAGCTCTCTGGTGTGCTCCGATGGGATCCAAGTGTGGTTTATCTCCCCAATAAAGATATTTGCTAATAGAAGTCTGATTTATATAACTGTGTTACATAGCAAGAGATTTAGATCAAATAAAAGTTTTTATACAATAGAAATTCACTCACTTGATTTGCCAGTGAAACTCTTCCTCCTTGTCTGAACAGCCATAATCTGACGTCCATGCATGGCCTGTAAAGAGAATCTTGATCAACATATAATACTAAAATAAGTATTCCATAGAGCTAAAAGATGCAGCGCAAACTAACCGACGGTGAACTTATGAAATCGCAGCATGTCCATCACACCAACATGAGCCAAAGCACAACCAAAAACATCAGGTCTCTGCCAAAAGTAAAATAGCTCACAAATGAACATTGTAAGATAATGAGAAAGGATGAAAAGGTCAAAAAAGAGAAAATCAATCATGCAAATTTTGGTCCACCTGGTTTATGCAAGCCCCAATGAGAAGCCCGCCATTGCTTCCACCTTCAATACACAACTTTCTGGACTGAGTATAGCCAGCAGATATAAGATACTCAGCAGCAGATATGAAATCATCAAAGCAATTTTGCTTCTTGGAAAGAGAACCAGCTTTATGCCATTCCTCTCCATATTCTCCCCCACCACGGATGTTGGCAATGCAGAAAAAAGCACCAAGATGCCTTGTAAGTACAATACGACTCACACTGAATGTTGGTGTGAGACTAATGTTAAATCCACCATATCCATACAGCAAACAAGGATGTGATCCATCCAAATTAATGTTCTTCCTGCCCACAATGAACATTGGGATCTTGGTACCATCCTTACTTGGCACAAATACCTGAAATGGAACTAAAAGAATAAGAGAACGTACTAATTGCACACCATCATAAGTTTGAAGTCACCATATTCCTGAAATAATTACCTGAGTGACTTCGTACCCTGAGCGATCAAATCCGGGTACGCTAATTTCACGGAATATCTTCATCTCTGGGACCTCAGTGCCGATATTGCACTGATATACAATACCAGGGGTAAGAAAGCTGGTAAAACCAATAAAAGCCACACTGTCTTCCCTCCGTGCCGAAATCCCATGAACAGACCCAATGTCAATTGGCAACTGATGCAGCAGGGATCCTGTTTTCAAATCCCTTATTTGCAGCACATACTTCACATCACTCAGGTAACTGATAATCATTTGATTACCATTTACAGCATGCGCTGATTCAAGCACATCTTTTTCAGCCTCTGGGATAACATCAATCCAGTTACTTGGTTCCTTCAGATCTACTCGGACTAGTTTATATTTGGGGGCATCTTTATTAGTAAGGAAAGTAAAAACTGTGTCATCATTTGCAATGGCTTCATATCGTGCGTCAAATAGATCTATTAACTTAAGAAATGGGAGCAGGCCATTCTTTTTCCTGAAACCTTCAAGACCTTCAGGAAGCGAGGAAATATCGCAGTAGTATAGTTTATTGACAGGGTCACAACTCTCCCAAATAGACAGGAGAAGATACTGCACAACAAATTTTAAAAGAAAAAAATAATGAGAAAAAAAAATTTGCTTTCTGCTGATATGTGATATCCTGGCTCTCTTTCAGTTAGAATGAACTAGTAGTTCCATTAACATCATTTTTATAATCCTTAGGAAACATGAAAATACAGTGAAATTGTATGCCTTAAATTGGGCTATAAGTTAAAAGACTTGCTTAATGTTACCATCCGAGCACAAAAACAAAACATCAAATCTAGAATGTTGCATACATTCCTGTTCCACATACATGAACTCAACTCACCTTTCCATCATCTGTAACACTACCTCCCAAAAAGTGCTTAGGATTTTCCGGATCTTTCCAGCATAAAATATCTTCAGATTGATCTGTACCGAGCAAATGATAGTATAGCTCTTGATTAAGGTTAGAATCAGTCTCTGTTCCAGCATCTACGTTTTCTCCATCTCTACACGATAAAATTTACCATCATCTTATTTTCTATTTTCAATATCTATAAAGTCTTTACTCCAATTAAAACATCATTTTTACTTACCTGGGTGCTGGGTAACGACAATAGAAAAATCCTTTGCTATCATGGGTCCAGCTTATACCCGAAAACTTCACCTGTGAACAGAATTGAAACGTAGAGTAAGCTCAATTCTCATCAACAGACTCTTGAAAGTTGAAACAAATAAAACACTCAAAGTTCAACTAGCTCACCCATGATAAAGTATCAGGCTCAGCTGACTTGTCCTCAACTCGCATTACTTTAATCGTTACCCAATCACTGCCACTCGAACTAAGGCCATATGCCAAGTACTTAGCATCCTCACTCACGGACAGCATGGTCAACGACACCGTTCCATCTTCACTAAGCGAATTGGGGTCAAGCAAAACCTCTGCTTCTCCTTCCAAGCTATGCTGAAAAAATCTAACACCGATTAAACTCTTGAAGAAAAAGAAAACCCTTTGAATAGAATTCTTGGATTACAAACCTGGACATAAAGGACATTTTGGGCTTGAAGTCCAGTGTTGTGGTTGTAGAAATACTTGTTGCCTCGCTTGAAGGGGACATCGTAACGTGGGTGGTCAAAAAGCTTGGTGATCTCATCGCGAAGCTTATCCTTTGCTTCGCACTGTTCAAGCACCGATTCAGTTAATTTTACCTGTTTCTGAACAAAGTCCTTTACTTCCTCAGTATCAGGATCTTCAAGCCTATAAATAAGACATTGAATAATATTTTTCAAGCAATTAATCTGAATTCTGAATAATTTAAGGGAGAAAAAATTTACCATCGATAAGGATCGGAAATCTTAACACCATGGTAATCGTCAACGACAGAGTCGTCTCTGCGAGCAATAGGATAATCAAAAGGCCCTTCCAAGGCATAAAGCGAACCCATGAATCTAGCAGGCGAAGGGAAACACGCTCGCTGGAGCTTAGAAAAGGGTTGTGGCAGTGAAGATTAAACAAGGAGCGCGTGGCTTGCGTGTATGACTGCTAGGTGAGGTGACTTTTCTAGCTTTATTCGACTTTACTTGCGGTTGTCTTTGGGGAATATTGTTGCGTCTAAGTGTTGCCATTTTTTTCTTTTATTGTAGTCCAATTATTCCTTAAACAAGGGAAAAGATTCATGTCGTGGAAAGCTACGCTAGCAATTTGGCTTCTCTGTCTACTTCAAGCCAAAGTTTTCGAGGGATTCCAACCTAAAAAAATCGACGATTCTCTTTTTATGTACTTGTCTTGCACTCAGAATTTTGTTTTTTTTTTTTTTAATTTAAGTCACAGTTATCACAACTGTTCCAATGTTAATTTGTCAGTTTCAGTTGGGATTGGGACATGGGAATCATGTTTTGCCTTTGATATGCACAGCACTTGGAAGTGAGCAACGAATGTAAAATCCAAAGTTGTATTTCGAATATGATTCTCAAGCAGTCGAATTGCAATCCGCATAAGGTTCCCTATGATTACATGCCAGGTAATTGTTTGATTTCTGGAAGTGAAAATCTAAAATATTTATTTATGAAATAGACAATTACTGCTCTTCATATTTTTCAAAGAACATCATATAGTTACTCTCAGAAACAACATATTTGGAACAGCTGAACTGCGAACTCTGCTCATTGCTCTACTTTTGTGAGCTTTTCAGCCACATGATATATAGAAAACATGCAAGAATAAGAGAGTATGATCAGTTATCATATTTTTAATTTTTTTTGGTATATAAAGCCACTTCATGCATGTCTCATTTACCAATTAAAGGGGAAAAGTAAGATCAGGATAATATTAAGTAGATGCTAAGTATGTATCAGTAAAATTTTAACTTAAACAAATCTATAACGTATAATTGCTTTGTTTTCTCGAAAAACTTGAATATTGTAAAATTGGCTTCTAATATCACTAGGAAAACTTGATTATTGTATCCTTGATACGAGTTACTCGATCCAAGTTGCACCCAACACCTTAGCCATGAAGCTATACCTGTCAGCAGCTTCATCAATCTGTGCAGCATAAGACGCCATAAGGTCAATTCAATCTGAGAGTGGCTAAAAGATGGTGAGGCTGATAAATAGAACTCTAATCAATTGATTACCAATTTATATGTTGGACGTCCACATCCATGTCCGGCCTTACACTCAATGCGTCCAATAATCGGATTCGTCTGGGGACTATTCTGCAAGCTCGTACACAGAACATATTGCATTGTCTGAAAAGAACAAGCAAACCGAGAATCTTGGGAGATTAGAGAGGATAGAATATGTGTGAGGAATTTCAAGAGATAGCTATGCAAGTGAATATTCAAACAAGTAGAAACCAGTATAACGATAATTGGCAAGGAACTTACTGCCAACATCTTCAATGAATGTAATGGAACAACGCGATCATCATGATCGGCAGTCAATAGCATGGTGGATGGATACTGTGACTGTCCACCAGGATGTGTCTCCCATGGTCTCCTCACATTATGTAATGGTGAGTACCTTGGAAAGAGAAGACAAGCAACAGTTAGTCCAACGTCCAAACCTTGTCACAAGTTAATTCACAGCCTCCAATCCTCCGTAACCAGAGTAAAGTAAAAGAAATTTTAACTTACTTGATGAGCCACTGGAACTCTTCTTCTTTGTCAGAACAGCCAAAATCACAAGTCCAAGCATGGCCTTTAAAACCAAAAAAAAAAAAAAAATCAACATATAATAGTGAAATTCTAATTCTATAAAATAAAGAACGTAAAACTGACAAACCTATTGTGAACTTGTGAAATCGCAGCATGTCCATCACACCAACATGAGCCAAAGCACAACCGAAAAGTTCAGGTCTCTGCCAAAAAGAAGAAAAGGGATTTTAATTATTTTAACATTTTATGATAATGAAAAACGTAAACGGAAACAGGAGTTTAGTCCAATTAATTCATGCAACCATCTCTTAGTATTCAATAGGACTTGAGTTCAAATTCCAACATTTGTAGTCTTTTTTTTCTATTTCAAGCTGTGGCCTCCATGAAGAAAAATGAAGAGGAAAATAATTTTGTTGTGAAACCTGATTTATGCAAGCCCCAACTAGAAGCCCACCATTACTTCCCCCTTCAATACATAATTTTTTGGGCTGAGTATACCCAGAAGATATAAGATACTCAGCAGCAGAAATGAAGTCATTGAAGCAAGTTTGCTTTTTTGATAGGGCACCAGCTTTGTGCCATTCCTCTCCATACTCTCCACCACCACGAATGTTTGCAATGCAGAAAAAGGCACCAAGATGCCTAGCAAGCACGATTCGACTAACACTAAATGATGGTGTGAGACTGACGTTAAATCCACCATATCCATACAACAAACAAGGGTGTGATCCATCCAGATTTATATCCTTCTTGCCAACAATGAACATTGGGATCTTGGTGCCATCCTTACTTTGAACAAAAACCTGAATGGTATTAAGAAAAAAATAATAATAAGATAACATAGCAAATGGAGAAACAACCAAGTTAGAAAGAGGTCACCAAACTAAAATAGAGTAGCAATAATCACCTGATTGATTTTGAAATCCGAGCGATCAAAACCTGGCACATTAATTTCACGAAATATGTTCATTTCTGGAAACTCAACTCTTAAGTTGCATTGGTATATAATACCAGGAGTAAGAAAGCTAGTAAAACCGATGAAAACCATACTGTCTTCACGACGAGCAGAAATTCCGTAAACAGTTCCTATGTCAATGGGCAACTTATGCAGCATGGAGCCTGTTTTCAAATCCCTTACTTGGAGCACATACTTAACATCACTCAAATAACTCACAATCATCTGATTGCCATTCACAGCACATGCTGATTCAAGCACATCTTTTTCATCCTCTGGAATAACATCAATCCACTTACTCGGTTCCTTCAGATCAACTCGGACTAATTTATATTTTGGAGCATCTTTGTTTGTCAAGAAAGTGAAGGATGAATCATCATTAGCCACTGTAAGATATTGTGCGTCGAACTGATCTATTAACTTAACAAACGGCAGTGGGCCATTTCTTTCCCTGAAACCTTCAAGACCTTTAGGAAGTGCAGACATGTCGCAGTGGTAAAGTTTATTGACCGGACCACAACCCTCATCGATATACAAAAGCAGATACTGCACGATAGCATTCAAAGTTCAATTGAAACAAATCAATAGAAAATTTCCTCACACATAAACGTGCCATCAAATTGGACCTTCACAGATAGATGCTTAGTGTTAAAGATCAACTGACCTTTCCATCATCCGTCACTCTGCCACTAAACATGTGCTTAGGATTTTCAGGATCGCTCCAGCATAAGATGTCTTCAGATTGATTTGTACCGAGGAAATGATAGTATAACTCATGATTAACGTTAACACTAGTTTCTATCCCAGAATCAAGGTTTTCTCCATCTCTGCATCATAAAAATAGAATTAGCCCATGACAGATGTAAACCAAGTCTAGAACAAAAATCCTGAGAAACCATGACAGATACAATTCTCGCAATATATGAGAGACGATAACAAGATAATTAATAAGTCTATAACTGACAGAATCAGAGGATATAGAGATTTCCCAGAAAGCAGAACAGAAAGTTTGCAGTAATTTGGTGAGAAATTAATTGAAACTTTATTGTGGGTACATTAATTGAACTTACACAAAAAGGTTGCTTTTCTAATTGCTGGCTTTCTCATACACTCTACACAGAAACAAACTTACACATAACGTTGGAAAATATTAGACTTTTGTTCATTGAAACAATCTTTTTCCTAATAAAAAAAAATGAAACTTCTGAACTACTACTTACTTGGGGACTGGATAGCGGCTATAGAAAAACCCTTTGCTATCATGTGTCCAGCTGATTTCCGAAAACTTTATCTGTAACATAAGCCAAAGATTATTACCGTGAACTCATGCTGAAAAATATAATAGCCTCTTCACCATTCAAGCGTAACAACTCACCCATGATAAACTATCAAGTTCCCCTGTTTTATCCTCAACTCGCCTTACTTTAATCGTCACCCAATCACTTCCACTTGAACTAAGCCCGTAACCCAAGTACTTGGCATCCTCACTAACAGACAGGGCCTTCAACGATACCGTTCCATCCTCAGATAGGGTGTTGGGGTCAAGCAAGACCTCCGGTTCTCCATCCAAACCATCCTGAATCCAATTGGAGGGATAAAAAAAATTGCATACTGATATTACTATTTTTATTAAATGTTGTTCCTGACAAACCTGCATATAAAGGACGTTTTGTGCTTGGAGCCCGGTGTTATGGAAGTAAAAATATTTATTGCCTCGCTTAAAGGGCACGGTGTAGCGTGGATGATCAAAGAGTTTTGTGATTTGCTTGTGAAGTTTACTTCTTGTGTCGCACTTTTCAAGCACTGATTCTGTCAGAGTAACCTGTTTCTGCACAAACTTCTTTACTTCTTCAGCATCAGCATCTTCAAGCCTAACAAGAAAAAAAAAGAATTACTCCATAATCAGATAAACTAAACCAAAAGAAGGGTAAAGTTTTCTTGATTTCTATCAAACAAAAGATTTGAGACGATGTGAACTTTGATTACCATCGATAAGGATCAGCCACCTTAATACCATGATAATCATCAACCACAGACTCGTCCCTGCGAGCTATAGGGTACTGAAATTGTCCGAAGGACCCCTCTGACAAACCGAGAGAACCCATGAATACAGAGCTTGAACCTGGCAGAGCCTGACGGTAAAAGCTTCAAATACTACTAACTTAGAAGAATCAGTTGTCATGGTTTTTTGTGCCAATAGACAATATTTATATATACGGCAGGCACTTAAAGTGGAGTGTGTAATAGATGAAGTCATGTTAAGCCATTTCTTGCGGAACGGTGTTCTTCCTAATGTATGTTGTGGGGTTATTACGTCCTTAAGGTGTCGCCATTATGGCTCTAATATGTTGCCATATTTTTGGAATCATCGATTCCTGGTTTATTCATTGTGGGGGATTTTTTTTTTTTTTTTTTTGGACTGGATTGCTGGCCTTTCCAGCTAAGGTGCCAACTAGGAATGGCACTTGTCTGTCTTTCCACTTTCTAGGACAAATGTTTTCAAGACTCTAAGCTACTCTACAAATTTAAGGACCTTTGCTTTCCAAGTTCCTAATTCTTCTTAAGATGAATCTAAAATCAGAGGCTCCTTAAAAAGTAGTCTGACTTCTGGTTTTCCTACGTTTCCCAATGATTGGGAGCCACATGTTGAACATATATGATTTTTTTTTCTGTTGGATATCTGACATATTCTGGGCCTGAGTAACTTTTCGCAGGCTCAGCTTAGACCGGAAGAGTTTGGTTTTGTCTTTTTGAAGAAAAAAAATTCCTTAGGAAAAATAATTTGCTTTTTCCTTCTGCCAAATGAAGTAAGAATATTGCAGAAGTACATTTTCTTGTGACCTGAACTCTGAAGAGGATTATTGGCCAAAAATAGAAAGGAAGAAAGGAATCAGATTGAGTTTAATTGGCAACAAGTAACTTTTTTTATATTTGAGGAAGTTGAAACAAATTAGTTTTCCACATTTTGGAGTTAAAACTGCAATGAGCTGTAAACACTATATTTTGCTATCAAAATTTATTTTTTATTTCTGAAAAAAAAAAAAAAAAACTTTGCAAGAACTTACTGTGACGTGTTTTCAACCAAAAACTAATATAAATGCTTGAAGCAGAATCCCAACTAGTTTGTCTTGTTTCATGAAAATGCTATATAACTTGCAAAACATTTTGTTAATTTAATGAGAAATGAAACAATATATATGACGAAAACCAAGTGCTAGCTTTTGCAGGAGAAAGAAACAAACCACAAATTATATTTTTAGTTAGTGATGATAAAGAATCTCACGTTACCACCATGGTGAAGCAAGTAGTTGCATTTCATAGTCAGCAGATGGGATTGAGGAATAGGAATTATGATACAGTGCATGCTACAAAGTGTGTAGTTCTGGTGATAAATGTTCTCAAGGCCGTCAAAGAATAGGTGCCATCTGTAGTTTTGATTATTATTCTACAAATTAAAGCGTTAGCCACAACTGTCACTACAAGAAATAATATGTAATTTTCCTTCGCTAATACTCTAATTTCTGTCTGTAAAATATTTTAGTGGCTGAATTTTCATTACTTAAAGTCTGTCAGAAAGTATAAAGTCGGTGAAAGTCTTCCTTCGCTAAAATTTTTTCATCCGTAATGACTGAACTTTCAGCAGCGAAAATTGCTAGTGCCACATTTTTCCGTTGCTAAAAGTAATTATGGTTTTATCTATTTGGAAAAATAAAATTTATAATTCCGTAGTAAATACTTTTAGAGACGGAAATTTCGGTTACTAAATTTTATTTTTATAATATTTTTAAGTAATATTTGTAACATCATCACTAAAACTATTAGCAACAGAAATATTTTTTAATAATTAGTTTTTATCTATAGTTTCATTTGTTAGAGATCTTTTCCGATAAAATTTTTATCACTAAAAGGTATTTTGTTTCCTGGATCGATATCAATTGATCTTTTGTTGCTCAAATTATTGACAACAAAAAATTTTATTGTTAAAAGTTATTTTTTTTGGAATTTTGGACTCAATCCTTATTCATTCAGGATCAATCCCATTTGGTTTCAGAATAAAAATTTATTGGCAATTGAAATTTCTGTCAATAAATACTAAAATGGTCATCCTTTAGCTTCCTTGTTATTCCGTCACTAAAAGTTCCATCATTGATTAACTGTATCTTGTAATATGTCCTTAAAATGAAAATAAAAAAAATTATGTCTAGATTGAACGCATCAGGGATTACAAATGAAACAGGGTGTGTGCTATGTAAACAAGAGGATGAGTCTAGGAGCCATATCTTCTTTAGTTGCAATTACTCTAAAGCTGTGTGGAAACAGGTTTTACAGCTCTGTAACTTACATATAATAGTGAAAGGAACAAGAGGTAATTTGCTGCTGTGGAAAGTAATGAAAGACAGATTCTTAGAATGATAAAAAAAAAAGTGATACAATTGAGTTTGATGGGGCTGAAAAATATTGCTTTTGATAGTGTAAATAAAGATTTATGTAAGAAAATGGGGTTTAAGAAAGGGATATATTTGTATAGAACTTAGGTGATAGATGAAATTATATGAGTTATATATTGATAGCAGTAAATAATTACTTTTAGGCAATAAAATTACAAATTATAAATATATATATATAAATATATATATCATCTCAAAATATGGATATTAAGTTAAGAGTATAATTTTCTTCAAAAAAATTAGTGTGAAGAAAAATGTTGAATAAACTATTTTACGTTTATTAATTGTACACCTGAAAGCCCAATATAGTTATAATCATTAAATATATATATTCGTTGATGAGTGTTTTTAGGCCCAACGTAAACATAATTGGAGTAGATATGCCAATTCCTAACTAATGAAGACATAATTAAGTTTAATAAAGTAATTGCCAATGGACCATGGACCAAGATTTACATGATCAAGCCTCATTTATGATTTACAAAAGCAATCCCGGTCAAAAAAATAAAATAAAATAAAATAAATCCATTCATTTTATTTTATTTTATTTTATTTTTGAGACCCAACTCAAACAAATTAAATCCACTAATAATGAATTAACGATAATGTTAAAAGACAAAAGAAAATAATCATTGCATTAAAAGGAGCCATAGAGAAGCCATGGAAGAAAATTCTTAGAAAAGCCGTCAGTTGGAATGAAGAGATGACATGGATAATGACAAAAAATTAAAGGGCAAATTCTTGATTTCTATTGTATCAAAATTTTTTTTATCTTTTAGTAAATACAATTACTTATTAAAAAAAAAAAAAGCCATAAAGAAGTTAGGGGGATCCATAAGGATGATAAAATCATCACATTAACACATCTAACCTAAGCCGATCCCGCAATTAAACAGCGGCACTCATAAAATCTCACGGCGTGGGTTAAACTCCACGGATTCTTTAGGGCGAAACCGGAGCTTGCGAATCACGCTCCATGAACCAACGCGGGGCATTCATCACCCGCCACTTTGAAAATGATAAACCTCCACTGTCTTCCATTGTGGTGACCGGTTAAAGCCAACGGCAATACGAACGCGAAAGCGAAATAAAGAAACAGAGCACAGTTCACTTCGAAGCTTTTTTGTTCTTTTCTGTTTTTTTAGCTCCACTCTTCTCCACCGTACGGCAACCGTTCCTTCACCGGAAAAGAAAACCGTACGGTCCCGTAATGACGGCAAGAAGTTGATAAAACTTTGGTCTTGAAGGATGGGGAGCGTTTCGTCTGACGAAAGTTTCGATCAAATAAGCAAGCGGTTCGAGAGTTACAGTTTGAGCGCCGACGTGAGCGAATCTGAGAGCTCAAACGAGTTTTCTTGTCGTCTTTTTGACCAAGAAGGCTGTTCGAGTTCTTTGACCTCTTTGCCGCTGGCTGTACCAGAGTTCTTAGATGGTTCTAGTTTTACGGCGCGGCTTCATGTGATGTTACCGGTTGTCGGTGGTAGACACGTGGTCATTCCAGCGAATAAGGCGAAGATACTGGAGGCCGACATGTCCGGTGAATTATACTAAAACTCTTGCTTCATGTTCCTTTTAGCATTTCCTAAATTGAGAGTTGAATTTGTTGCTTTGTTGAAGGTTTTGGAGGAAATTTAGTTTATAACGGTAAAGATCGAAGATTTTGAGTTGAATATTTTGCTGCATTTGGTAAATAACTTAATTAGTGATGGTTATTTAGATCTGTTATTTATTTTGAATTTTTGATCCCTTGAAGCTTTGTTTGGTTGTATAGTTTTTTGTTGATTATTCCGTCTTAACTTTATCCAAAGTAGACTTGATAATCTAAAATATGACACAATGACATGATACATAAAAAATTCGACAGAAAGATGAGATGATTTAAAATTTTAGTAAAATTTATATCTGGATTTAACGAAATAAAAAAGTATATTCGTGTTTTAATGTAAACATAAATTATAACACGTAATTTTTATGTAAAATATTTTCAATATTTTACGCGACTAAAATACAGGTCTATCCCCAAGCAACAGCGGAAAAACAGGGCAAATGTAGGGCTAGAATTCTTTTCTTCTCCAAGTTTCCTTATTTCTTTCCCCTTTTTGATAACAAGGGTACTTTTGAGCTGAAGATAGCCTAATGAACTGAAATGATCTTCCGTAGATTCTGAGTTGACTATATGATTCATCGTGTTTCAATTAGTATTGATGTTATTGCAGAAGTGGATATGGTGAAGGAAAGGTTTGCGAAACCTTTGCTTGGAGAAGATATGTCCGGTGGAGGGAAATGAATTTGTACTGCTCTTGCCATCTCCAATGCCATTACAAATCTTTCTGGTTGGTTCTTGTATCTGCATTTCATTTTTTGTTTTAGTTTATTTTGATTCATCGGTAACAAGAGGTTGAAATTGGAATCGATTTGGTTAATTTTTTTGCAGCTTCTGTGTTTGGCCAATTATGGGAGTTAGAGTCTCTATCACCACAAAGGAAATTGATGTGGCGTAGAAAGATGGATTGGCTTTTGTGTGTAAGTGATTCCATAGTGGAGCTTAGACCATCATTGCAAGAGTTTCCAGGTGGGGGAACCTTTGAGATTATGGTGGCCCAGCAACGCTCTGATCTATATGTAAACCTTCCAGCACTCAAGAAACTTGATGCAATGCTGCTAAGCATTCTTGATGGCTTTCGTGATTTTGAGTTCTATTATGCTGATCTTGGGGTAGTTTTTGCTAATACTGATGACCTTTATACATTTTCTTCATCTTCTGGGAGGCCTTCTGTTAGACTGGAAGAGAAATGGTGGCTCCCATTTCCTAAGGTTCCCCCTACTGGTTTATCTGAAGATAAAAGGAAGGAAGAGATTGCTGCAGTGTAGGGAATGTACACACCAGATCCTTAAGGCTGCTATGGCAATAACGGCAATGTGTTGGCTGAGATGGAAATCCCAAATGCTTACCTGGACAGCTTGCCAAAGGTATGAAGACTGTTCTCTACAATGTACAAAATCATTCCATGTGCCATGAGATGAAATGTAAGGAGATGAAAATGGATATTAGATGGTGATCCATGAGACTAATTGTGTCTAAATTTTATGCATTATTTTGTTTCTGATGAAGGAATGATCCTTTACTTCAGTGCAATGAAAGTGTTTTTTGGATCTGAGGTTGTGCATTTCTTAGAATTATTATCAATTCACTATGCAGTTTGACTGATTATTTTTAGGGAGCATATTATTGCTCATGCATCTCTTTGTTTCCATTTTTTGTCTTTCTGGGTTTCAGCATCCTAATATTATATTTTTTGAATTGTTTTTGCTTGTCTTCCAGTGTGGAAGTGATTGTTTGGGTGAGGTAATGTACCGTTACTTAACTGCTGACCAGTTCTCCCAAGTGTCTTCTTGATTGCTTAGACCTGTCGTCAGAATACACTACTCTGGAAATAGCTAATAGGATTGAGGCTTCTGTGCATATTTAGAAGCAGAAATGCTTGAAAAGGCATTCAGTTCTTGCAAAGGGAGGAAAGTCATCATGGGGTGGCAAGGTCAAAGGCTTTGTTGGTGACATAGAAAAGAGCAAGGTTCTAGCTCAGCGGGCTCAAACCCTCTTACAGAACTTACGGCTACGGTTTCCAGGCCTTACACAGACTTCTTTGGACATGAGCAAGATTCAGCATAACAAGGTACATCTGCTTAGCGTGGATTAGTATTGAAAGCATTATAGTTCTTGGAACTTGTTTCCATTAATTACATGTCTCTATTGTTTAAGATGTTTCATAATTTAATATTTATCCAGAAGTAGGAAAAACAATGATCCGTATGAATGTGAATAGAATTTGAAAGGAGTCAAAGTTGCATATAATTTGGAAGTACGGAACTAACTGTTCTGGATGAATTTCTCAGTGCAGCATGCATCCTTAAGTAGACAAAACAAGCGAGTGCTGTTATAACTTGTATGCTCATTTTTTCTTTTTCTTATATTTTTCTGTCTCCCTTTCTTTTGCTGAAGTGCTGTAATATGCTAAAGGTAAAGAGATCAGAATAAAATTCTTCGTTTTTGTAGGATGTCGGACAATCAATTCTTGAAAGCTACTCTAGAGTCATGGAAAGCCTAGCTTTCAACATAACAGCAAGGATTGATGATCTGCTACATGTGGATGGTGCCACAAAACAACGTGCAGCAGCAGAGTCTACGCCTCTTTATGACCCGGGGCGATCTGGTGTTGCTCTTCCTAAACAAAGGCGGCTACCACCTAGTCCTTTCTCATTTCCAAATGCTCCTTTTGGGACTCCATGTGCGATGAGAGCATCCTACTCTTCAGAAGAAATAGGTGAAAGCCCTGATAGGAGTAATTATCACCCTTTCAATAATGGTAATCTGAGTGACCCGCTAGATGGCTCACTAGAAAGGCTAGCTTTTTAATAAGTGGAAGGAATAACTTGTTGCATCACCAACCTGAAACCTCCAAAGAATCTGGTAATACTTTTGGACTAAGATTGAGGTAGGTTACACCATCACATGCAGCTGAAAGCTGATTTATCATTATGACAGGTATTGAAAAAAATTAGATTGAATCTTGTATATATTCCTTTATGATTAGACACACGAAGTAGAGATTTTCAGATACTCTGGGATATTAGTTAGCTGGATCTCTTTAAAGTATCACTGTTGTAGCAGGAATTACTGGGATTTTTCTTCTGTTGCCAGAGTAGAGAAGTATTATAAACAACCAGAACTTGGCTTAGCGTTTTGGATAAATTCCAAGGTTTGAATTCCTTGACTTGTTTCTCAGATTTCTCTCTGCACTTGTAGAATGGAAACATTAATGTTGAACAAAATAGAATGGCAATGGAAGTCTTGATCTCATTTTGAATTCAAAAATTGGAAATAGAGAAAAGAAAAACTATTAAACGTCTGTTAAAGGGGCGCCCATTCTTTGGAAGAAGAGACTTTGGGCTTTGCAACCACTGGTTAGCCAACACTCAAATCGAACCTTCGCGGGTGTGGCCCAGACAGGCTTTTTATTTCTTTTCCGCTTTGTCCTGGGTATGTAATCTCATTGGGGTTCCAAACCTCTATTGCTGGAAAGAATAATGGGATTTTGATAATAACAATTAATAATGCATTTCATTAAAGGAAATAATAATAATAATAATGCAACTCTAAAATATGGTTATGTCATTTGTGATGTTCTTTTTTTTTATGTAATGTTCAGTCTTAACCCTGATCATTCCAATTAAAAATTCAACACTATCAATAGATGGCAGAGTTGTTGGCATGTTCTCATATATATAAATATATATATATATATATATATTCTAGAGTACAGTAATAACTTTTATGCTTGTGGGTAAAAAAAAAAGGTACTACTAGTTTCATATTAAAATGAATTTTCAAACTACAGTTTTTAAACCATAATTTTACAATCCAATCACATTCGAGCCGGCTTTAATGGAGTAAATCATTGTTCCTATATAATAGTATTTAATGATTTCTTCAGTTATATTTTTGTATTCTTAAATTTTATCTGATGTTTTTAGGAAAACAGATTAAATTAGTCGTAAATTCTGTAGATAGATCTGAATTAGTTTCATGTCATAAACTCTTTCTTTAATTCTTTAAGTGATGAAAGGGACATGTGCTTATTAATTCTAGTAGAGAGTGAAGTTCAGGGCCCAGAAGGGAACCAAATGGAGGAAAATAGACTTTACAATTGAAAAAAAAAAAAAAAAACTCTCTAAGAAAACTTTCAGCCCCAAAACTAACCGGGAGGAAATGGTAAAGGAAAAAAAAACTTGGTCCCTGTCGATTTGGAGTATCATTAACAATCTTTTCATCAACTTTTATTACCCTTGACCAAAATCCTTAACGCATTGACTCGAAGCAAGTATAAGTAGCAAACGGTAGGTATAGGCAGCCAATGGTTCACTGGCTCCTCCCCATTATTCTCCAATATCGACGACGACATGCCAAGGCAGCAGAGGTACCGTATAACGCACTCCACAGCGTGGCGCACTTGAACAATATCATCCTATTCAGACACCTCGAAAACTCATGAAAACCTATGGACTATAGACACAATGAAAACACCACAGAATCACAATCAAAGTCCCATTTCTTTTTTCATTCTCTTATTGTTAACTGTTCATTGCATTGCCCATATCGCTAATACTCTCAAAGTTTTGCATTGTCCCTCTTCATTCTTTTTATCATCTCTATCCGACCACCATAAAGAAAGCTCAAGCTTAATTTATCAGTCCATCCCTCCTTCAGAGATGAAAAAGGAAAAGGTGAGAAAAAAATAAGTGAAAGAAATATAGGAGTGAAAATATCGCTGTCCGGCAACTACAGTTGATTTGGGTGACTGGACGTTTACCATCACGCACTAGAAAGGCCTGTGGTATCCTTTCTCTTTCTTTGCGTTTAAATTGTCAGTATTTCAATCATGAGGCTACGTATAAGGTTTGGGAGAGTGTAGAAATTGTCAGCAGTACTAGGGCTAGCTGCCCTAATATTAAAAGACCCTGTCCTACAGATTTAACAGTGCAGAGTGTATGATTTAATTAATACTATACAATTTAGTTGATAAATGACTGACATTGTGAAATTGGTGGCAATCATGCAAGAGGCCAAGAACATAAAAAAGAATCTTTTTGCTTTGATTGTAATCCGATATCTAATAATCAACATGATTATATACAAACAGTACTATTAAAGGTGTCTCATCAAACAAAAAGTTTAATTCAAAACCTTCAATGGAGTCATCATTTGGGTCTCACGAAACTCTGACAAATCTTCTTGTCCTTTGGTTTTTTCAGGATAATTATGCAATTTCCGCCCTTTTATTTTGAAGGGTTTGGATTTAGATTATCAAATTGAATAGATCCTTCTATCTTTACAAATGGTTCTAATCATGGATCTTTCCTGACTCAGATGCACATACAAACGAGAGGCCGATCATAAACCCTAGATGGCAGCACTGCAAAATAGAAAGAGAAAGCCTTCAACTTCAAGTACTATTTGATGGTTGGGAAAGGAGAAGAAGATAAATATGTAAAAAAGAGAAAAAAAAAAAAAACTCCAGCTGAGAATTAGCAGTCAAAGCGTCAAAGGAGATCTAGAATGAAACAGAAGGTTTGTGCACGATGTTGCTCACCCCCTCAGACCTATTTTTAGTAGATCACTGTTGACAATCAAACCCTGCAAAAGCAGTAGAATGATGAAAGTAACAAAGATATTGTAAAATTTTCTTCATTATTTTTTATAATCCTTTTTGCAAGATAAAATAGTAAAATTTAGGTTATCAAGCTAGATGATAACTAGAAGGGTCAGAAGCTGCCCCAACATGATCATTCGTCACTGGAAAATAGCATAGAAAAAGAGAAACTGCAGAAATATGCATGGTATTTACCTGGATCCATATCAGAGGAAGAGAAAAGCTGGAAGAAAATGCATCACAAGGGTTTTACAAAGAGAAGCCAACAGAGATCAGTTGGCAGTATGCCCACCTCCATGAAAGATCAGAAGCGAAAAGAAGAGGGCCTTTCCATGATGGGAGGTGGACAGAATGCCAATAAACTCTGTAAGAAGCCCTTTGCTAAACCCCCATGAAAGCAAAAAAAGAAAACAGTCATTATATTCGCCACTGAAAGACACGCAAAACACGCACACGATGAGGAGAGAAAAGTGTTAATGACAATAACTCAATAAGAGAGCAGAAGACTGGACTAGGGACTGATGGGGTTCTCCTATTTAAGATGCAATGAAGAACAGTAATTAAGAGAGAGAGAGAGAGGGGTAGGGGACTGGTAGAGAGAGGGTGCTGAGTGTAATTAATTAAAGAGGAAGAAGAAGAGGCGGGTTTCAGACCCGGAAAGAAAGAGAAATATAATCAGATTGGATGGTTCATGCCCTTTATGGATGGCATATTTAGAATAGAAGGATCAAAGGATCATCAACATGGTTATTCTCTTCTCTTCCCTCGTTACTGGTGAAAAAACCCACCCTCCCTTCAGTCATTTCTTGCGTTTCCTCATCTCACCTGCCACTAGTCCCCCCACCCTTTCTACACCCCTCGTTTCTGATGATACACACCCTCATAATATACACCAACACACACACACACATTCTCTCTCTCTGAAACTGAAGAAAAGGTATTTTGCTTAAGAGATCTAACCAAATAATGACAAAACCAGAGCCAAATCGATTTCAGATTATAGCAGATTTGTGGGAAAAACATGGGTTTTGCTCCAACCTTATGATTCCGACCGTCTCATCTTTTAGAATGCAAATAGGGGCCTGGCTATCAGTCACCACCCATCTGGACCCTGGTGGAGCTGAGCAAGCAAGCTCCTTTTTTTTTTTTTTTACCCATTGGGAGATTGGATTGAACCATGTGAAGGCATGGAAACAGAACTAATTAAACATATTAGTGCTTTCAATAACATGTCAAAAGTTAGAGCTACTAAAACCTCCATTTATAGTTCTATTCACCTTATTGGGGATTATATATAACGCTTATCTCTATGGATAAGCCACGCTTCCGAACAATCTAATGGTCAATGGTTGCATATTTGTGCTACTTTGCATGAGACACTGGTCGTATATATGAACGGTGTTTAATCAGATAACTTTTTTGGTTACTTTTGAACTGAAATTAGAGCTAAAGTCTCAACTCAAACGATGCTGATGAAAATATTCACCCCACTCTTTTAAGTGGTACCTTTTTTTTTGGCCAAATTTTAAGTCGTACCTCAAAAACAATGTTAATGTTACTATATACTAGTATTAATGTAGTATATTAATCTTTTCCTGACTCAATTATCGTCAAATTTTGGTCTGTCAGTGAAAGTTTCACTGATTATTCTTTCTTTCTTTTTTCAAATTAAACCTGTCAAAGTCCGTGGAGTGCATGATTCGAATTTAGTCAAGAAAAAAAGTGATCTATGCAAGAATGATTGCACACGTTGAGAATTGATAGCTGCTGAGAAATATTCAAGGAAATCTCTCTAACAGCAATGGTAGAAGAAAAAAATGAAGTGACACTGAGAATAAAGCTTAAAAATCACTGCTTTAACCATATAGGGAGGCCCAAATTTATTGGCAAATCTTCCACCATAAATTGGAAAATTGAATCCTAAGCGAATTGCACCGTCTCTCTGCTTGTCATTTATGAGAAGATGACACCTAGAAAAAACCAATGAGCGAGCAATAAGTGCTTTCCTTTAATCGAAAAAGGAAATTGAACACTATTTTTTAATTCTTTGCTGGCTAGCTATAGCCATACTACTGAGCAATATTAACTCAAAACTCACAGCCTGTTTCTTTACCAAGTACTTATGGACTTCGTTTCCCTCTTGGACCATGTCATTATTAATTTGCTTGTTTGGAAAATTCGTTATGTGCACCCAATACCGATTATCCAGCAAATCGAAGGGTTAATGGGGTTTGATGGAAAGGGAAGAAGCCAACTTCTCAAGTCTCCAATTCATGGGTCCTACAAGTGTGGAATCCTAGGTACTCCTACACTCGCTGTAGAAGAAGCTTCAAAGTTCAAACCTCAGTACCTTTTTGACCTACATTTCAAGGCTATCAAACATGTTAAAAGTGAGATTAAAAGGTAAACCATAGGTCAATCCTTCCACTATTAATATAATAATAGGGCTACTTTTTCTCTTCTGCAGCTGCTTTGAATCGATTGAAATACAGCCACTCGTACTTAGAAAATAAAAATAAAAAAAGAAAAAAAAAACCAAGAATTCAAAAATCTTCTTGGCTAAGGCATATAAAGAAATATACGAAACAAAATCTCCCCTTTTGTCGACTGAAACGTCGCACTCATCACACCCACGACCTCTGCTAGCTCCCTAAACCTCGTGTTGTCACTGGGATTTCTTTCCTCTTTATTTATTTTTCGATGTGAAAGTTTGTGTGTGCTTTTCTTTTCTGTTTTAGTAATTTAGTACGAGTATATTAGTAGCGATTCTTTATTAATTTCCCTGGGGGATAATATTTTAATTTAACGGGAAGAACAAACTCCAATAAAAACTTATTACACGTATGTAAGCGTATTAATGACACAATCCACCATTTTTATTGCTTTATATCAACCCCAACCATATCCAATTAATTGGTTACAGTTCAAAATTTCAAAAGACAAGATCACACAAAAGGGTATCAATATCCGCTCGGAGAAGTTGCAGCAGACTGAGATTGACTTTGTTCCCTCAGCGTCCAATTAGCCTCTCCAGGTACGCCATACCAGTTGTCATATTGAGCTACTATCAGAACCATGATTGAATCATTGGGACAATGCATTAAACATTTAAGATTAATTAGTTGTTTTGCTAAATTGTAGTACTCATCTACTTAACATAGTAACTTATTAACACTGATCATAGTCTCATTGAATTAATCAACCTTATTTACCTGAATAAAGTTCGTGTATAGTACTTGTTAATTTGAGTTTTCTTTTTGTCTTTTGGAGTACATATGATATGCTTCTAGCACATTTCAACTGATGCATGTTCTTAACTTTTGCCAACTCAACTGATAAAATAACTTGCGAGGAATCCTTTTGACTTCTGTCAACTATTGACTACAGTATATCAGCTTTCTCGGTGGCCCTAAATGAAACTATGTGGCAAATTAATGACCAAACTAAGATATATAATTGTTTAGTTGTCACTAAGGCAAACATTAATTACAATATTAATTAAATGATTGTGCATTTGTGTAACCAAATGCATGCTCAATTAAATATTATGTCATGCCATCAATTTCATTGCAAATAAAACCATGCTGAGAGAGTACATATACTACATCTGCAAACTCAGTAGACGGTAATAGTAGCAGTATTTTCTTATATTAATGGAGGTTGATCTAAAGAAAATGGACTTACCCAATGAATAATATATGATAATTAACAATTAGCAGTTGGAAGGAAACTATTCTGGTGAATACGAAAACTGGTAGTATATATACAGTAAATGCTCCAGATTCTAATTGGATATATAGAAAATAATAGTAAACAGATCATACCTACATAGGTGGATGAAGAGAACATGTCATATCAAAAAGTTTCAAAGAAATCTGAAAGAAAAGGTCTTGACTTTTTAAGGTCAAGGGTATGGAATTCTTGACCATTTACTGTTCTAATATATAAACAATAAACAATTAGTACTACATGTTAATAGTTTCGGTTTTGTCTGCTACTGTTCCATAAGGTGGATCACATGCAAACTACCCCTTACAGGTGAAAGAAAAAGGAGTTCCATCGGCAATACGGGGGATGATGCATAGAACTGTCACTCAAACGCCATATCCAAAAGACCAAAGTCCATATTGCAAAGCACTGAAAATTGGCAATCATGTCAAAAATTTTGACTTAGAAGCTGAAATGACTTTCCATTATCCTTTAATTTAATGCCTCAATCTAAAGCTTTGTTAAAAAAGTTCATGCGCTTTGTTCCCTGCGCTCTGTGCAATTTCAAGTGTCGACTTTTATTCTCCTTTACTTTTGTTTTTCCTTTTTGGAAAGCTTTTATGCTATGGTGCGATTGTGGGGACAATGATTTCTGTTTTGCAAATTAGTGGTGCCCCAAAGATACTTAGAAAACAAAAAAAAAGCATCAGAGCATCTATAATATATTTTTTCATTCAATTTCCATTTCAGGCTGCAGTTATTGAAGATTAGAGTACGTAGCATAATGTTTGTCCATAAGGCTATAAGCCAAGGTTGAACGAGAGCACCAACTCTTGAAATGGTACTAGTTGTTAAGTTTGATAATTTAAAAACGGAGGGCGCAGGCTAGCAAGAGCATCGGCTACAGGGAAGGAGGACTTAGTTTGATCGCACAGCTCGATGCATGGGAATCGACCCTTTTTAATGATTGTGAGTTAATGTGTTGGGTTTTGGTCTATATCGGTAAATTTAATAATATAAAAATTAATATAAAATTAAAATTTTAATAAAAATTATATGAATTTAATAAATTAAAAAAATATTTTTTATATTTTTATATTAATATTTACTATACATAATTTTTACATAAAATATAATATAAATACATAAATTATTAATATTTTAAAAAATATAAATATAAAAATTATCAAATCTATTAACTACCAAGTAATGCTTAAAGAGGTGAGAGAATGTAATTTCATTTTTCTACTTTATACAATAAGGCATTAGCAACCATACTTGTTGCCTGTGTTGGTGCTGCTCAGGCGAACAGAATCACTACCGATATATCTTTGGACTTTGGTCATCATTCTCTTTTTCCTATGAAAAATTTTACTTGATAGTTTGTTTGAAGTCTTCCCATTGTTCTAAAATGTCTGTGTGATTTTTACTTTTATTCAGAGAAATCCCATCTATGATTTTTGTACTCTATCTAAACGTGTCCCGTATATGATTTTTGAATTAAAGAATGAGACAATAAAAATAAGTTCATAATAAAATAATAATTTTTTCTTTTTTAGCAAAGACAAAAGTATCTTACCTTTTGAGGAACATATTAACCTAATAATTGAAATATCGATCCGTATCAAAGTCTTGTTAATTAGTAGCAAAATGTTGACAAAAAAAAAAAAAAAAAAAACAAAAGGCAGACAAGTGGTCATTATTATTCACCAGTTTTTTAAATTAATAAAATTTACACATGATTATTAGCTCAAGAATAAGTCACAGACAAAAAAGATATATAATTAGTTGATAAAAAAAAATTTATCACACTGATAGTGAAAATTTTAAAATTCATCAATTATTAAGATGCTAATGAAATTTTTGTTTAGTGATAAAGAGAAAATTTTAAAATCTCGAAGTTCTAAGTTTAAATTTTGTTGTGTTTGAGTTTGGTTTAGTTTTGTATTGAATTTGTTTAATTATATTTTAATTTATTAATTAATTTTTATATTAATTTTATACTTCATTGTAATTGTCACTTTTTTTTTTTTTATAATTCCATAAAAAAAATCTTGTTATAATTTGTTAGTTAATATTAATTATGACTAATAAAATAATATGTATTATTCTTTTAATTTCACTATTAACGTATTAAAATAAATTATTGTTAATAAAGTTATGAGAACAGGGGTCAGAGATTTATGTGGCCATGCATCCATGATTATTGGCTGTAGCAAAGCTAAGCTCCCCTTCACTTTTGATGCATGCGGACCAGTACCTCTCAATTCTCATGCAATTATGATACTTTCTCATGCACTTCATCATTATTTTTTATATTTTACTACTCGTAATTAGAAATTAATTTTGATTTTCCTACTAGGACTTAATTGTATATATGCTATTGCCAACTGATGAGAAAAGAGAACATTTAATTGTTATTTGAACTTTCTGCTATAGTAATATGAGTAAATATATATATATATATATATATTTAACAATTGCTGTACTTTTGTTTTATAATGGTAAGTCACGCGAATCTTTACATCAGACATGCATGTATGAATAGGAAAAACTGCAGTCTTCTGTAGGCAAAGTTAGCAGTACTCCTGAATCTGGATGAATTATTCCTTCATAATCTCAATCTCATAGTGACTTCTTCTGACATATAGCAGTAGTTGAAGGAGGTTTATCCACAAAAAGGAGCGGGTGTGAGTTTGAACGAAACATTGGATAAAGCTAAAGAAGGTGATGATTGAGATTGGAATAGAAAAAAAGAAAGGGTACTGATTGAGTTTTTTTTTTTTTTTTTTAATTTTTCAATGAATGACAGATTTTGAAGTAATGCATTTCACGTGAGAGAGAGAGGAGGGATAGTGATTTGTTGTTTTGGCTGTTAGGCTTGGTACCCCATAAAATAATTCCAAAGGATGTCATGTTGTTTGGTTGTGTTAGATAAAGGAAGGAATTTTTATTTAGTTTCAAAACATGAATGATGGTGCCAATGTCGATGGTTATGATTGTGATAGAAGTCTCTTTCCAGCTCTACTGCCATGTGATTCTCTCACATACTATTTACTAATTAAGCTGCTTGTGCCTGGTAGTGGTAGGTCAGTCAAAAGACCCTAAATAATCTGTCACTCGATATGTCCACACTATATTTCTCCATTATATTCAATCAAGATGCACACGTCACCCCCCAACTGGATTAATTTCCCACCCCACAATAAAACTGAAACTTGAAATGATCATATTATTAACTGGTAGAGGCATTAAATAAATTATGCTTACAACTTACTCAGCTTATCTAACCCTTTCATTAGTTTCTTAAAACAGTTGTTCTTTGAACTTCAGACATCACCATCAATCTAAAATTGTAATCAATTGATGGATGGATGATAATTTTGTTTGTTTGGTCCTGATCAATCAAATATATATACTGGGTTTCCTTGCCATTTGCTGGTACTTTCTCCTGATTAATGTGAACTTGTGCATCAATTTGTCTGACATAATTTATTCTCGCTTTCTCACATTCTATGGGACCTAACCTCTATCCTATTGCCTTCTCTTTTACTAGAATTTATGATTACTTTCATGTCTAGTCCGTTAGCCATTCTTTGTCACTGTTTGTGCCGTTGAAAACTTGTCTGCAGCTCCTTTTCGTGCTTCACCTTAACTTGTAGTCAGCCCTTACTCAAAGAGATGAAGCATTACAAGTCAACTAGATGAAGATTTAGCTGCATAATCATTACTCAGTAAAGCATTTTTTATCTTCGTTTTTCTCATATTCCTCCATTTTTAATATTCTTTTCTCATTGCCTTGTTAAAATCAATTTCTATTACTTTCAACCTATTTGTATGACCACAATGCATTTCCCACGAAACAAAAGCCTCTTTCTACTGCATATGATGTACATGTCAGTATTCTTGCAATTACTCTTATAATTGGGTTCTCTAGGTTGATATAAAAGGGACCAAAGAAAGAGAACTCCAAGTTTTAAATTGCATAGATGCGTGTCGACGTTAGGAACAAAATGCTTTATAGTTTTATTGATAGTAAATGCAGTTAATCTCAGACAAATAAATAAAAGCATCACCAATGATTTCCAATACAAATTTGGAGATGGGATGCTTTATTTACGCAATACAAGTAGTAGCTATCATGCCAAATTAAAAGTGGTATCATCCATTCCCCAGTAGGGGGGGATCCAATTATATGAAAAAGAAAGAAGGTACAGGAATCATTGCTTTTGCCATACTGCATATCTTTGTCCACTCGTTGCTAGCGTCCACTCGCTGCCAGTTGGACACCATGAACCATCCCCAATCTTCATGCATACTTTTTCTCCAATAATTGCGGAATAGAGGTTGTTTTGGGCCTCCAGAATTCTAACAGATGACCGGCTGTGAATATCTTGACGCCTTCTAATGTCCATCTGCATGCAAAATTTCAAAGCGTTCAGCAAAAGATATTTTCTTGGCAAGCCAAACTAATACATGTAAAAGGCTGTGTAGCATACCAATTTAACAACTTGTTCATGAATGGAATCGCCCCAATCATAAAAGTGATCATAAAAAATTGTGGGTATTCCTGGATGTGTAAGTATATATGCGTAACCCTGTAGGAAATCATGGAACCATAACTTAAACAAATATCCATATCAAGAATCACAAAAGTTTTCACCAGCTTTGTGAACAAAGAATGACACTAAAAACATTACTTTGAAGATAAAAGTTAAAACTTCATAACCATTGAAAAGGTTAATAGAAAACAAAAGGTGTCCTTGCCCCTTGGTCTTATAACATGAGTTAATAATGCCAAAACTAACACAGGAAATTGTGATGCAAGTCATCTTGCGCTGTTGAGTATATGCAACAAACAGCAACTCATACCTCCATTATATGATTCGAGGGGAAAGGCCAGTGAGCCTGCAAGAATAAAACATTTTGCAGCATGAGTACAATCCAAATTGAGAAGATATGGATTTTGAATGTTACCATAAATTGCAGGATTATGGAAATTAAAAAATACTTCTCATTGAAAATGTTCAGCAGACTGAATCCCTTACCACCAATTCAGGCTTACCACTACTAGGAGTAAACCCGAAACCCTTTATTCTTAAAACTCAGGTTATATGTTGACCAGATAGGCATTTCTAGCTCTTCATACTGAAGGTTTCTCAGAGGTGTCAATCTATTTAAGCAAGAGTACACATGTTTTCTTTTGACTTGATGGTTTAAAATTGCAAGGACATCATTTCATGTCAGTGAAAATAGACCACATTACGGCCCAGCCAAAGCAAACTTGAAAAAGTGGGATCCCAAAATAAAGACTCAAGAGTATCAGTATCCAAAAGCTGCATGTCATAAGCAAGACTTATTTGCTCTTATATTACCCTCACAGCCATCCAAGTTGACAGTTGCAATATATAAAGAAATTTCTAGTACCTGTGTTGAGCCTGTGTCATGGTTATCGATAAATGTGACAGCCCTTGAGGGCCACAGCCCCATTACACCTGGTGGCTTCCCTTGAGAGTCACGCAGGCGCCAGAACTGCCCCTTTACAGCTTCCTGCAAAGTTACAGTTAAGTTTATACTAACAGAAATTGAAAGACAAAAATCTTACTTCATATTGAATTGATGAAACATTAGATGGTGGCAGGTCTTAACCAGGGAAAGACGGAGAAGTAGGAATCTAAATAAATATAGAAGAGAATTTTTTGAAGACACTGGCATTATCATCATTAGCAGAATATGGTGCCACATTAGATAAAAATGGCAGTCCTGTTCTCTGGGTAAATAATAGTATATTATTAATTGGACTACCTGAAGAATCCCCTTCGTTGTGAAGTCAAATGCAGTTGAAAGTTGTCCCGTGGCATCAATCCAATTAATGATCCTTTGCCTATGGCTATCTGCAGTAGAGGTTGTGAATATAATGTAATAACACAGACATGCCAGATGCTACTGAATATCATATTTAACCAGTCAGCTCATAGATATATCGATAGCTTTATCGATGGATTCCTTTTATGGATGGTCTCAAATTTGAAAAACAGATTAATTCATTACCTTGGTTGTAGTCTAATCCATAGCCATTGTAGTTGCAAGAATTCCAATGCTCGCCAACAGAAAATATAGGCTTTGCTCCTTCAATATATTCTTTGACATATTTTGCTGCATAACTGAATGAAACATTATACCAACATAAATACTGTGATGGAAAGCAGATCATTGAGAGACAACAATAACCAACAAGTACAGAATTGTAATTACCCCCTTGCAAAGTCAAAGCGAAAATCTTGAAAGCCAACACTACGCAACCACTGCAGCCATCCTATGATGTCCTTACGAACAAAATGTTGGCTGTGATCAATATTTGGAACCCCATGGAAGTTGTCTCCAGTGCTTCGGTTACCCTGAGACATATATATGAGGTCAGAAAATATCTTACAATTCAGTATGTATCTGCAATTACAGCAGGAAATATCATTTAAGGCCAAGTAACATAAAGCATCAAAGATGCAGTGCAAATATATTGAGCATTAGTTTTGTATGAATATCCTTACCAATCCACCAGTACAAGATGTGACAGCATGCTCATCCCATGCTAGTGGAATTCCATCATAACGGTTATAAATTCCTCCATGTCCTTGAGTAGTTCCAATGCGATGGTTGATTACTATGTCAGCCATCGCTCTAACTTTGTACTGCTTCAGTTTATTGAGTAAAGCCTTCAACAGCTGCTCAGAGCCATATGAAGAATTGAGTGAATAAAGGTTTTGGGGAAGGTACCCTGTAATAAGACGAGGAAAACATATACAAAAATATAAATCCTGGTCAGGCATGTGCACAATTGCTAAGAAACTAGCTCATGCTTTGAAGAAAAATTTTCTCTAACCTTCTGGTGAAAAGGAATTAACTGCTGGTGGCAACCATACAGATGTAAACCCAGACTTTGCAATGTCAGGAACTTTCTTTTCCAAGTTTCTCCACCAGTCATATTTGTGTGACTCCCAGTTAAAACCCTGTTTGAACAAATTAAACAACTTTAAAGTTCTTCCTTAGCTTCAGTAGTCAAACCTAACTTTTTTATGAAGAATTTTATGCAACTATTCCACGTACTATAGTAACTCGGTGACTTTAAAACAGAGACAACCATACCGATAAGAAAAGAGGTCAGTCCAATTTTATGTAAAATGTACCTTATTACATCAGAAGATTATGAATTAACACATACAAACCCAAAAAACATTAATAAAGTCTCCAAATTCATGTAAAAGAAAATTATAAACATTGTCAAATTTACCTGCAAAAGGATTTCCCTTCCCTTGCGCAACACAGTACCTGAAATTAAATCCAAAAGAGCATACTTTAAATTTTCTCTTCCAAATTGTTTTTTTCCCTTTAGACCATTTGTAAGAAGGAACAAAATCTGACAATTCTCCATCTTAAGATATCCATCATTGATAAAATTGTAGTAGAAAATAAATCGTCATAGACCCTAAGTCAGTATTCACAATTTATATACCTCTAAATGGTAGACCATGCTTATGAAATTCAGTTGTAATTGCTTTCTAGTCAACAAGAAATAAAGAAACCTAAGCAACTCCAGCTCTAAGGTGCCATTAAAGAATTCCCATATCCAGCAACCAAAATCCAAATCATAATTCCAGGATAGGATAAACAACGAAATAACAGAAAGAAAAAGCAACACATATGCAAAGGAAAACAAAAGCATACCAAGATCAGTGCTTTCCTCAACACTCTGCATTTCAACAAAATGTGACATCAGAGAAAATTGATAGCTCTAAGTTAAACAATTAAAAAAGATAAAAAGTTGCTATCTTGGAAAAAGGAAAGCAAAAAAAAAAGTCATAAAAAGAAGGGAAAAGAGCAAGAATTGGTGGAAGAAAATTACGTTATTCATGTTACCCATATCAAATCAAGTGGTTGCGGCCCAAATCTGACGCTGGATCGTGGAAAATGGACTACAGAAATACCCTGCATCAGCAAACAACACCATGTTTATAACCTCAACTTTCGCTTATATACATAAATTCTTTCCTGTTGACGAGTAACAAACTTTTAAACTTGCATTAAACGCGGCAACGTTGAAAAGAAAGTGAGTGTAGCAATTTATGAACAGAGAAGAAGACTTATAGAAGAAAGCAAATACCAAGAAAAAGTGAGGTTGCGATCGCAGCGTGATTTGTTCTCGCGTTTTCAGCCTATAAATAGATGGAGGAAGAAGAAAAAAAGGAGGAATTGGACAATGACCCGGGAATTGGAATCACGCAACGAAAAGAAAAGGGAAATGGAGGGAACATTGAAATCCTCAGCCACGACCAACGATTCCGAATTTGGCAGAAAGAAAAAGGCTGTGGGGGTGATTGATAGAAAGGGAATCAGCTTTTAAAATGGGAGAGAATATATTCATATTTTCAACGGTAAATAGCGGGCAGCTCGAGTCACTGAGTCAGGACGTTCGATTGTGATGTGAGACATAGGGGAGGAGAGGTCAGAGGAATTGCGAGTTTGAAAATACTCTGGATGGCTGAGATTTTGAAATTTGCCCATCGAGGAACGGCAGTTAACGGTTAGGATCGCAAAGGAAGCTTAAGCATCAAGTAGACGCCGGGTCCATATCTTGGCTGGGCTAATTGTAGGCAAGAAAGCGATTCATTGAGCCTTCATGGGCTAGCCCAAAGTGCATCCGTTAACTTCCCGAGATTGAATTTCTTTTACACTCCTCTTGGCATTGCTGCTTTCGATTGAACGATGTTTCTTCATAGAAAGCCGAAGGCAAGAAAGAGTTGATGACTTCAACTCGATACCGCTCCTTTTTTTTGGAACTTGTTCAATGTACCAAACAGAAAAACCTGCTGAGAGGTCGTGCAGTCCACGGTCGAATAGTACAAAGTGGCTCATCTTCTTGCGTGTACCTTTCGAACAGCCTCGTCAACTTGTACGCCAAATGCGGGGACTTATCCAAAGCCAAACGTGTATTTGAAAATATACAAGACAAAGATGTTGTCTCATGGAACTGTCTTATCAATGGGTACTCTCAACAAGGCCCGACAGGATCCTCGTTTGTCATGGAACTCTTTCAGCGAATGCGAGCAGAGAATGTCTTGCCTAATGCCCACACCTTCGCTGGCGTTTTCACAGCTGCATCAAACTTGTTGGATGTTTTTAGCGGGCTGCAAGCTCATACACTCGCAATTAAAACCGACAGCTTTCATGACATCTTTGTTGGGAGTTCTCTTCTTAATATGTACTGCAAATCTGGTGTTTTGTCTGAGGCTCGGAAGGTGTTTGATCAAATGCCAGAGAGGAATTCGGTTTCTTGGGCTACTATGATTTCTGGGTACGCAATGCAGAGGTCTGCTGTGGAGTCCTTTGAACTTTTTGATTTAATGCGCCAAGAAGATGAGAAGGAGAACGAGTATGTATTGTCTAGCGTCCTAAGCGCTTTGGCTGATCCTAAGGTTCTTAAAACTGGTAGGCAAATACATAGCCTCACGGTTAAAAATGGTTTATTAGTGTTTGTATCTGTTGGGAATGCTCTTGTTACAATGTATGGGAAATGTGGGAGCTTGGATGATGCACTTAAGACATTTGAATTATCAGGTGATAAAAATTCGATTACATGGTCAGCAATGATCACTGGTTATGCACAAAGTGGGGATTCCTTAAAGGCTCTCAAGTTGTTATCGAGTATGCATTTTGCTGGGATAATGCCTAGTGAATTTACCCTTGTTGGGGTTCTTAATGCTTGTAGCGATATCAGTACTATTGAAGAGGGAAAGCAAGTGCATGGTTACTTGTTGAAATTGGGATATGAATCACAAGTATACATAATGACAGCTTTGGTTGATATGTATGCAAAATGTGGTAGTATATTAGATGCTCGGAAGGGGTTTGATTATTTACAAGAACCTGATATGGTATTGTGGACTTCCATGATTGGAGGATACGTACAAAATGGGGAGAATGAAAATGCAATGAATTTGTATGGTAGAATGAGGATTGAGGGGATTATGCCTAATGAGCTTACAATGGCTAGTATTCTTAAAGCTTGTTCATGTCTTGCTGCTTTAGAGCAAGGAAAGCAAATCCATGCCTGCACCATTAAGCATGGATTTGGTTTGGAGGTTCCAGTTGGAAGTGCTCTTTCAACCATGTATGCAAAGTGTGGGAATCTGGAAGATGGGAGCCTTGTCTTTAGGAGGATGCCATGGAGAGATATAGTGTCATGGAATGCAATGATATCAGGGCTTGCTCAGAATGGGCATGGTAATGAAGCTCTTGAGCTTTTTGAGGAGATGCTGCTGGAAGGCACAGAACCAGACTATGTTACATTTGTTAACATTATTTCTGCTTGTAGCCACATGGGATTGGTGGAAAGAGGTAGGGCTTATTTCAGCATGATGTCTGATAAATTTGGAATTGTTCCAAGAGTTGAGCACCATGCTTGCATGGTTGATATGCTGGGCCGTGCAGGGAAGCTCGATGAAGCTAAGGAATTTATTGAATCAGCTACCATAGACCATGGCATGTGTTTATGGCGTATTCTATTAAGTGCTTGTCGGAACTTCCGCAATTATGAACTGGGGGCATATGCAGGAGAGAAACTAATGGAGTTGGGATCTCAAGAATCATCTGCTTATGTTTTATTGTCAAGTATCTATGTAGCCTTGGGCAGGTTGGAAGACGTGGAGAGAGTCAGAAGGATGATGAGACTTAGAGGGGTGAACAAGGAACCTGGATGTAGCTGGATTGAACTTAAAGGCGGGGTTCATGTGTTCGTTGTAGGAGACCAGATGCATCCAGAAATAAAAGTGATACGTGAAGAGCTATGGATGTTAAGCAAACAAATGAAGGATGAAGGTTACCAACCCTCTGATTCAGTTTCTGCAACTTCTTATAATGATCAGGAATTAATTGCTGCTTGTATTTGATAATTTATCTCATTCTTTGCTTAATTCTTTTCTACATAATTTTCAACATAGTAACGCAACTTAATTTAACATCGGGATTTGTATCTTTATGAACAAGTGGCAAATTCAAATGCTTTTAGTATCTCATTCTGTGCTAGATACACTCAGTATAAAAGTCAGGGATCAAGTTGGTTTTCAAACCCTGCAATTGGCATGATATGCCAGATTATAGTCTTTGAAGAGCAACAAGAGAGTAGAAATGCCGCCATTAATGTTTTTATGGAAATACAGGATCTAGCCTTTCATTAATCTCAAATCAGGTCCTCTTTTCTTTGTGTAAAGATAAAATGTTTGGGTATGCATGAATGCTGCTACTTGCAGTAGCCGTGGCCCTTTGGAAAATCAGACGGTTCGTTTAGTATAGGCTTTAGCACACAGGTAAAACTCACCTTCTGTAATGACCTGGCACTCAACGATTGTTATGAGGTCTACCGGCAACTGTGGCAGTTGACCAAAGGCTAGGATCATTCCTTCAAGCAAACCGTTGTTGACTAGTATGTACCTCATTTATCCAAGGGTTTTATTAGGGGATTGATTAACAACCGAACCTTAACAACGGAACGGTGAGCGGTTACACACAACCTTAATAACCTTTAATTGAGCTGACATGATAAACCCCAGGAGAATTAGAATGGACTGGTTTAACAGTTGCATATTTATCTTCTGAATATAGAAGACAGCATTAAGCAAATATAACAGTAAAATCTGAACAAAAGGGATCGATTAGGATGGCGATCACATGAACTGAAACAAACAGAAATTCTTTATAAATTGATTATAAAAGAACAGCCAAGTCTGCTGTTAACAAAAATTAAACTATTGTCTAAATTTTTATGTTCCAATTCATGAGAAAAATCCATTAACTATTGTGTCAACCAGACTGGTCGTGGCCAGGCAGACTGTATTCTACGCTGACAGCATTGTAATGGCTGGAACCTCTCTTCTCCCCTGTCAAACACACCTAAATCGTGGCCGCCAATGACTCCATACTTGTATGCTTCCAAATTGTCGTCCGTGAAGTAAATGCAGTTACCTTTGAGTCCCTTGACAACTTTAGTTGGTAGTGCCATTGACCCGTTTTGACCTAAGAAAAATACCCAGTTATCTATTTTTCCCATATGCATTCTTTCCTCGTAGGACTCCAACAAGTATACTTCAAAATTGTAAGTTTTATAGCCCACATCAGGGTTATCCTTCAAAAATCTAACAACTACACATAATTCGTTCCCTATGCCCACAAGATAAATCTTGTTTCCTCGAAGAAGCCATGGCATTGCAATTTCGTCAATGTTAGGAGGAAAACCAGGCTGACAAAGGATCACTTTTCCGTACTCATCCACAGCATAAAATTCTCCCATATGAAAGATAATATCATCATAATAACGTCCAGCTTCTTGTATCTTAATCCAATTTTGACTCAATGCATTGTAGTAAGCTAGTTCCCGTTCCTCTCCATATATAACCAGGAGAATATAGTCGTAGGGATTGCAATCAGGAGGGGAAGAGAGTACAGCTTTATGAACAGGGTATTTTCGTGCATCAAGGCTCTTGGCAGAGTCAATATCGGTGGAGTGTTTAGCCTCCAATGAAGTTAGGATTGGGGGTAGTATAAACCGAGCATTGGTAAGAGGGTCGATCATGGTAATCTCTGAAGTTTCATCGACCATGATGAGAAAACCTGATGAGGATCCACATATGTTCTTTCGACCAGCGCATGCAAGGACATGATCGTAAACTTTGTTGCTTGAAACGCTTTTAAAACTCATGGAACATTCCTTGCCTCGGTTGGAATGGTAGGGAAGGGCCAGCCACGGGCGGTCTTCTGCTTGTGTCGAACTCTCCATTACTAGAATCTTGAGAACAAAACTGAAGCCCTTGGCCTAAACAATGACACTAAAGAGAGAGTAAATGCCTGCCTGCCTGCCTGTATATAAAAAGAGTCTATCAATGAGTAATAGGCTTTACACTGTCGATGCCTGCCTGCTTGCCTGTATACATAAAGAATCTGTCCTAGCTAGTCCTAGCGGGATGAGGACTTCCAAAAGCTTGAGGAACAAGGAAACTTGCGATTTGTCGGATCAGAAGTCCAGAACTATATTTTGGGGCCAATTTCAAGGCCCATCTCAAATCAGGCTAGACGAAACGTTTTCTTTTCATGAGAAGCCATTTTATTGCAATTACTAATCTACGTGGCACTCGAAGAAGATTATCAAAAGACGAGCTTCTATTTGGTTTACACCAGCCGGCTCACCATCCTCCGTTGATCGATTACTCAAAGGAGAATTTTCTTTTCCCTGCAAAAATTTGATAGGAAAAAACTCAAATTCTTGTAGAAAATCCCCTAGTATGCGAGAAAATTTCAGTGATAAGCTTTACACTTTGATATATTAATATTACTATAAAATGGGCGTTGACTGGACCAAACTTACGCCAGACCTCCTAGAATCCATCGTCGAACACCTCAAGTTCTACACCGATTACTACGTTGCCGAGCCATGTGCCGCAGCTGGCGGTCCTCAATCCCTAAAACTCCTCTCCACCTCCTTCCTCAGCTCCCCTGGCTCATGCTACCTCCTTCTCAATTTCACCAACCTCACCGCGCCTTTTACGATCTCTCTAACAACAAAGTCCGATACCTCTCCCTCCCCGAATCCTCCAACCCTAACAAACGCTACTGCGGCTCTTCCCACGGCTGGCTCATTATCCTCGATGAATCCCCGTCTATTCTCCTCCTAAACCCTCTCTCACGAGCCAAGCTCCACCTCCCTCCTCTCTCCGCTTTCCCCAACGTGGACAGCTTTAACTACTCCGACATCGGGAAGGAATATTCCTTCCGATCCCCTTCCGGTGACCTTTACATTCGCAATTTGGGGCAAATGCGAGATTCCTTCATTAAAAAAATCGTCCTCTCCGCCAATCCGTCCAAGGACTTCCATTTCGTGGTGGTTGCGATTCTTAATGAAACCGGTGAGTTAGCTTATTGCAAAAATGGCGACAAATCTTGGCGCTTTATCGAAGGTGCGCAATCCTATTCTGAGGATGTTATATATTGCAAGGGATTATGTTACGCAGTTGACAAACATGGAGGGATTGCAATCTGTGATGTTCACGGTGATTCGCCCAGGGTTCCATTTATCGAAACACCGAGACAATTAAGCTGTGATATGCAATATTTGGTTAGTTCTGGGGATGAACTGTTACTCGTTACTCGCCACGTTGATCTTGAAAACAATTTCGAGCCTGATCAGTCGTATTTGATCTATAGGACTAAGCTTTTCGAGGTTTATAGGCTAGTTTGGAGTGCACCGCATTGGAGAGAGTGAAAAGTTTAGATGATAAGATGCTGTTTATTGGTGAAAATTCTTCATTATCGTTGTCAGCTTCTGATTTTACAGGTTGTGTGGGGAATTGCATATATTTTACAGATGATTACTCTGAAACTAACTATGATGGTCCTTTTGGGGAACATGATATTGGTATTTACAGGTTATGGGATGGGATCATAGAGCCATTGCCTTGTTATCCATGGAATTCTTTATTCCGATTACCTTGGCTTACACCACTTTGGGTGACACCTAATCCATGCTAATATGAGAATATGTTGGTTCGTCTTTCTGATTAACATGTTTGTATAGGTATAAATCTGAGCAAACAATTGCTTGAGAGTCGAGACCTTATAGATTGTAATGATATTGTAATTTATCTGAAATGGTATTTCTTTGATAATATTCATGGACTATAGTATTTATTAATGCAGGAATGGTTGTGATAATAAGATTTCCAATAGGATGTGAAAGGTCAGACATGGTAATATGCAGATGGTTGTTTATAGAAAAATGGATGTGTTAAGGCAAGACATGGGAATGTAAGAACTTCAAAGTTGACCCAATCTGAATTGAGATGTCCTGATTCTGTACCTGAAACTTAGTGATGGACAGAGCCTAGACGAGGAATGCTGTAGGTGCTTTCTACGAGCAATTTAGCATATAGGGTGCTGCATTTGCAAATGACAACCTCTTGGCTAGTTTAAGAGACGTTCTCAATATCCCTAGAACAAGAGGCCTTTGTTAAAAATGGTGTTTCACTGGGATACGATATGCAACTCTTATCCGTTTGAAGCACATCTAGAAGTCCTTGTTAATAATAGCTATAGGTATATTAGCGCATTTAGAAGTCCTTGTTAATAATAGCCACGGATATATGCTACGTATAGGAGCTGTGAAAATTTAAGTGCCCATCAGCAAGGATATTTTAGTTGGAGGTGAGAGCTTATGTATCAGCTTCAGGTTCTTGAGCTTTTTCTGAACCCATTTGTATTGTGGTTTGTGGTCTTCCTGTAAGGTTGTGCAGTAACAAGATCAAGCTGTTTTATATATATATTTAGGATCTTTCTTCTTCACCCTCCTCCTTGTACAAGTGACTACGGTAATCACGGCTAGAATACATTATTTGCAACTTGTCATCCCTTTGCCAGGTTGGTTTGTGGATAGGACTTGTGTGTCAAGTGTAACTCCAGTTCAGGCTAGGGACAAGCACACCCATTATTTGACATTTGTCCTGATTTGTTTAGCATTGCTAAAAATGAAGGCACACCTGCCCCGGTGATAATATCATGAGTAAGGATACAATTGATTCAATTTGAGTAAATATGATATTAAACTCAAATTTGAACTCGATTTAAAATTCGAGATTTAAAATTCGATTCAAACTTAATTAAATTTTATTTTTTTAATTTGAACTTGATTTGAAATAAAAATTAAACTATTTTTTCCCTCGTTACAGTTGTCTAGGCAAACAAAATTCTTCCTCAATTTGCTTACAAACACCAGCACTTAGTGGGAAGAAGTCTTGGACCTCAATGTTTTTGAGCTCTTGCGCTGTGGTTAGTTTGCTAATTACATAATGCGTTTTCTCGGTGGCCCAATCAATAATAGATTTTGGTTCACTTACCCACCGAAATCATGGTTCCATTTCAAACCTTCCCTTCGTACAACGAAACTTGTAAACGCCTCTCTATCCAAAAGCAAAACGGCCCTCACAAATCAATCCCCACAAGAAAAGCAAGGCCCAAATGACCATTCCACGATAATCTACGATCTACAGTTTCACTTCCACGATCCAGACGCTCTAAGCTTAAGCTATGCACCTCGTAGAGTACATCGAAATGGGATCCACTGAGGGCGGCGCAGTGCAGCCTCTGGGGTAGTCGCTCTCTGATCCATGGACCATAGTCCACCATGGGACGGCAATCCCGCTCGTCATCATGATCATGCACAAACTCTGGTAGTTCCATCTCCATCCTCCTCACATGGTCCCACAGAAACTCCAGCCTGCTCACGTATTTAAGCTTCGAGTACAACCTGCGTGAACCAACAGAACACCCATTTCATAACCCTTACCTGCCTATCACTCAAATAAAAATAAAAATAAAAAAACCTTAAGCTCAAAAGTTGACTTGGATGAGCAATAAAGTCACAACAGCACTATCGGCCTGATTATCTTTTGTCATTATCATCATTTATCAATGCACAAAATGGGGCAGAGTGAGCAATAAACTTTAATGGTAATTGGAAGAGATCCTCACCCTCCATTGAAAAACAGACGACCAAAGGTAGCAAGGAAGAGTCTGACCTGTAAACCAGGATGCAAGAAATAAACAGCCTTGTCCTTGACGTTGATCGTAATAGCATCATAGATTTGTCGAAGTACTGAGATTCCAGGGAAATTTTCACTCCTTTGAACATCAGTGTGCACATACACCACCGAGAACGGCTCTGCCCCTAATTTGGGATAAACATTCTCCTCCAAATACTTCTTCAGAACATCACTGCTAACCAACCGAGCTGTTACAATTGAAAAAAATCAACTACATTAATCAAACAAATAAACGAAATTAGCCAAGAAACACAAAAAGAGAACATTCATATGATAGAGTTACAAGGTTTTTACCAGGAAAGTGCTTGCCGATGATAAGAAGAACCTTACGGCCACGTTTATCTCTGCCTTTAACCTTGAGGACATCGAGTTTACGTTTATCTCTGCCTTTAACCTTTAGGACATCGAGTTTCTTTAACCTTTAGGACATGGAGTTTCTCCAAGAGATGTTCGTGATCTGATTCAGAGAGGGTAGAAGCTGAAGAACTCACTACTGTTGGATTATGTACAGAGGTTGTCTTTTTGTTGACAGTTTACAGTGTCTTTGAATTAAGGGGAGAGAAAGAAAGTAAAGTAAAAGAATGTAATTGAAACAAAATTTTTTTTGGTTTGCATAAATTTTGAATTAAAAAGAAAGTGAAAAATAAATAATTTTTGATTTTTTTTTATAAATTTAATTTTTTTAATATCTTAATTTGAAAGAAAAATTAGTAAAAAAAATTAAAAAATATTTTTTTAAAAAAATTATTATGTTTATTTTTTATTAATATTAAAAATTTAACAAAAGAATTTAAACAAAATATAATTATTCTGTAATTTTTTAAAAATTATTTTTTTAAAGTAAAGTTTATATATTTTTTTTAATAAAAATTTTTTTTAATGATTTAATTTTGATGAATGATTAAATATAAATATATATTTTTTTAGATTTATGAGATGATTAATTAATCTAAAATTTATCGATATATATTTATAAAATATTTTTTTATTTCATTTAATTAAAAATTATTATTGTAACAATAATTGTGAAATCAAATAAAATAATAAATATATCATAATTCATAAGTATTTTAAAATCATGAAATATTATAATTTTAAAAGATTATTATAATAAATATTTTTTTATTTTTTATTTAAATAATGATTATTAAAATTTTTTTATTAATTTTAATTATTTAAATAAAAGTTATATGTATTTTTTATTTTATTTTTTTATTAATATTTATTCAAACGTAGGGTTAATGTCAGACAGTAAACAAGTCGGCGGTGTGACGGGTTTGAGAGGAAATTTAAATTGTGGGAAAGAAAAAGGGGTGGAGAGCAGGTTTATATAGGAAAGGGCGGTGGATGGTTTATCCCTATGGGCTTCGGAGTCGAGGATTGGCCTTTGGGTATATTCTAAAGCATCTTTCCCTTTTGGATTCAAGTCTGTCTTAACTCGGTGGAGTATCGTCTGAATCACTGACACTTTGGGTCCAACTTGGTCTTATCTGGACTTTCCGATTTAACCTTGATTAGACCTTAATTTGTGTGATTTATTTGCATTTATGAAACGCGTAGAGCAATTCATCTACCCTGTTTTTCATTTTTAGTAGGGAAATTATTAATAAAGGAAAAAAAACCAACTTGTTTTTTTTTAATGTTTAAAGTCTTATCATAATTATACCCTTGATTTTCACACAATTAATGAACGTTTTCCGAGTCGTGAGGTCCAAATCAAATATTAATATAACAATTAGTAAATAATAAATAATGTTTGAGGATAATGCGATTTGTAACTGGGCTCTAATTGGCTCAAATAAATAAATAAATAAAAGATTTAGACTTTGATATGGTGCTATTTCCTTGTGCAATCCGTTTCCATGCACAAATTATGTCTAGACAAAGGCTATCCGAAACATTCAACAAGTCAGATAAAACAAAGCCCTGTCTTAAAAGATAAGAGTGGTTCACTGTTAATGCGGAAGCCAATTATTCGGAAAAGAAAAGAAAGCTGCCTGCTGCCGGAATTTATAGTCAAATCAAATAATCAATGATCTGAACTTTGATCAGTGAAAAACCAGTGGGCCGCAAGGAAACAGAGCCTTTCATGGCGTACTGCTTTAAGTGGCCCAATGCTGTTGGCAGTTAACGTCGGTGAATACGGGAAGGATAGGCCCTGCTTAAAAAAAGACATATACTTAATGGCATGATTTAAAAATTAATATTTGAGGAGAGTAAGGATATAATCGAATAATAATTATATAAAATTATTAATAAGTAGTTAATTTAATCAATTAAAATTATTTTTTTTATAAAATAATTTTAATTTTAAATTTTATCGATTATAATTTATTGAGTCATCTCGAATATACGATTTATAGTCACTTATTTTATGTTGACAGATATAATATATCTTATATTGATTTGAAGGACTGAATAATTTATCTATTTTCGAATTTATCTTACTTAAAATAATAATAATAATAATAATTATATGAACGTTACTGCATTCCTATAAATAATTGCCCATGGCCTATTTCTTCATTATTAACTTATAACTCCAACAATTTTAATCTTTAATTTTTATGATGATAAAAACAACTACAAAAGTTATGATTTTTTTTTTGTGAGATTGTGGTTAATTTTGTATTTTTCATATTTTGACCCGACTTATAACAAATAGGATTGGAGGCAGTTTCTCAGATTGTGGTCAATTTTGGATTCCCTCTGTCCCATAAGGGTGCATGGATACGATGTGACTGACGATGATTGTTTTGCGCATTCGGAGCTGAACTTCAAGTTTGATTCACTGGGCATAATGGTTGATGGAGTTTTGGGACAAACATACAAGGCAAACTACCAAAGCAGAGTAAAATTTGCAGTTGCCACTTATTCATCTCTTTGCCACAGATTGTGTACTTTCAAACTTTGGTTTGAAGGTGAACAAACTCGGGTGGAGAGCCATTAAGCTTTAAATGTGGAGGTGGATCCGGAGGGAAAGGCATAGCTTGCAGAAGGTAGGGTATACAGGAAGGGAAGACTCGTTTCGATGTAGCCATAATAAGATCATGGGTATTTCTTGTTTGCTTAAGAATCCGAAGAATGTTTGGACGGTACCAGAGACGAGATCAAGAGTTGGAGAAAGAAAGTGCTGAACAAGACGCTGCTTTTCCCATCTCCCATTTATCAACTTCAAACAAGGATCAAGTTAAGATATGTTTCTTTAGTCCCAAGAATTAATGTTGAATGTCACAAGAGAGAGGAAAACACTGCAGGACAGTTTATGCAATCCCACATTTGCAGGAAATAAGCTGTCGACGGTTCGTAACTACTATAAGAGGACAAAGGCAAAGTGGTTTTAATCATCTTTGCGCTTGGGGCAATGACGCAGCTCATGAGGTTCTAACCGAGGCGCGTCTATTGCTGGTTGAAAACTATTTCCAAACCCCCTCTTAGGCCTGGGCTTGACCCTGGCCTTCGAGAATTTCTGGAAGGGCTCCCTTAGGGGTAAAGCCCTGCAATTATAAGTCTTTTAAAGCATTTTTCTAGTCTGATAATAACGGACTAGATAGTTAAAGTGGTCAAGAGGAAATGGGTCTAATCTCTAGGCCTTTATAATGAGCGTACCATTCAATTGTAAATGTGGGCTTCGAGGGCTTTGAGCTACTCTTATTGGATTTTGCTTAGGCTAGATTCAACGTTGGGTGGTTTGAAAATTGAAAAAGGCCATGTTGGTTGGAAGCCTTCACTTAATGGTTTAACTTGTCCAATAGAAACGGGCTCTAAATTTTAAACCTGTATAACGCACGGGCCATTCCTTTGTCCATGTGGACTCCTAAGGCTCCGAGCTACTCTTAATGGGCCTTGCTTAGGCTTGAATCAATGTTGGATGGTTTGAAATTTGAAACAGTCCATGTTGGTTGGATTCCAATGGTGCATTGAAATAGTACACAGGATCTTCAGATGCTCTGTTCCCCGTGCAAGTGCAAGGCTTCCAAGTCTTGTCTCTTGATACATATTTATGATTATGACTACGATATCTATGAAAATTGCTTCACTTTTGATTTTCTGGTCTGCTATTCTAACCACGCACCCAAGCTTCTACATGGTAGGCTGAGACATGTTTCAACATTCAATAGATAAAAAGATGATCCGCTACTACTATCTGGCAACAATAAAGCAATTTGACCAAATATCAAGAAACAACGGAGCCTTGAGATTGGGATTTCTCATAAATCTACGATTGAGATACCTTTTGAACCTATCTATAGCTGAGTTGTGCCTCACTACAGAACTGTAACCCGAAAAAGGGCCATTCTGTGGATATCTTCAGACATACGTACGCTAAGATATGTTCAGAAAATCATCAGAACACGAAGCGCTGGTGCATGTCAACGTTTGGAGAAAGCAAAGGAGAATAGCAAATCAAAGCCTTTAAGCTGCAGACATGTCAGGTTTTGAATGACAGGAGAGAGAGAGAGAGAAAGAGAGATAGAGAGAGGGAAGGTAGTGTATAACAATGAACATAGCCAGTGTAAATAAATAAGCTTTAGGACTTAGCTCAGTGGTTGGCCATTCAAAATGCCAGAAAAAGCCAATTTTGTGTAACCGTTACTTGCTCACGCGTCCAACCCTGTTTACTTTAATTTCTGCTTTCCTGTCTCTTAATTACAATCTTATCTTCCAAATCATCTTTTCTTTTCTCCTCGTCATTATTTTCCCTCTCCAGTGCTGCTGATATTACTTGTCGGACTTTTTTCTGTTAGTGTCTCCGGCGACTACCCTCAATGGAAGGGGCCACCAAAGCAACGTCGTCCTCCGGGAAAACTAAGGGCCGGAATGGAGTTGTTGAGGAGAAAGAATACCCGGACCCCCTTGCCTCTCATGATGAAGTTGTTAAGGACCCCATTGTTTTCTGGGATACCCTGAGGCGCTTTCATTTTATAATGGGCACCAAGTTTATGTAATTCTCTTCTTTCTCCCTTTCTTCTGGGTTTTTTTTTTTTCAAAGCAACTCTAGTGTTGATTATATATTGGATTTATGAGAATGTGATTCGTGAACTTACAAAAAATACGAAGATGGCTCCTTTTTCTTCTTTACAAAAGGCGATCTCTTCATGTTTTTATTATTTTTTATATTTTCTTTGACGTTTGTGCTTCTGTATTCTATCTTTATATTTTATAGGATTCCTGTGATTGGAGGAAAGGAGTTAGATTTGTATGTTCTGTATGTAGAAGCTACCAAAAGGGGAGGTTATGAAAAGGTTAACTTTTTTTTACTACTGTATCTATTCCTTCGAAATGTCCTAAAGTGTAAAACTTTTTATATTCTTTAATTTAAATTGCCATGGCTTTGTAGGTAGTTGCAGAGAAGAAATGGAGGGAAGTGGGTACTGTTTTCAGGTTCTCTCCAACGACAACAAGTGCATCTTTCGTGCTTAGGAAACACTACTTCAGTCTTCTTTACCATTACGAGCAGGTTCATTTCTTTAAGATGAAGGGTCATTTACATACTCCAACAGGTAGTTGATCTTTTACGCATATGTTTTTCTTCCTGCATGGGTTTTCCCTCCTTTCCCTTTCTACTGTAGCATAATACTGTGACTTGATCTTAGCTCTGCTTGCTTCTTCTGGTTTTATGCGGTTCGCATACGGGTCTAATACTCTATTTTTTATGTCTATGCAGTTGCATTTCCTATTAACGACCCCTCCTGCGGACCTGAACTGGCTCTCGTGAAATATTCCCCTAAACCGATAGGAGAATTCCCAGATCAACTTGTTTCAGGTAGTTTGTTTTTTCCATAATATCTCCATTTTATTAGTATTTCAATTGGGAAAGATACAAGAAGATAAAAGTTATATCATCCACACAACGCAAAATGCTTGAATTTAATTTCTGTGCTCCAAAATCTTATGTTTGATTTATGAGCTGTCGAGTAAATCCATTTTGATAACTTGAGAATTACAGGTTGTAGGCTAGCTATTTTATTGATATGGTCTTGGTACTTCATGTGCATGTTGATAGTTTAGTGGTTTCTCAATCTTCGTTTTCATAAGGGTCCCACCAAATTTATCCATATGTTTCTGGTATGTGGTTATGGTCCTTGTGATGTTTGTATGATATTTCTTGTGAAACAAATATGTATTTTTGCTGTCTCTTATCCGTGGTTGATTTGAATGTATTCAATTGCATACTACCACATAACTAGCAGGCTAGCAAACATCGAGTTTTGGAAGGCACTTCATGTTCGAATCTGCACCAAACTGCTTCTGGAAGCAAAATGGAACAATGACATTTAACAATAGAGAGTATAGCATAGGACTACATTTCATTCAAATTCTTAACCAATACTAGTATATATTAACTTTTGTCCGATACGGAATGAATTTATTTTAACTGTATATTCTTGCATATGAAAAGCTGTCGAAGTAATTTGTACTGCTAGGATGTTTCATTTGAACTTGATTGGATGACCTTACTTGATATGTTTCTCCTTTTAGGAACTTCGTGTTGTTCAGTTATGGGAATGATTGATGGGAAGTTCGACTGTGGTTATTTGATATCTGTAAGGTTGGGTTCAAAGGTTCTTAGGGGAGTACTTTACCATCCAGAGCAAACAGGATCTTCCGCTCCCACTCCTGATTATGCTGGTGCCCTTGTTCCATACAAACGTATCGGTAACTCCCGCCATTCTGGGAAGAGGAGGAGAAGTAGAAGGGCAGGAGACCCCAGCTATCCAAAACCCAACAGGAGTGGTTACAACTTTTTCTTTGCTGAAAAGCATTATAAACTCAAATCCCTCTATCCAAACAGAGAGAGGGAGTTCACAAAAATGATTGGAGAGTCTTGGAACAGTCTCAGCCCAGAGGAGAGGATGGTAATTGCAAAAAGATCAAGAAAACGTATATGGTTTCTTGCATTCTGTTTCTGGCATAATTCGCATTTTCCCAGAACAAACAAGAGAATGTCTTGCAATGAACATTCTATAATTTTGAGCGTTCTTTATAGCACTGTTTTCATGTTTTCACTTGTACCTTGCAAATCTTTTTATCCTGTCTTTCATCACAAGTCATAAATTGCCAATTTGCTAATTAGGAGTATGAACTCTTATCTATCTGATATGATTAATCAATTTCTCTGTAGGTGTACCAGAACATTGGATTGAAAGACAAGGAAAGATACAAGAGAGAATTGAAAGAGTATAAAGAGCGACTTAAAGATCAGGCAGGCTGTGGAAGTTGAGTGAACTGACTACTAGACCTTAAGTGGGACCAAAATCAGCATTTAACCAAAGAACCCAGCAGTGATCTTTGCAACTTCTAAACCTATGTGGATAAGAAAGTGCGATTTTTATTTTATGGCTCATAAAAGTACTTCCGGCTTATTATAGATATGTTTGCTCGAATTAATTTTTTAAATATGAAATACTTGATTTGTATTACCCTATTATCTCAGGTAGCTATATGCGAATCTAGACATGGGCCAAAAGGCATATGAGGTTAAGGATTTAAAGTATAAATGTATTTCATGCCAGGTCTGTCTATTTTCTCCGGTGGTTTTTTTAATAGAATGAATGTAAATTAAGTTAGTGATTGACTTGTGAATGGTCATTAGGGTATTTTGCATGATGAAGATTCGTATAAGAAAGGTGGAGGGGCCTAATTCCCATTTGACCGTCAGCGACGGATTTCATTTTAGAAAATTTATTCAGGCACGCGGCATCGAAATTTGAAGTAAGGCATTAGGAGGTGCAAAAACTGTGTAAACACTGGGTCCATTGCCAGGACGATATTTTATTGTTAAGAACAACTCAAGTTACAGATAGATTTCCACCCATGGAAACAACTCAGTCATTTGCAGTGTAGATTTTCAGAAACTTCTTTCCATATATATTGTCTTTCCATTTATACAAAATTTCTTTTAAAGAAACTACCCGTGAAATGGCTCACTCGATTCCATATATATTGTCTTTCCGTATAATATAATTTCCTTTAAGGAAACTACCCATAAAGCGGCTCACTACATTCCATAATTATTTTGTCTTTCCATATATATAATTTTTTTTAAGGAAATTATCCAGAAATGGCTCACTCGATACTGCAATCATTCCATACTCTCGATAAATATATATGTATATATATATATACACACACGCTATATGGTACACGAATCATAACTTGCTATCACAATTTTTCCTAAGAAAAATGGCCTCTTTGGCTTCCTCTTCGTGCAGTACTGAGTAAGTTATCATTACATTGTATAGGCTTACATTTTAGAGATTTTGCATGGCGAGAATATAAACTTGTATGGTGATGCAGGTCAGTCGCAAATAAGGAGCTGGATGTGAAGTCAAGGTCAGTGTCGGTGAGGATGGCGCACGAGCTTCTTCAAGCAGGACACCGTTACCTGGATGTCAGGTATCTTACTGGCTAATGTTTCACCACTTTGAAAATAACAGTAATCCAACTCGCACGAGACACAAGTAACATCATTCTATGCTCAAATACACTATTTTCCCTCAGAAATTGCTGCAAATTAAGCCCCGAGGCTGGCTTTAATCAAGCTTTTAAGTTCTATTTGGTTTCACTTTGTAGGACTTCTGAGGAGTTCAATGCTGGGCATCCTCCTGCGGCTGTTAACATTCCTTATTATAACGTTATTAAGAATGGTGGAAAAGGTAAACATCACTAATGTAACTTGCTGATCTTTTTTGTGGTTCAACTATATATTCAGTACTCAAAGTGGAGAAATGCTTTGTTCCAAAAATTAACTTTATCAGATAAAAGACAAATTTTGCTGTCCATGACAACTTGGAAAAAACGTCTGAGTTAATCAGATAGTTGTCAAGTGCCAATTATTAAGTTATATTATGGAAGAAGTAGAAACTCAATTTGATCTCATGAGATAATTTGAACTTATTGGCCTAATAAAATTGTATTGGACAATAGCGTTCCAATAATTTCATTTCTTTGCCTAGAAATATTCAATCATTATTGAGCTGTTCTGTTTTATTTTATGAAGAGATGTTGAAGAATCCAAAATTTTTGGAGGAAGTATCATCTGAGTTTGGGAAAGAAGAGAAGTTCATTGTTGTAAGTTTTTGAGATTGGTAGTAGTAATATTAGTTATTGCAGCTTGTTGTCCTGTGATGTTACTCAATTTAAAACCTTATTGTTGCATCATCAATCCTCAGGGATGTAGATCGGGAGGGAGGTCACAAATGGCTGCAACTGATCTGCAGGCTGCTGTAAGTTACAATTTTGAAATTTTCGTTGTTCATTACCCCATTAAAACCATAAATTGCTTCCCCAACTCCATGAAATGAGATGTGAGACTGTGAATACCCATTAGAAGCAGCTATGCATGTAAAAGTTAATCATTTAATTCCTAAAGTAGCTTCAATCTCTTATATGAATTGGGGAAAATTTGATAAAAAAAAAACTGTGATGCTCTTGCAGGGTTTTACCAATGTCATTGATGTTACTGGTGGCTATATGGCATGGAAGGAGAACGGGCTTCCTAGTACTGAATGAATGCATTAGAAACTTTTCTTTTGCATGTAATAAAATATTCTCTTATGAATGCAATAGAAACATTTCTTTTGCAAGTAATAAAATATTCTCTATGTAGGTTATGTCTCATCAATTCCGAAGCTATTACTTTGAAGCAAACATGTCCTGTTTCTTTTGGATTAGTGTTTTTTTTAATCTGAAAATGTTTTCATTTTTTCATTTTAATAGAATTGAGATAAAAATGTTCAATGCTTTAGGTTCATATATTTTTCTTATAGGCAGGAAAAATCAGGATTAATAAGCTGAAGCTTTAGTTCTTGATGATGCAAACTCTGCACTGGATTATGGGCCTTTTGAGGTGTTTTATAAAGTCCAGGAAGGAGCCGAGTTTAAGTGAGGTTATGCAGATGGATTCAACTTTGTCAACATATGGGTCCCTTATTAATGCCCATGAGCAAAGAAAATATTATGTTTTAGACGAGAAGCAAAGAATGGATTACTTTCCCATAGTATACACGTGAGGCCCATGGAGACCCAACAAGACTAGAAATTTCTGTCGATTCAAACATAGGATTCTAGGGAAATTTATTGCAATCAAAGGAGCCTCTGTAAAGAAATGAAATTTTTAGAATCAAATCCCAATCAGGCATAATGTATGATACTTCATTTTTTACATCATATATCATCTTCAAGCAAAAATTAGTCAACAAATCACCCCAAATTAATTACTTTTGGATTTCTGGAATGACAAGCAAATATTTCCAACAACAGCTGCTGTACATTCCAGGACTGTCCTCATGTTATCAGCTCCGCCGGACAATATTCAAGAATTATGTTCTACTTAAGGTAGTACATGTACTCCAATTTGAAGGCAGCCTGCGTGAAACCATAGTTGGTATATTTTTTACATTCACATCGAGAGGCAGCAAGCGATATTCATTATCAAGGTCTTTAAATATTTTAATCGTTTGTTCAAGTAAATGGCCTCCCCTACTCAATCTCTTTTCTTGTAATTCATTTTATGCTAAGACAATACTGTAAACTTCAATTTGTTCACATCTTCTACATCTGTCACAACTACCAGTGGGTTCTTGTGCTAGTGATGCTCCCTGCTTCTAGTATACTTAGAATTATCTTTCTAAATATGAATTACTTAATTTGCATTATTCTCTTACTTACTGCATCTCGATAATTATATGTGAATCAAAACATGAATCAAAAGGGTTAAAGATTTAATTTTTTTATTTCACAATAAATCTATCATTGTTTCTAGTCATCTCTTAGTAGAATGACTTGCAAATATAAGTTAGGTTGATTATCTTGTATGATCAAGATTTCATATAATTTTATGAAGAGGAAAGGAGCCCATTTTTCACTTGAAACGGCGGCGGATTTCATTCCGAGGAATTTATTCAAGCACGTGGCATTAAAATTTGAAGTAAGGTACTGGGAGGTGCAAACATTGCGTCAACACTGGGTCCATTACCAAATATTCATTGTCAAGAACAGCTCAAGTCCAGAGATTTCCATCCATTGAAACAGCTCAGTTATTTGCAGTATATATTTTCCTACACTTCTTTCCGTATATATTCTGTATTTCCTTATATATAATTTCTTTTTTAAGAAGTCTACCCAAGAAACAGCTCACTCAATGCTGCTATCAAGTCATACTCTAACTATGAATATACATTAAAACAATTCAGTCATTTGCAGTATATATTTTTTTATACTTCTTTCCATATATATTCCGTCTTTCCATATATATATAATTTCTTTTAATTCCATATATATAATTTCTTTTTTAAGAAATCTACCCAAGAAACAGCTGACTCAATGCTGCTATAATTTCATACTCTAGGGATGAATATATATAGTACATGAATCACTAAACTTGCTGTCACAAAAATGGGTCCTTTGACTTCCTCTTGCCCCCTGGCTTGCCCCATTCTTCGTCTCTTTCGTCGCCTCCAAAGGTGAATCTCTCTCTATAATCTATAACTCTACATGCACAGACATTTGCATTTTACATAAATTGACATGGGCATAAATGTACTAATCAATAGTAGAATGGAGTACTGTATGTTGTAGCTGTTCATCATCCCTGGTTACAAATACCCAAGTTTCAAGTTGAACAGGGATCGACTGCGAGGAATAACGGCGTTCTGAAATTTGGGAATACATTGTATAGGTTTATATTTTAAAGATTTTGCATGGCGAGATTATAAACTTGTATGGTGATGCAGGTCAGTCGGAAATTGGGAGACGGGTGTGAAGCCAAAGTCAGTGTCGGTGACGGTGGCGCACGAGCTTCTTCAAGCAGGACATCGTTATCTGGATGTCAGGTATCTTACTAGCTAATGTTTCACCCTTTAAAAATAACAGTAATCCAACTCGCATGAGAGACGAGTGACATCGTTCTCCCTCATTTTCAACAATATTTCTTAGGCTTCTTTGGTCAAATACACAATTTTTCCTCGGATTTTGCTGCTAATCAATCTCTGAGGCTTGCTTTAATTCAAGTTTTTAAGTTCTTCTATTTGGTTCCACTTTGTAGGACTTCTGAGGAGTTCAATGCTGGGCATCCTCCTGCGGCTATTAACATTCCTTATTACCACGTTATTAAGAATGGTGGAAAAGGTAAACATCACTATTTTAGCTTGCTGATCAATTTTGTGGTTCAACTATATATTCAGTACCCAAAGTGAAGAAATGCTTTGTTCCAAAAGTTTACTTCATCAGACAATTTTTCCTGTCCATGACAATGTGGAAAAAACGTCAAAGTTAATCAGATATTCGCCAAGTCCAAATTATTAAGTTATATTATGGAAGAAGTAGAAACTCAACTTGATCTCATGAGATAATTTGAACTTATTGGCTTAATAAAGTTGTACTAACATAATTGCTAAAATAAAAATTTCAGTTCCTAGTGGGTTCTGACGGTTTTCATTCTTTCTTGTGAAGAAACGGCAGGCTTGATTTTTTTCCTGTTTGATTAAATTTTATGACAGTATTCGATGAAGCACACTTAGTATTGGAAAATAGCGTTCCAATAATTTCAATTCTTTGCCTAGAAATATTCAATCATTGTTGAACTGTTCTCTTTTATTTTATGAAGAGATGTTGAAGAATCCAAAATTTGTTGAGGAAGTATCATCTGAATTTGGGAAAGAAGAGAAGTTCATTGTTGTAAGTTTTTGAGATTTGTAGTACTTGTATTAGTTATTGTAGTTTGTTGTTACCCAATTTAAAACCTTATTGTTGCATTATCAATCCTCAGGGATGTAAATCAGGAGGGAGGTCAAAAATGGCTGCAACTGATCTGCACGCTGCTGTAAGTAGCAATTTTGAAAATTTCGTTGTTCATTACACCGTTAGAACCATAAATTTCTTGCACGAAACAAGATAAGAGAGTGAATACCCATTAGAAGCAGCTATGCATGTAAAAGTTAATTATGTAATTCCTAATTCCTAAAGTAGCTTCCATCTCTTATATGAATAGTGTAAAAATTGATAAAAAAAAACTGTGATGTTCTTGCAGGGTTTTACCCATGTCACTGATGTTGCTGGTGGCTATACTGCATGGAAGGAAAACGGGCTTCCTAGTACTGAATGAATGCAATAGAAACATTTCTTTTGCATGTAATAAAATATTCTCTATGTAGGTTGTGTTTCATCAATTCTGAAGCTTTTACTTTGTAGCAAACATGTCCTCTTTCTTTTGGATCAGTGGTTTTTTTTATCCGGAAAAGTTTTCATCGGTTCATTTTAATAGAATCGAGATAAAAATGATCAATGCTTTTTCTTATTCTTATAGGCAGCATAAAATCAGGACTAATAGGGATCAATCACTAGCACGAAAAGTAGAATTCTTTCTTGGCTCACGCGAGCAGGCTTTCATGAGCTAAGAGAATTCCCAATTTTTTCTCAAATTTTCTCGATTCTTGATTCAATTATCATAGATTTCATCAAATTTCATCAGATCTTGCTATTTTCTTTAGCTTTAGAGGATTGATTGGGCTGTTTGAGATGAGTAAGACGAATTTATGATCTCCCTTGATCGTTACTGAAGAATCAAGTACTATACAGGCGAGTGATGTGGTGGGTGAAAATCTGACAAAACTGGCTATAGCAGAAGCTGCTACGAAGCAAAAGGTGACAGATTGGAGGTTTTTGTTTGCAGCATCAGGAGATCAAGCCTCGGAGTATTATCCGCCATTGAAGACTGAAGGGGGGCTAATTGTGAAACCATCGAACGAGGTTTTTGAAGAAGGAATTCTCCAATGGCAGAACTCCCTTGTAGTTCAATTCATTGGGAGAATACCTAGTTATAGCCTCTTCCAGAAAATGGTCAATATACTTTGGGGGAAGGAAGGTGAAGTAGAGATTAAGCCTGCTGGGCATAATCTTTTTGTGATTCAATTTTCAAACTCAAATGCAAGGAACTGGGTTCTTAAGCACAGTCCATGGCACATCCAGAACAAACCACTGATAATCAGAAAATGGGAGCTAGGAATGCGTTCATTGGAATTTAACATGGAGAAATTGCCTATCTGGGTTCATTTGGGTAATGTCCCACTTGAATTATATTCAAAGAAGGGGTTGAGTTACATCGCTAGTGTATTAGGGAATCCTTTATATATGGATACAATCACCACCAAGCAACAAAGATTGGCTTATGCCAAATTTGTGTGGAGATGAAAGCAGCATTGGAAGTTCCAAGAACAATTGATGTTGAATTGAGAGATGGATCTCTAGTTTCAGTTAAAGTGGAAATACCATGGATGCCTCAAAAGTGGTCTCATTGTTGTATTTTTGGACATTCTGATAAAACCTATCCAAATAAGCCAATGATGGTTGCAACTAAGGTGTGGATGCCTAAAGATAAGGCTAAAACTACGTTATTGGAGAATCAAATGAATGAAGCTGATATAGAGCCATCTACAAGTAAAAAGGGGAGTGAAATGGAGGAGGTCAAGGTAACAGAAACTATCTCTGCTACTAAGAATAACAACAAGGCAGCAACACAAAACCATTCTGCTAAAACTAAATATGCTAACAGATTTGCTGTATTGGAGTCCATAAAGGAATTAGATAATATAAGGCATGAAATTAGTGATTCTAAAGGAATAATTGATGGGATGATTCCTCATTCACCAAAGAAGCCTAGAGCTACAGCTGCTAGGGTGGCAGATTTGATGAAGGCTATCAAAAGCAAAAAGAAAGGACTAATTGACAAGGGAAAGAAGCAAGTAAAGGTAGGCACTTCTGCCTTGGGAGGTCATACTTCCAGTTCTCCAATATGAATTTTATAGTATGGAACACTAGAGGATTTAACTGTCCTTTAAAAAGAAAAGATGTAATAGATAGAATACAAAGATTAAATATTGATTTGGTTTGTCTAATTGAAACAAGGGTCAAACAACATCGGATGCAGGCCATACTGGACAATAATTTTCGTGGTTGGGGTATGTACCATAATTACTCAGAAGCATGCAATGGGAGGATTTGGATTTTGTGGAGACCACATGTGCATGTTGATATGGTGAACCTCACTAATCAAAGTATTACCTGTAGTATGTTCATTGAAAGTCAGAAATTCTTTTTCTCTGCCATTTATGGGAGCAATAATGGAGTTAAGATGAGGAGGCTATGGTCACATTTGCTATTTTTAGGAGGAATAATTTTTTATAGTCCCTGGATCCTAACTGGTGATTTCAATGTTATTGCATACCCTTTAGTGAGTTCAGATTTTTAACAGCCAATACAGAGATGAAAGAGTTACAAGATTGCATGACTTAGCTAGCATTGTTTGATCTCATAGCAACTGGGCCTCTATTCACGTGGACTAATCATCAGCAAGAAAGCCATCTAACAAAAAAGTTGGATAAGGTATTAATAAATGACTCATGGCTCACTATATTTGCAAAATCATAGGTAGAGTTCATTGCTCATGAAGTATCAGATCATTGAGCTGCACTGATAAAACTTAATATGGCTTGGTATTCCCCACCCAAACCATTTAAGTTTTTAATTTCTGGATGAGGAACCAAGAGTTTAAGAATATAGTTGAAAACTTTTGGAAGCTGCCAGTGACAGGAAACCCATTGTCTAAATTGCACAAGAAATTAAAAAGACTGAAGCTGGAGTTAAGAAATTACAACAAGTTGCACTATAGGGATGTAACAGCAAAGATGAGGGAAAAAAGAAAAGAGCTGCAGGCTGTACAGATAAAAATATTGACAACTACCCTAAGCATTGAAATGAATAAATTCGAAAGCACCTTATCCATAGAGCTGAAAGAGTTAATGGAAGCCGAAGAGAGTTATTATAGGAAAAAATCTAGGATAACTTGGATATAAGAAGGAGACCAAAACACAAGATTCTTTCATAAAATGGTTACAGCCAAACAAAAAAGAAGCACGATAAAAGTATTTATTGATGCTGAAGGGAACAAACTAGAAAATTTTTCACAAATTTCCAGGGAAGTAGTATCATTCTTCCAAAAAATGATTGGTATACCTGATAAGGGAGTTAAAGTTTATTCACAAGAATTTTTAACTGATCTTCTTCAAGCTTCAATATCTTATGAGGATCAAGATGCACTCGTAAGCCTAGTGTTGAAAGAAAAAATCAAAACTATTATGTTCTCTATGAACAGTTACAAAGTTCCTGGTCCTTATGGATACATAGCCCATTTATTCAAGTAATCTTGGTCCATTGTTGGTGAGGATGTTACAAATGCTATATTGCACTTCTTTCAAACTGGGCACATACTTTCTGCATTTAACTTAACCATTATCACATTAGTTCCAAAGTGTGCAAATCCAAGCAAGATTAGAGATTACAGGCCCATATCATGTTGTACTATCATTTACAATGTGCATTACTAGGATTTTGGCAGATAGGCTTAAAAATATCGTGCCAAATATCATAAACAAAAAAGTCAAAGTGCTTTCATAGAAGTGAAGAGCATCACAGACAATGTGCTTATGGCACAGAAGATGGTAAGGGGATATGGTAGAACCACATTATCCCCAAGGTGTGCTATAAAGATTGATTTGCAAAAGGCTTTCAATACATTAGATTGGAATTTTATCCACAACATTTTGGCAGCCATTGGATTGCCTTCAAAATTTATAGGCTGGATTAACAACTGTATTAGAACCCCAATGTTTTCTATATCACCTAACGGAAGGTTAGTGGGCTATTTTCAAGGAGCTAAAGGAATAAGGCAAGGAGATCCGCTCTCCCTAGATCTATTTGCTCTAGCAATGAATGTGTTTGTCAAGAATGCTAGATGAAGTTGCCAAGTTTGGAATGTTTGCCTATCATCCTAAGTGCAAGAAGATCAAGTTGACACGTTTATATTTGTAGATGATTTGTTGATTTTTGCAAAGAGAAGCAAGAATTCAATCATTGGTGTCAAGAAAGTTATGTAAGCTTTCTACTTGTTCTCAGGCTACAACTAAATTGCGAAAAGAATAAGATATATGGCATAGGAATAGGCAGAAAAGAGATCCAATCAATTCAACAAGCCACAGGATTCAAAATAGGCTTACTTCCTTTCAGATACTTAGGAGTCCCACTAGTCACCAAAAAACTTACTGGAAAAGGTTATGCTCCATTGCTTGAGAAGATCACGGCTAAGATTAAAGGTTGGACTAGTAAGTACTTATCTTATGCTGGAAGACTACAGCTAATCCAATTAGTACTCTTCAGCTTACACAATTATTGGTGTAAACACTTTATATTACCTAACTATGTGTTAAAAAAAATCAATCAGCTATGCTCTAGCTTTTTTTGGAAAGGCCAAGAAAGGACTACCGGAGGAGTTAAAATCAGTTAAAAAGCCGTTTGTCACCCTAAGTCTAAAGAAAGGTTGGGTATAAAAAACACACTAACTTGGAACACGGCATACATGATGAGGAATATTTGGTCTATTTTCAAAAAGCAAGATCTATATGGATAGCTTGGATTGAAGCTTATGTCTTGAAAGGCAAAAGTATATGGTAAGTTGCACCACAGCAGAGTAACAATTGGGGTTGGAGGAAACTATTTCAACTTTAGACTATTGCACGCCAATTCATCAAACAAGAAAATGGTATTGAGGTGTGGCCTATCCCTAGTAATGGCTATTCTATTGTAGCGATTTGAAATGATATAAGGTCTAAGCAATGGAAGGTTGAGTGGCACAGACTAATCTGGTTTCAGTATCATATCCCAAAACACTCAATGATTGCATGATGACTATACTAAATAGGCTTCTAACAAAAGTTAGATTGAAGAATTGGAGAGTAGAGGTGGATGAAAGGTGTTGTCTATGTCAACATGAAAGGGAATGCAGGGACCATTTATTTTTTAGTTGTGAATATGCAAAATGGTGTGGAGAAAGGTATTACAATTATGCAAGATTGACAGAGAAGTCAGGGAGTAGACTGAAGAATTGAAATGGGCAATGACAATGATAAAAAGCAAGACATTAATATCAGTAGTATTGTGCATTACTTGGAGTGCTCATATATACTATATATAGAGAGAAAGGAACTGTAAATTATTCAAGAATAAAGAAAGAACAAAAAAACAAGTGTTTGAGCAAATTAAAAAAGCTATTAGGATTTGATTATATAGATTGCATTCGATTGCTGTTGATCCAGTTAACAAGATTTTGTGTAATGCTTGAAATATAAATAAAATTATATTATATAATAATTAAAATATGATTTGATTTTATATATGGAGTGTATGTACTATGGCAATTTTATTGCTTCTTTGGATAAATGAAATACAACTTATCCAAAAAAAAAAAATCAGGACTAATAGATTAAAGCTTTAGTTCTTGATGATTATTGGGCCTATTGAGGAATTCTAAAAAGTCCAGGAAGGAGCCCGTTTTAAGTGGCAATGTGCAAATTGATTCCACTTAGCAATACATTGGTCTCTCATTAACGCTCATGAGCGACCAAAGAAGCCCAAAGAAAATCTCATGGGATAACACACAGCCCAATGTTAAATATTTTGTTTTCGACGAGAAGGAAAAGAAACGACATTTCCCAAACTAAACCTGTGAGGCCCATGTAGACCCAATAAGACTAGAAATTTCTGTTAAATCAAACAACAAAGGATTCCAGTGAAATTAATTGCAATCAAAGGAGCCTCTGTGAAGAAATGAAATTTTTAGAATCAAATCCCAATCAAGCATCATGTATTATACTTCAGTTTTTACATCATACAACATCTTCAAGCAAATACTAGTCAACTAATCACCCCAAATTAAATACTTCTGAATTTCTGGAATGACAAGCAAATATTTCCAACAGCAACTGTTGTACATTTTATCAGCTCCTCCGGACATTATTTAAGAATTATGCTCTACTTTGAGTAATTAGCCAGCACAAGTATTCCAATTCGAAGGCAGCCTATGTGAAACCATAGTTGGCATATTTCTTACATTCACATCGAGAGGCAGCAAGCGATATTCAATGTCAAGGTCTTTAAATATTTTAATCGTTTCTTCAAGTAAATGGCCTCTCCTGGTCAATCTCTCTGGCACATTCTGGTAGTTCATTTTATGCTTAGATGATACTGTAAACTTCAATTTGTTCATGTCTTCTACATCTGTCACAACCACCAATGGGTTCTTGTGCCAGTGATGCTCCTGGCTCTCAATATACCTAGAGTTTCACAGTTGCTCATATTAGAAGGCTCAAAAGTATACAATTTGACATTCGAACCTCAGCAAGTTAAGCTTAAGATGCAGGAAACTAATAACAGAGAAGATAAATCTTACTACTACTTACTCAGTTATTCTTTCTTTCATGATGACAATCTTCTCTGATGGAGTTGACACATGGATACAAAATTCAATTGTCTCTACCATGTCTGGACTTCGGTAGAAGTTGCCAATAGGCTTGGTAGACAAAACACTGTTAGGATATACGATCTTTTGCCCGTCAAACCTTAAGAACACTGTGGTTAATATATTCATTTCTTCTACTACCATCTGAGGCTCAACAGAACAAACGTTAGTGAATGCTAAATAGTAATCAACACATTGACCCTGGAAAGAAATAAAGGAAAGGAGGGACCCAGGAATGGACGTGTATGCTATATTGTGATGCAAGTAACTTGAAAGAAATGAAGGTTTTTTTACCTGCACTCCATCCACTTCACAGCGATCACCCACATCGAATGGATGCATTATAAATAAAAAGATTATTGCTTCAAATACTGTCTTGCAGGTATTCCCGAAGATAAACACCACCAACAGAAGTTGTGAGCTTATGAAAACAAGGAAGTGGGTGACAGGAATTCCGAGTATGATGAGCCAAATTACGACGATGATAATGGCTACTACAACGTCCAACATGTTGTGGAGTTCATCCACAGCAGTTTTTGTATCATTTAGGGACAATGCAAGTGCTTTTCGATCTCTGAAGGCATTGACCTGGAAGAGGAAAAGAGTCTTTTAGTGTCTTCTGAACACGTCTAAGAAACTGAAACCTTAACCAATTCCTATCTGGTAGATATCAACAAGAACTAAATTTAGAAAAACATTAAATTTAGACATCAATTACCAGCCAATTGTTGAGAGATGCCTTGCTGATTCCGTCTTCTTCACTTCCTGCTCCAAAGAGATGCAATGCCTTTAAAGCTTCATCTCGACCCATAAACCGCATAATGTCTGTAAGGTAAATGCATCTGATACAGATATTCATGTCTTTAAGTCATCAGCATCATTCAACATCAATAACTTAGAAGTATTTATCAACACAAAGTTTCCCCATATAAATTACATAGTACATACACATAAAGATGAATTTTATTTATTTATTCATTAGTTTCTTTTCTTTGTTCGAAAATTAATACATCAGCCAATTAAGTGTTGACCCTCATTAAGCTCGCAAGGTCGAAGAAAGAAAAATAAACAGTGAAACAAATAAGAGCTCTGTTTGGATAAAGATGGTCAGCTACTCGCATCAAGAACTCAAACAGTTGGGGGCAAGGGAAAGAGAACTCACTGATATACCGGCTTAGCCACGTTCTGAAAAATCTTCTTAGCTGCTTCATTTGCTTGGCATTCACTTCTAATCTGCACTGAAGATTCATCATCTCTGTCAGAATTGAGTATCTGCTCATCCAAGGTAGCCAACTGCCCATGGCTAACCATATTAACCATCCTCCTCATATTCCAAGCTGATATATTCTTATGATTCAGCTTACGAAGGTGATCAAGTCGGATATCCTCATTTTTCCTCTTAGACATTGTCCTTGAAAATCTGGGACCGTTCTCAACCACAGTGATTTTTTGTTGTTTTCTAGTTCCTCTCTTTGCCTCAGTCCTAGGAGGAAGGGTTGCCCTGAGGTTATTAACCGTAGAACTCCCAGCACTCGGTGACTGCTCAACCTCAGGTATATCATCCTTTTCCTCTTCTTCTTCTTTGCTATTTATTTCAAACAGGGGAGGACCTGAGAGCATCTCAATGACATATTGATTGAATAGAGCTTCCTGGATTCTATCAAAGAAGGTGTTTACGTGGAAAGATGAAGCAAGGACTTTAACAAGGAGGGTTTTCACAAGCCATATCAAGGTAGCCACCAAGAAACATACGAGAATCTTTGTTACATAGGGTAATACCTCGCTATTTGTCTCCTCCTGGACTTTGTCATCAAAGATCCAATTCCACACAAGCAAAACAAGACCCAACCAAAGGCAATTCTGAACAGCCTTTCTCAATCCATAAACAAAATAGAGAACTCGTTTTCGCAAAAGAAAGTTGCGCTCAATAAAGATTACAACAAGTCGAATTGCCCAACCAGAAACAAGTCGTCCACAGATTAATGCCAAAACCATTATCTCCCACTTCCATAATTGAAGATCCCAAAGCGTGTGTCTTTTTATACCAGGGATGGAGAGGCTACAGACTAAGGCTGCTACAATTAGAATGAGACTTAACCACTGAAGAATTGTCAGTGCACTAAATTTCAGCATCGTATATTCATCTGGAATGTCTTCCATGTCTTCCTCATCGTGGTTATTTTCTTTAAATTCTTCTTCAGAGTTCATACTGTCGTTCCTTCCATATTGGTCCTCGAGTGGGTCAAGCAACCTAGACTTGGTTTTGTTCACCAGTTGCCTCCATGAGTTCTGTCGAATATAGTCATTTGAACTACATCTTAAAAACTGTTCTCCATCCGAAACAAAAGACCTTTGGCGTGTCTGATCTTGGCCTGAGACGTCCTTGCTCTTCTGCCGCACAGCTTCAGTTAACACTTCATGAAATGAAACTTTGGATTTCTTCGATGAACCTGAAGGTTTACCGCTTGTGCTATCGCCGGTGAACTTTGAAGTGTTCCCATTTTCTTTGCCAGCAGCATCGTTACTGTCAATATTGACAACTATTTCTCCTTCTCTCTGCTTGCGAGCATGAAACGACTGTGCCATTTGACAGTCGTTGGAGTGAAACAGGAGAGGCTGTTCTTCAGGGTTTTGTTGCTGTTTTGCATTAGAACAGTATGATTTCAAAGACTTTCTCACTGGTTCCATTATTGGAACTTATCAAAATCTTCAACTCCTTTGCATGGAGAATTACTGAGCACCTTTTAAATCGCAGGACATTAAGAAGGTATCACGAACAGGATGGGAAGCTTTTCCTTGGAAAAATTCGAGTACTGTTCACTGTTAAGTTGGAAGACAATGGAGCCAAGCCAAAGTTGCACTTGTGAAAAGATGCTTTTGTCGTAAGTCATGTGATTAAAAGGGTTCTAACTTCTAAAAGCATCTGGGTTAATGGAGTCTTTTCTCTTCTCTCAGCGTCGCGGATAAATTCCCGTCAGAGCCAGAAATTCTCTGCGCAAATTCTTTTCAAAATGAAAAAATGAAGCCCTTGTTCCGGAATGAAGAATTGGCCACGTAAATTACATTGCACCATTGAGTTATATAAATACAAATTAGACCTAGCGAACAGATCGAATCCAATATTTTGAATGATCTTTACATTGGTACATATTCATTACCTATATTCCCTTCATGCTTTTTCCCCTCACTTGACAAAGCATTCTTAAAATAGAATTGTTCGAGAACCGAGCAATAGGCTGTCACTGTGTTTTTGGCCCTTTCTCTAATGAGCGTTCATGGGTTAATCATCAAGAATCATTCGAAAACAAAAGATTAAAAAAAATGCTTTAGCTTTCATCAACAGTGGAGAATTCAGTGTCTACAATAGTAGGCCCTGAAGAATAGAATATGAAATCGTATACCCATGCATCAAGGACTAATTCGCTTGTAGGGTAGGCAAAATGCCAAATATTGAGTTAAATCAATCACTTCTCATTGATAAAATAGAGCAGAACTTCAAGCAATGGCATCTCCTATTTTCTCTTTTAAGTTCAAATACTAGACAGAAAATGTATTCGTATATTGCAATGACAAGCTGCCAATTTGGAACGATACCCATTACTTTGAAAATATTGAGTTGAAGTCTACAGGGGTAAAGAAAAGCTAAGATATGCATATTTCAAGCTACAAAAATTATCCACAGGGGCTTGCCATCTTTGCTAGCTTCCTTGCCTAAAAGTTGTTTCAAATTTTCTAGGTTATTTTCCTTCTGCTATCCTCCAATTTTCCTTGCCTGCAACCTTTCCAAGATTATCAATATTTCTAACAAGAAGTATAAGCAAAAGGACGGTTCTTACAACTTTCCCCTATATCCTCGCTAAGTCTTGCAAAAGATCTGAAATTTCAGAGAATTCGGGTCTTAGTGATGGCTCCTGTTGCCAGCATCTATCCAGCAGTTCCACAAATTTTGGGTGAGTATGCTTAGGAATCACAGGCCTTAGACCCTGAAATCCACAAAGAGAAAGCTCTTCGTTGTTTCAACTCTCTTATGCTGGTTAGTCATGAATTAGTAATCTTTTAGTGAAACAAGTAACAACTACCCTAAAAAGAAAGTAACCAAACTGAATTTAGGTCAATCATTTTTAATACTTTTTGTGTTCACACTTTTATATATATTAAATGATATACATGGATATTTGTGTCACTAATACAAAATAGTTCTACTAGTTCTATTTTATTAAAGAATACCTTCTGTACTACGCCCAACGCTGCTTGTAACGGGGTTAAGTTCTCATATGGAAGCTGGCATCAATCACAAAAACTAGAGGTTGGTTTTTAAGTCTTTACAATGCATAAACAAGTAGAAATGAAAGACAAACCAAAATAAACCTTAACGTGAAGATTGAGCCATCTTCAATGAAAAAAGAAAAGAGATGCTTTTTTTTTTTCAACCAAAATATTGCCAAAGAATCACCTTTCCTGTAAGCAGTTCCCATAGCACAACCCCAAAACTGAAAACATCAGCTTTGTGATCATATGGTTTGTGTTCAATCACCTTCCACAAAACAAGACCAGACAATCATGTGAGAGAGCTGGAGGAAACTAGCAAACGAAATAATGGTTATTGTCAATACAGTCATGGTATGGAATGTCATCATCGTGTCTCATTAACTTATATGTGCATGCTCCAACAAATAGTTATAACAAAGACCAATAGATTATGCAACAGTTATTTTTAGTGCTGCATGGAATAACCATATTGGGTTTCAAGGTTTGATTATGCCATACATGTAAACAAATCAATTAAGGCCTGGAAACTGAAACAAGAAACATAAGATCATTTTAAAAATGAAAATGGGAGAGAAAATTGGGAAGGTCATCAATAAAAAAATTCTCAACTTGTTTTAACTCATTAAAGCTATGCACCAACAAAAAATTAATCGGATAAAGCCGTTCTCCTAGTTCTAGTCTACCTAGGTTCACTTTTTGTTATGAACTAATATTCCAGACCTTCAATCGTGACAAAGTAAACAAAATGTTACAAAGTCCAAGAATGAGTGTACATCAACAAGAATACCAACCTCTGGAGCCATCCAACGATATGTTCCTGTTTCTGCAGTCATCACACCTGACTGAGCTTGTACCCTAGCGACACCAAAATCAGCTACCTTGACAACCTGTGACACAGATCCTTTGGGTGTAAAGAAAGATGGCAATCATGGACCAGCCAGCTCAAGCAATGTATATATAGCATATACATAATCTGAATACAAGCAAGACCAAAAACAGTCAATACTTCATGTTATAAGCAACTGATCTCTCCCCTCAAAATATATTCAATTTGCTCTAGTAAAATTTTTCTTACTGGTTTGATACTTTCATTGAGTTTGACTGTTAGTACCAAATAAATGGCACACGCTGACTCTGACACCAAATGGGAATAGGGCCTCTACAAAACGCCTAGTAGCATAAATAGAAATCCCAAATCCATTAGTGCCATGTTGACTGGGAAAAAGAAAGTCAAGATTCTATACCCCTCTCATCTAACCACAGGGATACCCCCCATAAGATACCCCTATCCATCGTTAATTCTTCTCAAATCTTAATCCTCAAGGTATTATTCTTTTTAAACCAAAATTGCCAACTATGATTTAACAGCCTCAAGAGATAACTCCATAACGAGTATAACTTTGGCAGGATGTAAGAATTAAGATTATTTTGCACATAGAAGGCAATAAATTTACAAAGTAAATATTATCCACAGGTGAATCTCTTACTCCATTTTCATCCATCAAAAGATTGGCAGCTTTCAGATCCCTATGCATTATGCTATTTTGATGCAAGTAGCTCATTCCTTTGGAAACATCAGTTGCTACTTTGAGTAAGAATGGAAGCTTAAAACCAGATTTTTGTTTATGCAGAAGGTCATACATGCTTCCACCAGACATGAACTCTGAGAATAAAACAAAAGGATATATAATTGAAATTCAAAATAAACTTTGAAATGAAAATGAAAATTGCATATTCAGTCAGGCAACTATGTCTGAATAGAAGTCTTATGAAACATACCAGTCACAATGCACAGGCTGGGAGGTCTAGTACATGCACCGATGAATTGAACAACATTCTTGTGCCGAATTTTCCTGTAAATTTCAAATAAGAAAATAAAGGGATAAGAAATTTTAAATTTCCTGATAGTATGATGTAGATAGTAGTTTATCTTTTCTTAAAGAATTTGCAGGAAATTGAATTAGCTCGTTAACAATAGGTAATACTACGGAAAAGGAAAAGTATATGAAAGCAGTGTCTACAGTAATTACAAATTGTGACTAAACACACCTCATAATATTAACTTCTTGAGTAAATTCCCTTTGCAAGTTCTCATTTAGATGCTCAGTCCTAAGGACTTTGATAGCTACATCTTGACCATAGAAAGTACCTTTATACCTACATTAGTCAAAATATATCATGCACAAGTATTATGACAAACAGAGCATGGCATTTGCAGATAAAGGACTCACAAATCACCATAGCAGCCGGAAGCCAACTTGCTTTCATACTTCAACAGGCTGGTATCAATTTCCCAAACACCACTTCCTCTAGCAGGTATGTGTACATGACCGGAGACAAGCTTGTTTCCATTTTGCTCTAGCTCCCTCACATGATATGTGGCATGAGATCTTAACAAGGAATGCTTCTGCAGGGCAATTCAAATTATCAGACTTGTGCACTGCCACAAGATCACTAGAAACAAGATATTTCAATATTTTCCTGTACAATGATCATCCTTTCTATCTTTGAACGAAATAATACATAACATATGTTGGAATGATAAAAGAAAAGGAGCAAAGGCAGCAGCAAAATATAAAAGATAATTAAGAAAATTCAATTACTTAATGTTTCCTATAAAATTAGGCCATATCCACTTAACAATGAATTAAAACATTAAATCACCAAATATTCCTTGCACCAAATAACAAGTACTGTAACAATATATAGACCAAGTATCATAGTACTGAAAAACAAAACAAAGTTAGTTTTACTTTACCAATCAAAATAATCATCGATGTGGTAAGATAAATGTCAGTACAAAAGAATATAGATTCCATACTCACTTCAGTTAAAATATAAAAAGATAGGATGGTTTAGAAATGTGATCAACTGAATTTTTCCAGGTTTAACATAAACCATTAAAGCCAAATTACATTAGCAAAACGTCCTTGTCTATCATGAGGAAGAAAATAATATCAAAATAGAATAGCAGGTGAGGCTACCTCAACTTTGGACATCTCCTTTATCAATACATTTCTGAGCTGCTCAGTCTCCTAAAAACCATTAACTATGAAAGTAAGTCAATCCATGAGTAATTTATGGAAAGGCACACAAGTTTGGAAAATTAAAAGTCTAATAGGACTAGATGTGAGAGTCAATAAACTACTTCAAGGCTGATAAAAAATAAATCAGAAAGACAGAACGATCTCAATGCTATAAATATACAGCTTAAAAGACTGATACACATTTTATTGATACCATTATAAACTCTGTGATATTCTTCCTCAAGGAATAGCGACTTGCTATGATATAATATCAAAAGAGAAGAAAGGGTAAAATACCTCAAGTGCCCAACCATCAACAAGGAACACATCCAAGGAATAGCCATCTGTTGTGGAAAAAGCATGTGCTTCTTGTATATTCAGTCCAACTTCAGATAATAAAGAAGTCAACTGAAATTTCAACATAAAATATCTTCAATAATGATATGAAAAAGACTAATGACCAGATATAATATCCAAAAATTATTTACACTACTAGAAAAACTAAGAGACATTGACTACCTGCGTTAGAAGTTTTGGCTTGTCATTTGTTGAAATAGTGATCTCATGCATCATCCTACAAAATTATGAATTAAAACAAATTATTTCACAAACACTCGCTACAGGCTTCCAGAAATAAATAGAAAAGACTTCCCAGCTTTCAAAGTCTTATACCTACCATTCACCAGCAAGAGTCAGAAATAAAAGGAAAACCTAAGGGGAAAAGAATATTAGATGGGGCGAATAGATCACACTGTTGACAAGAAAGTATCCAATGAAAAATATCCACAGCAATGCAGAATCAGTGTACAAACACAGTTTTGCACTTAGCTAGTAGCTTACAGACCCAGATGTTGAGAGCAGTTTGCCATAGAATACACTAAGCACATAAAGGATAATTTATTAACTAGGAAGACATTACTTCTCCTCTGATTGAATCTTTTAACTCTTCTACTTTGGTTCCGAGGCGGAACTGTAAAACATTTTTCATTCTGAAATCATTTTGTTATACTAAATGAATCAATGCAGTTGAACTCGATCTGCACAGAGTTGTGTAGAAATTGAACAACTATGAGATATATTCATTGCATAAAATCCTCAGGGAGATCACCAAAAAAAAAAACACCAAAAAGCAGGCGAGAACCTTTTTGGAAGTATTTACCGATAGTGAATTGGTTTGGCATTAATTACAGCATCCATATCTTTAACACCTCTTCTGGCTTCATGCACGAGCTCAAGATCAGATGATGTACCAAAGGCAGGCGGCGGATGAACCCTAAAGTAGGGGGAAAGGAGAAAGACGAAGTAAGGAAAGCATCGAGGATATTAGAAATTAGCACAAACTTAAGCCAGATTGACTGCTTTGACTCTGAAAAGAAAAAGACCAAATAGATGTTTACATAACCATGCCTCTTTTTGTTGGGATAATCAGAACATTGAGCATCAGCTTTTCTTGTAAACTTCACACGTGCCGGCTCAGCCTTATTTCCATCCAAAGCAGAATAAACCTGTACAATAGAAACATTTGTTAAGATGCAAATGGCTGAGAAAATTATTTTATGCCCTTCAAAGGGGCATGATAAAACAGCCCAACAATAGAATAATTGTACAACCTTTTCATCAACAAGCATCAATGATCACTAAATAAGAAATGGGTAAAGCCTAATCTGCAAGATAAATGAGAAGATTCAGTAAAAATACTTGCACAAGCCGAACTTCGATGGCGGGTCTGTTAGCAGGATCGCGTGCCTTATGAAGTAAACTTTTATGCATAAGAACATCTTGTGCCCTCTCCACATTTACATCAAATGCATACCTACAATAAACAAATCAAATAAACCTTTACCTAATTAAACATACGCCAAAAGTGCCAGTGAATTGATATTTCAGTTTACTTCTATTTCGTTACCCAAAAAAAAAAAGAAAAAAGGAACAACATGATATATTTAACGCCATGTTTGGCAGCTAAGAAACCAACAACCACGAAAAAACCGGAAAAAAGTAGACTAAAAAATGGGAAAAAGTTGACTAACTCTCTTAAATTACCGTCTCGTCTCTAAAGAAATCCTACTCCATATGGTTAATTTGCTAAATTTAAATTCTCATTTTCTTGGTTATCAAACACAAATATGCTATTAAAACTTCAAATCCACTCAACCTCCCCGAGTAAAAGGAAAAGCAAATGAAAATACGTGAAAGCCGGGTTTCAAAGTGGGGTACCTAGTAGGAAGTCTAGAGAAATGAGCCCAAAGTTCATCTTCAAAGGCAGGGAAGGTTGCCTCCTCAATATTCAAGTCCCTAAGTCGACAAAGAACTTGGTTATACACTTCAATCTTTTGCCTCTGTTTTCGACTCTGACTAGGCTCGAAATCCACCGCTCTACTACTGCAACTCTCCGTATCCGCCATTACCATCCAAACAAAAAGCAAATTATAAAAAAAAAAACACTAATAAAAGTTTAAAGAAAAAAAGAAAAATGTTTGATTCAGATTCTAAAACGCTGGAGGATCAGAGTTCGAACATATTGTCAACTATACAACCATAGCTTCGCCTATTTGTGGTTTTCCCTCTCTTCTTTTTTCCCGTCTTTTATAAACTGATAAATTTGGACTATTACTGGGAGAAGAAAGAAAAGAACGTTAAAGCAAGGCGTAATGCGCACCCAAAAGCGTAAATCTACGTGGATTCTAACAATGCTGCCGTGCTTTGCTTATATCACCCGCGGGTGTTTATATTATAGTATTTAATTAATAAATAAATAAATCTAGTCATAATTACACGCCATTTTATTTTATTAATTTAATAAAATTAATAATAAAAATCATAGTGTAAAACAAAATAATGTAAATCCTTATCCATACGATTGATAATTCAATGGGTTGGAGTGCTGACGTCATCAAGCACCTTCAGTCTTAACCAATGGGATTTGTTTTGTAGTCTCATTCCGAAACCTGATCTACTACTCCATGGAATCTTTCTCTTTTTTGGCTGTGGTAATTTTAAAATCTTGGGCTGAATATTCTTACTGTTGGAACTTATTATATTCATGCCGGCCTCTTTATTCCCTTCCATATATTTATCATATTGCTTATAAATTTATGAACAAAGGTTTTCCATAAGCTTGTTAGGCTCCTTGAGCCCAAAAAATAAAAGATCGATCACTTACACAAAAATAATAGTCAGATTATCAATTGAATGATCCTGTATTAAAAATATTATCTATATCACTTATTTTAGTAAAATAAACACATGATGTATTCCATTTAAATCATATATAAGACATATAAATTTCTTATTTTTATATTATTATTTATTTTATTTATTATTTTAATTTTGATAATTTTTTTTAACAGATCAAATATGCTTCCAATTAAATAACATGTAAATTCTAATTATCAACTTAGAAAACTCATGGGCAAAGTTGATTAGTATTTTTCTAAATTTGTAAAAGGGAAGTAAGTTAGCAAAAATTTTGCAGTATTTAGAAACGGAATCTGGAAGAAGTCAATTGAGCGGAATGATAGAGACGAGGGGATGTGACATCTCAACCTGAAGAGGCATCAAAGGTATTGTCTGTGCCAAAGGCTTTGGGTACTTGGCCTCGGCCATTCCTGTTTCCTACCTAGTACTTAACTAAGGCAGCATGTCATGTCAAATACTTTGTGGTTACGGGTTAGGGGTTACCAGCCATACTCTTATTACATGTACGTTTCCCAAGCGTACCAAAGCCATGAAATGTTAGTTTTTAAAGTAGTAAAATTTTGCCTACGGTAAATGATACATGAAAATAAGAGAAAAAAATTGATAAATATTGATATTTAAACTTTATATTTATTAAATATTATTTATTAAAAGTGATCATATAAATTAATTAAAGTAAAGTTTTTTATATTTTTATTTTATGATTTTTATTAGTAAATCATTTAATTTCAATTATTTCTTATTAATAATGAAGAGACCAAGTTAAAGGTAGGATTTGACTAATATTTTTTCCAAGTTAAAGGTAGGATTTGACTAATAATGAAGAGACCAAGTTAAAGGTAGGATTTGTTTATTTTGTTTGCATACAAATTGTTGGTCTAAGGTTTTAGTATTGAACTTAGTATTCAAAAAATAGTAACATTAATCTATAAAAGCATAATATAATCTAATTTCAACATTTATTAATAAAAATTGTGAAATTGACAGCGGTAGCTCATAGTTGATCATGGGTGATCGTATACTAGTATATGATAAAAGGTTAATATCGTATAAGATAGTATTGATGAAATTGAAATTGCAGCAAGGAGCATGAACCACCTTAGTTGTATTTGGGTTAAAGAACTTAAGATATCAAAAGAGTAAAATAAAAATTACGAGCCCTGACCAATGAGCGAGATTCGAAATCATGTTCGTAGCTGACTTAGTAGGCCGTTGTACGGTTTGGACTATATATGGTCTATGGAAGCAGGAAAAAATCTGGTGGCACTGTTCAGTGATGGGGTGCATGCATGCATGCGTAGCGAAAGCCCATGCAGTGGCAAGTACTGTTTCTTTGTACGGTGATGTTACGCTTACAGGGTATGATGTACGCAGCGCTGGCTGGTGTAACTTGTAAGCAATGCTTGTCCCACTCCAGGAAAGCCGGCCTATTGGGAGACGAGATAGGGACTTTTCTCTGTGGATGTTGCCAAGCTACGCCCACATGCCCACCCATTTCCAATATGGAATCCCAGGACCTTCCGCTGCCTGCTTCAGTATTTATGTACGATGTTTTAAACTTTCTTTTCTATACCAGGGTATTCCATTTCCATAATGTCCTGGCTCAGACAGGCTCTCAAAAAGCCCGTCTATAATTCTGAACCTGGTCGTACAGTTCAGCCCAATATACAATAATATGTTACGATTACTCTGGTCCAAGGCTTTAAGTCCAAAACCCCATTCATTTCATATTCCAGAGGCCCACTAGGTCTATCCCACCTCAGAAATGCTTCTTTGGTTTGGCACTCCATTGTTTTTATTGTTGGGGTTAAATAAAGAATGAATTTTATAATTACATTAAAAAGGTACACGTTTAGCGATTAAAATTTTTATTTTTATTTTAGATTCAGGGTTAGTCTTTAGTGGCCGAGTGAGAAAAAACCAAATTTAAAAAACATTAGTAACAAAATTATATTTTTTTCATAGTAAAGTAACAAAAATACATATATATACTCAATTGTTAAGTTTGAGTTTCATTTTGCATGCGTGCATGCAGTGAAATTGGGCTTAAATTTTATACATGAGTACAACCAATTGCAAATGAAGCATTGAAAAAAAAAAAAAAACTTCAAATTATGAGTCCAATTTGGTTTGAGAAAGTGCTTGTGAGATTTATCTATCTATTGCTGTAAACCTTTTATATGTTACTTGGTGCTATAATTACAAAAAAATAAATTGTCCTTAGAAATAAAATTTATATTATTTTTAATTTCCCATCTAATTTGCTCCTAGAAGCATATCATTTACAAATAATTGAATTATAAACAAAGAGAATTTAAAGCTATGTATGATCCATCAAAATATTTTATGAAATTCGCATTTATAAATGTGAACTTTTACATAATTATTGAATGAGATTGATTAATACTTAATATCCATAATATAATAAAAATATTACAGGTGAAGTATTTCCTTATTATGAATAGAACCCATTTATTCTTATTTTTTTCCTTGGAAATAAAAAAAAAAGAGGGATTTTGCATAGAGTTCAGGGGACTTGAGAAATTTCCTTTTGTAATTACAGAGGTAAGACTTAATTAATTTAAATTGATTTACAGCATAAAATCAATTAAAATAATCAAGTTTCTTAGCACTCCCTAACACTGCTAGCGCCCAAAGCGTGAACGTCCTTCTCAGAGCTCCCTGCAGAACACAACATTCTAATGAGGAAAGGGGGGGGGGGGGGGTCTCACTCTCACTGAAGTTCATCTACACTATACGCCAGGCAGTAATAAACTAAATGGTAGGTAAGCCAACGAACAATTTGTGTCGTTAATACGCCGGGCAGTAATAAACTAAATGGTAGGTGACCCAACGAACAAATTTGTGTCGTTAATCTGATGAGGTTCCACAAATAGTAATTAAGAAGCAACAGTTCGGTTATGGCCTTACGGATCGATTCCCCTTATTAATTATGCTGCAGTCTGTGCCTCTGGTTTGTTAGTCCAAACAAGAGAAATTAAAGAGAGAAGATCACAGGCCAATTCCATTATTTAGATAAGGCTGGTAGCCAGCATCTTTCAACTTTGGTTTGTATATGAGAGAGAGGGATGGGTCGTGAAGGTTGATATTAAATGCTTTGGTCCTCGACGTGGGTTTGGTAGTCGAGGGTTTTTAATGCACCCACTGCAACTCTCTCTTCTTTTGTGTCCTTAAATTAGATCCAACAAATTCCCATTTCTTCTCACCATTTCTCCTCTCCCCCATCTCTTTCTTCTTCATTATCACTGCTAGCTACCATGTCCCATCATGATCTCTTGTTTTCTACTTCTTTTTTCGAATGAAACAAGTTCATTATCTGTTTCATTTTAACCTAAAAGAACTACAGCAGAGTGCCATAAGGTTTTAACTCAGCATGTTTTCAGTGATGGTTGAAATAGTCACTGCGATGTTGGCTCGGTTCACTCAGACAACATTAACCCCTACGCTTCTCAAGCACCCAAAAAAAAAAAAAAAGTGCTTTAGTTGCATAGCTTCATGTGCTTTGATTGAGCCGTGCCAATATCCTAGTGCCTTTTCATTTCTCCTTCCAGGCCACTGTGCAGCTCAGTACCGTTGCCTTCGGAAACTGGCCAGCAAAGCTTTTGACAGGTAAAATCTCCAGTCTCCAACCTGCGACCTTCACCCCTTTTTTTTCCCTTCAAGCTTTCCGACATTTTTCTTTTGATCCTATCAGGCACCTTAATTGGCTCACCTCCTTACTGATCAGTGATCACAGCAAATTAATTGGCTCCTAAATGTTTCAAACGTTCTAACAAAAGTACTAGCTATCGTGTTTACTTTAATTTAATTTGAATGAGAGGTTATTCTTTTGTCTTTTATTATTTGTGTGCGGCCTCAGCTAACGGTTTCAGCATGTAGGGCGAGTCTTTTCCATCCAAAACTCTTAAGTTTTGGAAGTTTCAATTAATTAAATAGAAAGTTTTGTACTACTACTACTACTACTTAAGTTAATTGTATTTCTCTGCTGAAGAGAAACAAAAAATGAATACTATGAAACTTTCTTCATACTACTGCATCCTAGTTCATATAGCTGTGTGCCTTTTACCTTATGCCTAGTGCTTATTGATTTGATCTACATTGCCTCACAGGATAATTAGTTCATTACACGAAGGCATGGTGATCTGTACATTCTTCCACCTCCACCAAATAAACCCTACCAGCTACAGTCCAGCTTCGGAACCCACATCTTTCAACCATGGCGGATGTGTAGATGGAGGAGGTAGCGGCGGCCGGAGTTCCAAAGTACATTTGTTCAAAAACAAACTTTAATTGAACATATAGGCTAAGAACCGCATTTGATTGATGATGACCGATGAGTCTATATATAATTAAGTTAAGTGATACTTTTGCAATAAATGGAAAACAAAAACCATACTTTTGCAATATAGTAGTAATTGATTAATTATTACTTAAATAAATGTAATATAAACATTATTTTTTAAATCATGGTAATACTAATATTCCAAGTGTCATTTTACTCCATCTTCTCTAGAAAATTAAGGAAAGGAAAGCAGACAAAAAATTGTACAGTTTGAATAAAGCAAAGAAGAGGTGTTGGTTGAAAAGAGTTAATGTGAGAAGTGGAGACCGCTGGCCAATCTTTAATAAGAAGAGTAAATTAGATAGGTGGGTGGAGAGGCAGAGAATCTGTGGACATTTATTTACAAGGAAGCCTGCTATCACTTTGGCAGTCAGACAAAGATTCCCTCATTACTGCAGAATGCTGTGCGTGCATGCCGATGATCCATCCATCTTAATTCCAATTTCCTTCATTTACTGTGACAAATAAATCCCATTTTTCCCCTTGGACCAAAGTATTCCCTTTTGGACATGGAGAAAGATGAATTAACAGGATTCAATATGTTTCTTTTTGCCCTTTGAATATGTATACCGTACTCCTCTGTGTCATCCTTTCAAAAAGTTAATTTTCATTTATGTATGTATAAATTTATTTATTTATTTATTTCTGTTTGTTCCCTTTGTTACTCTCACACTGACCCTACACTTCTTTGCTGTCTGATGAGTTTTTCCTTACTGCCCATTCCAGATTCTTGTTACCATATGATCTGCTATTTCGATAAAACTGTCTTTGAACGATTTTCATCCATGGCTTTTACTAACATTCAAGATCCAGAAACATCATGTATATGATAAGACTACTAATTGATTAAGCTCTAGGTCAAAATAAACGTTTGAATTATACCAATAACTAGATAGCTAGACTGGTGCTGTAGTTGTTTTGACTATCGACATGAAGAGATATGTCGGAAAGGTTTTATAAAATTACTGATACCACCGATGATGGACATGGTGGAGAAATCACTGATTCACTATTTCTCACAGGATGGTGGCCCAATAGAAAAGGGCCTTTTGCTGGCACTTGTTTAGGGTGTGTGCGTACATATTAATCAATTGGATGCATTGACTCAATGAAACTTTTCTGATGACCTATAGTGGAAGCCGGAAGGTTGCAGCCTTGTTGCCATGGTCAATTTGCCGATCCCACCAAGGCAACTAAGTTTGATGATTGGCTTTGATATTAATTACCAGGAGCCAACTAAGTTGACTATACCTTTCCGAGTTGATTTCCATGCCAACCGTGGGCGAATCATCAAACTTATCAAAGGCAATCTCCTTTCTCCAATTAAGAAAGTAATAACAAAGTGCATTAATGGAATTTAAAAAAATTAATATTTTAATGTTTTAAATTACATTTATAAAATTAAACTTTATTAATCCATCCACTCTTACAATGATCACCTTCTTAAGCACTTTAACTATTTGTGTATATTGCTATAAATACAAAGTTTCATTTTTTTTTTTTTTTTGGAAAATACAATTTGAAATACAAATTTTAAACCAAAGCCAAAGAATACTTAATTACACACATATGCATAAAGAATTTAGGTACTAATTTTTGTATATAAATAATTATTTATTAAAAATTCAACTGTCATTAATAAATATAAATAAAGATAATGCTCACATAATTTAATATGAATTAATATATACCATTCTTTTATCAACAATCATTCTAATTAATAATGAAATATAAAAAATTTAACAAATGTACTTTAGAAGTTTAGATCAATTAAAAATTCAAAAATTCGAAAAATATCTTAAAAGAAATGAATTTTCATCATTCAATCATCATATAGACTATTATCTCTTCCAAATCTAATAATAGGAATATTATTTTTCAACTCTTAATTACTTTTGTTTGTTGAATACTGAAATAGCTAGTTTATTTTTAGCGTGCCACACATGTTTTATTTAATTAAAGAAATTATATTAATTTTCATTTAATACAAAGATATTTCTCAAAAAAAAAAAAAAAAACAGACCAGGTATTGAGTTATAGTATTTGATAACTTTAATATTGTTTTATGCAAGATGAAGCTCAAGTTAAGCATATGAAACAAAGACTAATAAAAAAAAAATCATAATAAAAGCATAAAACAAAGAATTTAGTATTTGAAAAAGAAGAAAGGAATAAGGCCATATATATATATATATAGATTATTAGTGTGTGAATTATACTTTTTTTTTAATCTCTTTTGATCAAAATAATTAAGTGTATGCTGAATTCAATTTTAATTTAAAACTTAAAAAATTGTCTAACTCTTATATTATTATAAACATATCTTTACCCATATATATGTATTGATATGTCAATTCTTGGCAGGCTTGGGTTGAATAGTTGCTTAAAATTTTGACGCATCTAAACTATACAACAACTTTTGACGAATTATATTATGCCAATTTTGAACTTAGAAAACTACGAGTAACGCTTTTTTATCGCTAGCATTCAACCCTTGTGCCAGAATCAGTATATATATATGTTATAGAATATACACATCCACTTGGACAAAGTAAGCTAACTTTTTTCAACATGTATGACCAAATTATGTTCAACATCCACATCATTTTCCTGCGTCAGTCATTGATAATTCATTGTTCATAAAATCATAGTCATTGATGTTTTTCATGCAGTACATATAAATGGGAAAAGTTAATTAGCATTTCTTCTTTTCTTTTTCTTTTACTCAAAAATCCCAGGAATATTATGTGTTTTTTTTTTCTTTCTTTTTTTTCTTTAAATAAAAGCAATGAATATAATTTTCTTTGATCAATAAAAGTATACAAAACCACAAGAACCAAATTCAAACCTCCTCTTCCAAACATCAAGAGTCCAAAGGCAGACTTTCTTGAGAGTTGAGCAAAAAGAATTCTATTGTGAGAAGTAATCCATGGTCGCGTTTTTTTGTTTTTTTTTCTAGAAGTTTTACTTAACGTTCGTAGGATTTTTTTTTACAACAAGCCAGATCTCTTTGGTTGTCCATTGATTAATTATTTGTTAATTTCAACGAAACTTCGATCAAAGGAGTATATATATAGAAGAGGAAGTCGTGTAGATATGAAAAAGAGACAGTGAATCAGGATCAGGGTACTTTTCCACCTACATAGATTCGTCCCATTCGCCGCTTTACGCGAAATTTCCGCCCTTAGAATCATTTCAAAAATAACTTCCTGGTCCACCATCATCAATCTAACTGAGTTTTAGCCACATTTTTTTTCAGGAAATTAATTCCCTGTGTCCACAGACACAAACTTCATATAATAGGACCAGGTTTACACTCGACTCTTAGCATTTGATGCTGATTCTCCAATGATGAAAAAGTTCCTCCAATTATAGACCCAACTTTTCTCTTTTTACTCAACCGGTCCACCCGCAGCTAATGATTCTGTGCCACCCGAACCCTATCTCTCTTTATATATATCCTCCCAAAGTACAATAATAGAAGTACTACTTTCAAGATTCTCATATTGTTGTTTAAAGCCTTTGCTTTTTCAGTTTTTAGTTCTTTCCGTGTCGATCAGTTGCCATGGGATCCAGCCCCAGGAGCTTGCAGGCCATTGTGGGTGCGCCTGGGGTAAGAGGAAAGAAGATCACGGCTCTTTCGAAAGATGGATTGACTGCTTTCATTCAGTCAATCATTTCCACGAAACACGAAATGAAAGAACCCTTTTACGTGCTGGATTTGGGTGTTGTCATGGCCCTCTTTGACAAGTGGGCCCGTAACCTTCCCATAGCTCAACCTTTCTACGCTGTCAAGTGCAACCCCAACCCAGCTTTCCTTGGCGCACTGGCTGCCCTTGGTTCGGGCTTCGACTGCGCAAGTAAGGCCGAGATTGAATCCGTGTTGTCTCTTGGTGTTTCACCTGGCAGGATCATTTTTGCTAACCCATGCAAAGCAGAGTCGCACATCAAGTATGCTGCAACAGTTGGAGTTAACCTAACAACTTTCGACTCTAAAGAGGAACTGGAAAAGATTAAAAAGTGGCACCCTAAATGTGCCTTATTGATACGGATCAAAGCCCCGGAAGATGGTGGCGCAAGATGCCCTTTAGGTCTCAAATACGGTGCACTACCCGAGGAAGTCACCCCTCTCCTCCAGGCCGCTCAAGCTGCACGGCTCACGATCACAGGCGTCTCGTTCCACATTGGCAGCGGAGCCATGCAGTTTCGAGCCTATCGAGAAGCCATATCAGCAGCCAAAATTGTGTTTGAGACGGCTGCTAGACTTGGCATGCCCAAAATGGATGTGCTAAATATCGGCGGAGGGTTCACAGCCGGCCCGCAATTCGCTGAAGCGGCGTCAACGGTGAAAGCCGCTCTACAAACGTACTTTCCGCACAAGTCAGGCTTAACAGTAATTGCCGAGCCTGGTCGTTTTTTTGCTGAGTCAGCTTTCACACTAGCCACCAACATTATAGGAAAACGAGTTAGAGGTGATCTAAGAGAGTATTGGATCAACGATGGGATCTACGGCTCCATGAACTGTATTCTCTACGACCATGCGGTTGTCACGTGCATGCCTCTCACAGGATCATCCAATCGTAGCAACCCAACATCCAAAGAAGCGAGGAGCTATGATTCCACCGTGTTTGGACCCACGTGTGATGCGCTTGATACGGTTTTGAAGGGTTATCCGCTGCCGGATCTACAAGTAAATGACTGGCTGGTGTTCCCCAACATGGGGGCTTACACGGCGGCTGCTGGGTCCAATTTCAATGGGTTCAACACGTCAGCCATTTTGACATACCTTGCTTATTCCAATCAAAATTGATGATCGTAAGGCCTTTTGGTTGGTGGATATGGGCCGTCTCTTGTTTGGCGTGGGACTATTCTCTTTGGTTTGTGATTGTTATAAGTCTAATTAAGTTGTATAAAATTTATATATAGATAGTATATTAAATATAAAATTTTATATTATTATTATTTTATTTTTTTAGTACAAAAAATTTGAGATAAATAAATTACTTAGTTTTTAAAGTTAAGTAAAATGTATCATATTTAATAGTCTAAACATGTGACTGCAGATTATACATTCAAAAAAATCTAAATAAATAACTATCGACAAGATTTAAATCCAAAATTTTTTCATTGAGGATGACGAATTTTAACCAATTAAGTCTAGATTTTTTTTTTTTTCGCTTTTGGATGAGAATTGTATCTTCGCTTTGGAATAGAATCTTCAAACCTAAAAATTAAATAGATGCCTAATTAGATAGTATCTTCCACCCTTAACGATAGACAAAAGACCAAGCTTTGTTTCTTTATCCATCCTTGACGAAAGTTGAATCTTCCATGGTATAAAGGTCTAAGAACAAAAGTTTAATGTAATTAGTCACGCCATGGAATCTCTGCGTAAGCAAAAATATTTGCTACAGACAACTCAACGGGTTTAGCACGCATTTCAATTTATCCTGAACTCCTAATTTTAATAATTAAATTTTAATTTTTATCAATTTTAAATGTATAAAGATATATAAAAATAGTTATATACACTTATGTAATAAACTAATTTCGTATACTCGTACGCTTATAATTTTGCATACGCTCATTTCACTAAAAGGACAGTGCTTCAGACATGTATTCCTCATTCTCACTTAATGGCGTAAACATCATAAAACTATGAAAGGCATCTTCTTTAGCAAATTAGACATGCGCTTCATATATGCAGTCATTGATGCATGAATGGTGCATCTGCGATTAGGGAAATCCAGTTCACTGTCTCATTTATTAGTCCAATATCTTTGGCAAATTAGGTTTATATTCTGTTAATGTGATGCATGCATGATGCATCTGCAAGGAAAAGCACTACACTGCCTCATTTATTGGCATGCACACACTAAATATCGGAGGGGGCTTCTCAGCTGTCTCAAGGTTCATTGAAGCAGCGCCAGCTGTGAAAAGCGTTCTCCAAAACTATTTTCCTAACGAGCCTGGCTTAATAGTTATGGCAGAACCTGGTCGTTTCTTCGCCGAGTCGTCTTTCACACTAGCAACAAGCATTATCTGGAAGCGAGTTAGACATGAGCTTAGAGAGTACTGGTTTAATGACGGGATCTTCGGGTCCATGAACTTTTTGCTGTACGATCACGATGATGTCATCTTAACTCCTCCTGCATGCGCATCCAACCATGGCAACCCGAAGGGTTAGAGAATATGATTCCACCGTTTGTTTTTGTAATTTGCTGAAGTGCCCTTGGGCCAATGCTCAGACCACTAGTTTTATTTTTGTGTGTTTCATTGGTCCATTTAACTCATTTAATGAGCGTCGAGCTTTGGGATTGGGCCTAATGGGCTATACTTTAAATTACATTACATTGAATAAATGAATGCATCACGTGGCTCGAAGACAACTGGCCTTTTGTGTCGAAGATCCAACCATGCCGTGAAAAGCTACTCTTGCAGGATTTCTCTCCGTTGAACGCCAGGGCGGACTCATCGCGTCGCCCATGGAAACTCTCAGCTCTCCTGCAGCTGCTATCGTTTCCTCGTCCTCCTCTTCCTTATCCATCTTCTCTCCTAAACGAAAAGACTTTCTGGCAAGAATCATCCGCCTCCCCACCTCTTCCAAAAGTATTAACTTTAAATTCCAACCCTGCGATCTCTTCTTTTTTTGTTCCTTTCCGTGGCTGTGATTATCGTTTCTGACAGCATTTTTGTTGGTTTTTTGTCTTAATTATCAGAGAACGGTAACGACTCCGATCTCCAATCTGATCCGAACAACACAAGCATCGTCCCTCTCTTCGGCAATCAAACTTTATCCAAGGTAAAAAAGAAAAAAAGTTTTGTATCTTTTTTGTTATTTCTCCAATTTTAGGACAAAATAATGAATTGATGGTGTGGGTATTTTGGGGAATTCAATTTAGGATGCAGCGATGGGGTTGGTTCTGAGCGCGGCGTCTGTAAGGGGGTGGACTACAGGATCGGGCATGGAGGGTCCATCTGTACCCGCTGGAACTGAGGGCCAATCCAATACGGAGAAAGTCTCCACCTTTCCGTGGTCTCTCTTCACCAAGTCGCCACGCAGACGGATGCGTGTGGCCTTCACTTGCAATGTTTGCGGTCAACGAACTACTCGTGCCATCAATCCCCACGCGTACACCGACGGCACCGTATTCGTTCAGGTAAGAGAATTGAATTTGAATGTAAAGGTGGAATTTTGATTTTTTTTTTTTTTTTTTTTGGTTTTCTTTTATTTGCGGATTGTGATTTTTGAGTTTGGGAGTGATTTGGTGATGGTGGTGGGTGTAGTGTTGTGGATGCAATGTTTTTCACAAGCTGGTGGATAATTTGAATCTGTTTCATGAGATGAAATGCTATGTCAACCCCAGCTTCAAGTTATTCGACGAGGAAGATGATGATGGTATTGGCAATGTGTTTCCTATATGAAGTGATGGATTAATGTCTCATGAAGTGTACATTTCTTTGCTCATACTGGGAAACTGATTTCAATCATGTTTGTATATTGCTTTACCTGTCTTAGTGTAATTATGGGTTCTTTTCAGCTAAACATTGTGTTTCCCAAATTGACAACTGGGGTATTTATAAATAAAAACATGAAACCAATGCTTAGTTGGTATAACAACAATAGTATTTGATGTTCAATTCTGTTTTGTTCTGTTGATGGGATATAATCTATGCACCTTTAAGCCTTATTCTGAAGGATGGCAACATGTTCTATGCTTATTTATATGTTATATAAGTTTTGTGTTTTATACTTTGCTATCTTTAATTGGCACCGCAATGTTTTCAACTATGTATGGGATGTAGTTATGAACGCATCCAATTTTAGGTACAATTTATCTAGAAATAGGGTTAGCTTAATCTTAAAATTGAGACTTTTTTTAAGGTAACTGATGTTTTAGGAAGGAAACTCTCAAAAAGTTTATACTTGTGAAGTGCAAATGTCTATGACTGTTGCAACTCAAAATCAGGGTTGGCTAAAATAATGATAATTATAAGGTGATAATGCTCCTAGAGTAACTAGTGTTGACATCTGATTGAGTTAGGTACTAGATACACCATTTTGTTGGGGGTTAGGGCATTTGATGTGTGTTGCTCTGTTTATAGGTCAATAGGTCAATTATAATGGATTCTACTGATGGCTATAAGAATGCTGCATTCTTTAGGTATTTTATTTTTCCTCATCAAAAGCAATGGTGCCATATTAGTGTTAACTTCTGCCTAAGATGCTTTCTGAAATTGGGCTTTGAGGTAGGTGGTAATGGCCTTGCACTCCAATTTTAATATTTCCTCATGGTTCTTTGCCTGTTTAACTGTTGTTGTATGTTAAATCTAATCATCTTACCATTTAGCTGCATGTCTCTCTTTTAGGACCCTTTTCTCTGATGGCAAGTCCAAGCATATGTACTAGATTTAATTTAGTTGGAGTCCCTGTAGGTGAATGTGTTTTAGTCCCAGCAAAACATTATCTACTCCAAAACTTTCCTGGTTGTAGTTGGCTTAAGTTATATGTAAGATTTAGTAGGCATCTCTCTGGTCATAAGACCATATAGAATGATTATGTACATTCTACCTGCTGCACTTAGATAAGCTTTTTTGGGCAAAGTTTTCAAGTTAGATTGAGGATGCTATTAAGACCTATACTAGATATGGTTAACGGGAGGACGAAATCATAATTTTGTATAGATGCAGATAACCATCTCTCTTGGAGAAATTGACTACATTTCAGCTCAGATAAAGAGGTAGGTCTCTCGAGATCCATGGGCCTTTCCCCCACCTTTTAGGCCACAGCTAGCCATTGTATTAAGGCAATATATGGAGTTAGTATATAAGAAATGGTTTTCCAACCATATCACCTTAGAATTAAGGGAGTTGTTAGAAATTGGAACATTCATTGGGGGGACATAGCATACTTGAAATTTCAAACTAATGGATGGGGGTATTGTATCATCAATCCTATTGGTTAGAAATGGACTTAAAAGGTGAAGCTTGGAAAGATTCCTCTAATTATAGCCTTGGATTTTTTTCTTCTGTAAGACCCAACACAAACTTTTAATCCCGATTGGCCTTGGCAATAAATTCTGACCCTATACTGATTACAACCATGTCATTATCTTGAGAGTGAAAATTGGGAGTTTCAAAGCTTTAGACAGATTCAAATACCCTTTAGATAGAAATCATTGGATTTTCAATGTTTATCTTCGATGGTATCTGGATTTTGTGGTAACTCTACTCTCGAAGTGGTCGTTTTGTCGCAATACGCAAAAATCTTCTTGTTGTCTGGGCCTCTGCAATGTGCACCACATTTGGGGGTTGCCCAATGCCCTGAGAGTGACAAAAATATCAACTCCTTGATGGCAACCTGTACCACTCTTTTGTAACAGGTGTCTGGTAACAAAGGAATCAAAGATAGCCTGAATTTCTCCTTCCGATTGGAGCTAATCGGCAGTTCATGGTTATAACGCTGCTATAACAAGAACAAAAAGGACCCCAATGTCAAATTAACTACAATTATTTGTTGAAATTTCACTTTTGAGACGGAAGATAGAGGTAAAAAATAAAAGAGAACGAGTAAGAGTAAGAGTAAGAGTTGCGAAATAGGTTGCGTTGGCTGGTTCATAATGCAAAAGCAATCCACTTCGTTTAATTTGGCATACTTTTCCTAATCTCATCCTATTCTCTACCACACATCGAGGGCCCATGCCACGTTGTGGGATAGTATCTGGGGCCGGCCAATCATATGAATTCTGAGCAGATAACCCATTTCTCCACCCATTCACCCTGTCATCCTGATAATCACATATCCCTCCTGAAATTCAAACCACACAAATCAAGCCTCATATTATTAAAAGCCAACCTCTATGATTCCGTTTGATTTCCTCTCACTGCGACTCAGAACACAATAGCACCTATTTATTCAAGTAGCTTTGCACGATGGCCACTATCACCTCCGCAGTTGTTGCTATCCCATCTTTCACTGGCCTCAAGGCTGGTGCAACACCAGCTAAAGTTAGTGCCACAGCCAAGGTTGCAGCCTCTCCAGTCCCAAGGCTCAGCGCCAAGGCCTCCCTCAAAGAGTTTGGTGTTGCTGTAGCCGCAACTGCTGCAAGCGCAATTCTTGCCAGCAACGCCTTGGCCGTTGAAGTCAAGCTTGGTGGTGATGATGGGTCTTTGGCTTTTGTTCCCAGCGAATTCAGCGTAAGTTCTGGGGAGAAGATTGTCTTCAAAAACAATGCTGGCTTCCCACACAATGTTATCTTCGATGAGGACGAAATTCCAGGCGGTGTCGACGCCTCCAAAATCTCTATGTCTGATGAAGACCTACTCAATGCCCCAGGAGAGACTTACGCTGTTACCTTGACTGAGAAAGGAACTTACAGTTTCTACTGCTCTCCTCACCAGGGTGCTGGTATGGTTGGAAAAGTGACCGTTAACTAATTTATTTTTAACAGTGTGTTCGTTGTCATCTCATACATTTCCTGTGTTTTTTTTGAGTGATAGAGTTTTTGAGTACTGGGGATGAGAAAATGTATGAGGTGAACATGAAAAGTATGATGCTTTTTGTATCTTAATATCTTTCATTTACTTTGAATTTGTGTATATTTGGTCGGAACCTGATTTATGTTTCCTTCTCATTTAATTTTCCTTTAAAAGGACAATCTCAACGATCTCACTCTAACAAGTTGTTATAGCTTCGGTACCCCAAAACGAAAGAAAATGGACGAACATAGATATAGGCATTTCGAAGTGCCATGGGATCAGTACACAACTAGATTACTTGGCTGACTCATACAAAGGGCAGCCCTCTATCTATGAAACCGTTGGCCAAACGAAACTCTTTTAACCTTTCTGCTGAAACTTAAGGTGTCGGAATTGCAAAACTTTAAGCCAAATAGTACTGATTTACTGATTGCAATGCTTAATGCTTCACACTAAATAGACCATGGGCATGTAATTACATACCAGTCCAGTGTTAACCCAGGGATGCCTTCGTAATCTGCACTATGTGTGTAGGAAGAACTAGACTTGCCCCACCTTTGTCTCCCCTTCATCGGTGTTGAACCGAGCCCATACAATGATATAAACTCCAAAAATATTGAAGCCTAAGTAGTAAGAGCATCAGGAAGCGTTGTTCGAGTTCCAAGGATCTTGCCACCTACATCCGGGAAGGTCTCTTGTCCAGGCAAGTGGCTTACTTTGCCACTGCTATCCACCTCAATGGGGTATTTGAGCAGGTGTCCCTGTAATTCTGTAAAAGTCTCGTCTGAATACCTTTTCCAGTTATCCTCAGCAATATTGTTCACACTCTTCACGCAACGCAAACTTTCAGGTTCCTTGAACAAATCATTCACCTTTCCCATGTGTTCAGTCCACAGTGACATTCTGTACCCATAAACCTGCATGGTCATCGATTCATAAACATCACTTCTCCAATATTATGAGGTATATATTAATAATTGCATCTGAACACTAGATCATGATTACAATGCGCACATATTTGGACTAAATTCTAAGGTCTAGGCATAACTTAATTGGCGCGTCATACTTCTCCATAAACACTTCCCAGTTTAAATCCCCTTCCCAACATTTACTCCGAAAAAAATAAATGAAAGTTTAAACCCTCTTTTATTGGCAAGCATGCTGGTGCAAGTATGCACAAACATTAACAATCACTAAAACAAGGCCCCTCAAGTGAGAAAAAAAAAAGAAGAAAGTACAACGTAAACAGGGTCCTTCAATTGGCCAGCAATTCTAGGTCTTGCGACATCCCCTAAAGTAAAAAAATTAAGTGTAAAAACTTACGGTACAAAGACAAAGCCCAGATGACAAGGATGAAGGTTCAAACCTGACCACGTGGATGTCTCTTCCTCTCACCCCATGTGTAATAGGGTTGATACGCACCCACTGCTATCTCAGTGTCCCTTGAACCAGCCAATGATCGTTGATTAATATTGGCAGACCCCAATATCACATACTCGTCATCCACTATCATTCCCTTTGCATGTACATAAATCATAAACCGTTGGAACTTTTGTGAAGCTGAAACCTGAAAATAGTGATTTATCTTGAAATTCTTACCTCCATATAAACGTCAATTCAAATTAAGTTCTAACAGTCAATTCAATTAAGGAAAGTGGTTCCATAAAGCTAAAAACAAGAAGTGAACCCAAAGAACAAAGCTGAAAACAAAAGTGAACTCGGTTACACTCTAGCTTGCCACCAAACTGAGCCAACACAATCAAGTTCTAACAGTTGATAAACTAAAATAGAACTAAATTAACATGGTAGAGGTACTGTTTGATTACCGAGTCACCATTATTCGAGAGTGACGAACTTGAGCCAAAATAGTCTTTGGGAATTTCTTCCCGATTACCAAGGCAGTAGAAATTTAGGTAGTCTTGTGGATGGGAATCCTCAATATGCATGGATTTCAACTCTTGTGCTATGATTCCATACATCATTTGAATTGTTTGTCCCTGAAAAACAAAACTAAGTAATAATAATAATGCAAATTGCTAACACAAACTAGAAATAATCATATTCTTCCTTGAAGTAAACTGCCAGTTAACATAACAGTGGCAGTTTCAAGCTTGGTGCCTAACCGTCAGAACTTAACATAAGATACTCTGGCCCAAGCTCAGTATGAAATTGTTTGAATAGCTTCTTAAAAGTTAGAACCACTGGTGTGAAATACTTTAAAAAACTTTTATAAAGAGAATAAAACCCAGGTTATTGCCATGGATGATTTTATATTCTTCCCCAATTCTAGGAGATAGTACTAACAGTGTAAAACATAGTTATTCATTTCATCCTAGTAATAAATGATTGAAAAAGGAAAAGAAAAAAATCTAATCTCATTACCTGCCAAAAGAGAATTTCTTGCACAGATGCTGAAGAAGGGACACCCTCAGGCCACATTGGTATAACAATGTACACTGCAAATCTCTCCTTTGCTCTTATCTTACTAGCAATCTTCAATGCCAATTCCATGGGAACTAAATTCTCAGCACCTAAAAATACCAAAAAAAAAAAAAAGGGACTTCTCATCTCTCAGAAACAAAGAGCGAAAGAGTAATACTAGTAAATTAGACTTCCTATCATATACGATCATCAATTACCAAGAACAACAGCCTTTTCACAATAATGACAAGAATGTTCATGATAATTGAAACCAGTTGTTAGATTCACAATTTCATTATTAAAAATGGCTTAACATGTATCTTACAAAGCACAAATGTCATAAGAGGGGAAAAAACTATGTTGTACAAAACATGATTTTCTCATCTACTTCTGACAAACAGAATGAAATGCTTGGAGTGTGAGAGAATTATGCAAAAAGTAATAGATGTTTCTAAAACCTGCTTCTTTGTAAGATGGCCAAGCATATGATGATCCAATGAAATATTGGTTCTCAATATATATGAAGTGTTGAGCAGATCTAATTGCCTGGATGTATGCTGTCTGAATGCTCTTGTCTATCACCAGATTTTTTGCACAAACAAGATTCTGCAGTAAAATAAGGTAGGAATTAGCCAATCCACATTGCAGAAAAATGAAAAAACAAACCATCTAATACAAATTTAAACTAAAAGTATAATGGTTAGTCAAAATAGAGGAAATGTGCTTACTGTTTCTTTGCCACAAAGAGAGAAAACAGAAAGGAAACAAAAATTAAAACCTGAGACTCTGCTTCATAAACATCCTTAGGAAACCCTTTCAGAGATCCTGAATCTATAGAACGGAAAACCTGCCAATTTAATTAACCAGCAAAAGGTCAGATCAGATTGAAGTACTTTGCTTCAAGAGGTACGCTGTAATTACCTGAACATGCCAGTTCTCTGGATCTCCTTCCTTGGAAACCCATAATGCAGGATCATCATTTGAGATTGTCGTAGAAGGGCTTAGTATCCAAGAAATTCGTTCTAACTTTATTAAAGAATCATCATGCCACCTAGTAACCCTTTTGAATCGACGTCCAAACTCTGACCATCTTGTAGCTTTCCTCCAACGCTGCTCAAAGTTGGTAAGAATATCATAAGCAGCAGGCCCTTCAACCTTACAATGCAAATCATGCCATGGTTGCCTTGGGCCCTTGATTCCTGCCTAAGAATGAAACAAACTGAATCAGCAATAGCGATTGACCTCAAATTTGTTTAAACCAATTGAAGGTTATATATGTTCAACACAGATGAGTACTTTTAGGTGGAGATAGTAACAGTACATTTGTGCAGAACAGGGTGAAGTCCTAGTTCATTGGCTAATTAACCACATATTTCAATTTAGCAGATTAAATCAAATACTTGACAAACTCATAATAATGAATATACTCACAGAAAATGTCGGGTTGTGATAATCATCTCGAAACACAGTATTAAGATCCTGAAATAGTCGATGTTGAGGTGTATCATAGCGACCATCACAAAGGTCCAGACCTCCTAAAAAAGCAGTGATCTTTCGATTGTTTCCAGATGCTTGTGAATCCACAATCACACATTTCTGGTGGTGTGTAAAAAGGGTTCCAACAACCTGGATTACAAACCACACTGAAGTGAGTACATCCTTCAGTTCCTACTAATAACTTCTTCTCTTCAGAAAGAATTATTACTATTTCGCTATTTAGTAGTCAGCAGTAATGATGTAAAACGTGTAATAAGAAGAATTGGACCATAGCATAAAGCATGCCTGTTGCTTGAAAATGCTAAGCTTACTGCTGGCATAACGAGGGGACAACACACATGAAACAGAAGAGTGCTTGAAAAACTTCCGAGTTTCTTCATCATGAGTTTGCATCACTCCCGCCTGCATTCAAACATTTTCCGTGTTAAAAATCTAGCCTCAATCAACAGAAAAAACAAATACACAACAGATATGCAGGCCAATATATATATATATATAGCGTTTGATTTCCATTTTCCAGAAACGGATAAGCCTGGTCCCCAGAAAGAATCCCAATAAACATTAAACTAAAAAGTCACTTTCTCAAACGATGGAGCTTCAATTTTAAAAGCAGCCCGGTAATGAAAGGCAAAAAGCTAGAATCTTTGAACAAAAGCCAAACAAATCATTGACAAAGTTTTCTTCTTTAGGGTTTATTAAAAAAAAAATCAACTTTCCAAAATTCATACCCGTTATCATTCAGATGTAAAGCCTGACGCAGAATCTAGAAACAAAGAAATAGTAAAAAGACGATGACTTTGCAAAAGCTAACATCAGCAAAGACCAAAGACAAGACAAAAATGTTGGAATATCTCACAAAACAGAACAAGGAAAATCCTTACCGTTTTAATGAAAAACTTGCTATGGGAAGTCTTGTCATCCCAAACCAACAGCAAAACTCTAACCCCTTCTTGTGACTTGTACTTAAGCAATTCCCCCAAACTCAAATTCCCACCACTGGGCAACGGCCGTGTCGGCTCTCTTACAAGCTTCACCTGCTGAAAAATCGACCATCCGACGATGTAAACCAAATGATGCGCCTCTAGAATTGCATGACAGATATCTTCCCAACACGGCTCGTGCTTAAACACGGTTCCGTTCTCCAATTCGATCTCTGGTACCATCGATTCATTCACGTGCGCGTCTTGGTATAAAGTTATGGAACCCCCATGCCGGACCGGAAAATAACAGTTTCCGATTCCGAATTCCGATGGGTTTGCCGCCATTCCGTATCTGTAAAATGGGATTTCTTCGCATTTGATGAATCTCATTTCCAGGTGAACCGCGCAGTCAGGCTTAGGTGGTTTTCCATAAGAGCTGATTACAGGGAACCAACCGCTAACCGTTTCACCGATGAGAACCTTAACCGCTGGCACCGTAGCGACTCCGATCAAATCAGCGCCGAACACGTCATTATCCTTAACATAAAACTCGATGCATGATGCTGGGTGGGCCAGGGGGATTTTGAACCGCTCGTTCCAAACCGGCTGCTGGGAATTTGAAATCACGCGCGTTCGTGCCACCGTTGCACCGGCTAAGCAGACCGTTACGTAAGGGTCGCTGGTGATGATCTTACGGTGGTGGTGATTGTTCTTTCGTCTAAACGGGGCTCGACACATTTCAAATGCGGTGAAACATCGACGCAGACGCTCCGTGAGTAAATCCATGTTCGGCAAGCATCGAGCCTCAACGATTTTCAAATCAAGATCGCCATGCAACCATACAACTGAATCCGAGATATCGTCCGCCATTGAATCAAATCAAGATACAATATTTATTCAAAAGGGAATGTGAAAATTAAGTTGATAAATAGCAATGTAAAAGGTAGGTAAGTCATAGGTAAAAAGAAGAGTCAGGTCTTTTTTTTTTTTTTCCTTTTGGTTTTTAATTTTGTGAAGTTTTTTCGCTGTTGGCTATAACCGGAGGCGGAACAAACTTACTGCCGCGTACTGCAAAACAGGTGTTAGTTTCAAAACGGCAGAATTGGGTTTGTTTTCTCCGACCAAAGCCAACGGCAAGAACCGGAGGCCCTGACAAAAACAGAAAACAATAACCTGACGGATTTCTTTTCTTTGTTATGTTACGTTAATGATGTTGTTTATTATTTATGCAGAAAAAATAGTTCAAAGATACGCGTGGCTGCCATTCATGTGCGGGTTATGCGTTGTTTAAGATACTTAATTTATGAGATTTTGCGAAATTTCGGGTCCAATTGCTTTATTTTTATTATGTTTTAAAGAATAAGGTCAAGTTCTTGTCTGATTCTCTGGTTCTCAAAGAAAGTAGTTTTGCAAGGCAAGGCTCTGAAGAGGCCAAGCTTTATAATACTAGCAAGAAAAACAAAAGAGGAAGTTCCACAATCAGGACAAATTGAACCAAAATTAAGTTGGAACGAGCAAATCAAGCACCATTTTTGGGAGCATTTTTTAGGAAAAGTTAGAAGGACTGAGATGTGGTTGAGCGACCTGTTGACAGATGTAGAGGCGTTGGGAGCTAAAACTAAACTGCAATACATTGATGGAAAGGATAGGCTTCAACATTTCATGGTTGTCAGCCACATGGTGGCAGCGTCAAAGCCGACGTTTTCAAAGCTACTACACCTACACGGGATAATGCTGCCTTGAGGCTTTCACGCGAAGGTGCAGATTAGTCGCTTCTCCTTGTCAATTTGGTGTTTTAAATTTGCTTTGCCTTCCAATTCCAACTAACAAAGTCTAAACAAAAAAAGGAAAATGTAATTATGTCTGAAATTTCCTTATCTAACAATAAAACACAAAGATAGTGAGAAATGCGAATTACCAGTGGTTGAAAAGTTATTAGAGGGTGGGTGGGATTCCCATGACTCCATTGTAGGAAGAGAAGATCCAAATTGTTTTTTCTCTCTTATTTATTGATATTTTCACTTGTATTACTACTGGTTATTACATGAATGGAAGAATTGTTTAAGGGAACGGCGGCAAAAACGAGACTTTTGTTTATTGTTGTCGAGCTTCCATTGGTTGGTCTGTTACTGATTACGCATACTTCACTTACTTTCAACTTCTTCAGACATCTATAACATTTGAGATTTTGTTCAGGCATTAATTTGATACGTTTAAGTTTGCTTTAGCAAGTTAGGGAGAAATTGTATTTTATTCATTCACCATCCGAATGAACAAGCTAAGTTTGAATCAAACAAATCACAATGAATGCCACCACAACTAGCTTTTTTTCTCCCATTTTTCTTTCATTTGATTTATGAGGGACGTTAGACCTTGCATTTTAAAAAAATATCCATACAGTGAAGTTTTACACAATCGTTTTCATTAAGGGTTTTTCACACTTTTTGTGATAAATTTGACAAGAACATAAATAAGAATATCATTATATTTGCTCATGCCCCCAATTCTTGCATTTCTCCTGCAGGAGAGCTTCATATCATGCCAAGCTAGCCAACATGCTTGTCTTTCTCTAGCTACTAGTTAAAACTAACTATAATACAAAGTTCACGGGATAATCCCAATTTTAATGATATAAAAACATTAATAGGATGAGCCAAACCCCAAAAAAGTAGCAAAAATCATAATTGATGTGCTTTGGAACGAGGTACCAGCATTCAGCGTGTCTCTTGCAGATGCAACTGAAATAAGGCTCCTTTCTGCAGCACCGACGAGCAGGCTCTATATCTATATATACCGAGTGAAATGGTTTGAAAGCTACAGCTTGCATAAAGGAAGGAACATTTCAACTTGAGAAAATCTACTGCAACATTTCTAGTGGTTACTACTAATATATACGTACTGTTGAAAGATTTTTGAGAATAATAACGAAGTCGAGTAAGGAATGATTCAGGGCTTGGAACACACATTCCTTGCTAGCTAGGCTTCCATGTTGCAATTGCCAACTCTTTCAGAAGTTGAAACTGGAGGAATAGCCCTTATCATGAGACTCTGGACAAAGGCTATCATCTACAGTAAAAATTCTCTGTTAGTAACTGTACCCACAATCCAAGAAAGAAACCTAAATTTGCAAAATCAATGGACACTTCTGCTCTGATGCCTTTATCAAACAAAGAACATTATCTAACAATCTAATGTTGTTATAGGTTTCGTTGAATCGTGGATGAGTAGAATGGTTTTGGCAGCACGAGCATTAATGGATTGCATTTGTGCACATCCTTGGTTACACCTGCCCCAAAGCAGATAAAAAAAGACTGCAGGGCTGCATTTTAAAACTCCAAGGAGGGAAATGTGACCAAACCATAACATGTCTACAGTCTATTGCATAGATGAAAAGAAAACTCATCATCATTTAATAATGTTCTTACCGAGGCAAACCCAACACACATAATACTGAATCCAGGGAAATAAAACGGTGCTCCTTCTGACAGGAACAAAGCTGGCAGAATGAGTTAACTGTGTCAGTCTTAAATTAAAGAGCCTAAGGATGAACTCAATTGAGTTTCAGTTAACCTGTTAGAGGGGAGAAAACCAAGGGAGAAGCAACATTGGCAAAGGAACCTATGCCTGAAATGAACCCTTGAGCCTTCCCCTGAAAAAGGGTCAAAAGGAAACAGGCATTAATTAGTCTGTCTTAACAAACTCAGAAATAAAACCAAAGGAATTAATCAAAATAAGTCATAAGTCTGTTTTAACAAACACGAAATAAAACCAAAAGATCTAATCAAAAAAGGTGGATAGTTCTTAAGAAGGGAACTATCTGCTGAAAAAGATACATACTTGGCATATTCAGATCAAATATTTGATAATCAAACTTCAGTTCTACCTGCTTACTTTCTGTTTCTTAGATTTGCCATTATATTCTCAAGTAAAATTTCTCAGACTTTATATTTGATGTGTCTGACAATATAAAACTTGTCTGGAACAGGGTTACAAGCTCCCTATCAATTACACCATGGAAAAGGAAAAGGCCTTTATTTTCTTCACAAGACTTATGCTAAAATGCTGTCATAAAAATCTGATCTTCCAAATAATACCTGTTCATAGGGCCCAACTTGTTTAGATATGATGCTCCGTATCTGCGTATTTTAAAATAAAATTCAATCATAAAATATGCTAGAAGATATGTTGAAGATTTTGTAATATTTATGAAGTAACAAACTTACACATGGCTGTGAAAAAACATAGAATAAGGAGAACACAGCTGCGGTATAAGGTACCTGCCATTTTACAAAAGTATTGACCACAGTAAGGCAGACCTTAAGCTGGTTGAAGCAAAAGGACAATTGATCATATTAAGAATTGAAGGCAAAAAAAATTTTGAATTTCAGTTAAGTTACAATAATTACCCAGAAGGACCATGCAATGCTATAGAAGATCATCTGCATTCAAGCCCATAACTTATTAAATAAAGAAATAGGACACAATATAATTATAACTGTTTATGCACAAGATCATATCAAAATAATCATATGGTCGAAAAAAATCTGTAAAATATCAATGGAACATATAGCTTACATGTGCGCAGTTAAAGAAAAGTCCTATTGACAGCAATCTCTCCTCTCCGAGAGCAGGAGCTAGTATAGGCATGAGAAGCAGCTGCAAGATGGCTTTCAATTTCAGGTCAACAGGAAAATTGCAAATAAATGAAAGAAGAATCAAATGACTAAAAAGCCAGAACAAAAATGTCATGCCTGGGATATAGTCCCTGCAACCCCAGTAATGACCATTAAATCAGCAAACTGATCTTTGTTGAAGTGAAACCTGGCCTTTAAATAGTACTGCACAGGAAATTTCAATTGGTTCGTCTCAATTGGAGTCAAATACTTCACTTATACAAAATTCTTTATGACATACATCAAAACCTATTGCAAGCACAAAATTTTATGTTCTTGTTTTATTATAATAGTTGAAATGGTAACATTGGTCAAATTCATGAAACTGATTATTAAACTTATTAAACAAAAAAAAAAGTAAAATTGAAATAAATGTATTGATGATTGATAGATTTGCAAGTGACAACTTTTGAACCCACACTTATAGCCACAGCTAATGTTTCAATGAGAACCAAAGCGTTTTTGTCCAGTTCATATGGGATTAGAAATGTACCAGTAATGAAGCATGGAGACCCACATCAGCAAGATTGCTGAAAAATGAAACAATTGCCGCTTGTGAAAATGTCAAGCTGCATATTGTTTCCATTAAGTTAAGAACATCAGGTGCTCATTCAAAGAAGTATCCAAAAAGTAAACCCTTTTATCAATTTAAAAAACAAAGGCATAGATAAAAGAGATGAGAAGGTACTAGGTGTTGAAGGGAAATTTTACGTACCTGCTCTTCAACAATGCAAGCATATCCTCTATTGAAGGCATAGTTTTAAACATCTGCATTTTCTTGCCTGACTCCTCATCCGGATTAACAATACCATCATCAAGTTTTCCTTTCGAGATAATTGGAGTAGAAAGATCATCATTTATGATGGAATCTGGGAGGAAAATCCTCATGTAGACCGCTGACAGCATCGCCATTGCTGTTGCAACCTGATTAAGGATATAATCGAGTTCGGTTCATTGGGAACGATTTGCATTAGAGAAAAAGAAGAAAGAGGAGAGAAAAGAGATACCTGGAAAGTGGAAGCAGTTGAGAGAAAACGGGTAGACAGAGTTCCGCAGACAAAGGCACAAGACCCAATGCCAGAAAGGATCCCAAAAGTTGATGCTCGTTGCCCTTCCGGAACATTGTCTGCCTGAAAACAACTCAAACTTCAGACCAACAAAACACCAGATGGAAGGGGAATCGTGGGGGAATTGTGAAAAGACCGTCGGCTTGGGATAAACGGACAAAGGATGAGCCCAAGGGCAAACCCATGTCCATTATCCTTGGATAAGCAACAGTCTGAAATCCTGAACTTCGAACTGGACCATAACTTAACATGAGACCAAACTACATGGGCTTAATAGCAGCCTTCGAAGGCCCCATTCAGTGAGGGAAAGAGAGGATGTTTACCACGTAAGCGAGAGCGAGACAGTGGACGCTTCCTTCACAAAACATGGCAGTGAGAATCTTGAGTACGTAGTAGGCATAAAAGAAGCCCCTCGTTCTACTGTAAGCCAATATGGCTGCCAAAAAGAAGAATACGTCATTTCCATGTAAAAATTTTGTCGTCAATAACGATCCCACCTCAGCAAACCACTCTTTGAACATTTGCAATTTGCTACATCATAAATCACTTTTCACCCCTCAGTTTTTCTTTATACATGCTTTACAATTTGGGATCTGTCTAATCGCAATGTAATAATTTAGGAGTCCTACCTGAAAATGTCCTGCACCATGTGGTAGGCCCCGACATACTACCGATGGTGAAGTGGAAACAAATCTTATCAACTACTTATTGTAGATTTGATCATAGAGTTAATGCATTCATTATTCAATGAAGAAATTTGATATATGTTATTAGAAATGAAAAAGGGTCCCCCGGGGGGGGGGGGGGGGGGGGGAGGGGGTTTGCTAAAGCTTTCATTGCCACTCCTCCATGTTTCCTCTTTTGCTTCATAGATGTTGATTTCTAATAAAGGCACGTACGTCATTTGAAAATTTTTCCTATATGGTTTTAATTTCCCATCACGTAACAGCATTTCCCAACAAATGCTACATTGCATTGTCAGTTTCAGTTGTAAAAGTCTAAGAGTGGTTATTATATCTGTTCGATCAGAAACTACTCCTAGAATCTACCTTCGATTGCTTGTTCAAGTCAAAAAGAAATCATTTATTTTATGGTTGCAGCATATTCCTTTTCGGATCATACTAATTAAGGAAGACCGTATAACCAGTAATGAACATGGTGAGTACCGTTTTCATTGAGGAAGTAGGTCATTGATGCACATATTTATAAAAATCAAATATTGCTTTGCAATTTGCATACCTAAAGGAAATATGGTGAGAGTCATGGGGACTGTAAGCAAAGCCTTCCTTCCATACTTGTCGGAGAGATTACCAACAAGAGGCATCACCACAAGCGATCCCAGCCCAATAATCTGCATAAATAGTATGTTCCTTTATGTATATATGGGAAATTTTAGAACATTAATGGCATTTTTTATGTAAATACAAGTAATTAATTTTAGTTCAAATATGAGATCAATCAAATAAAAGGTGAAAAATGAATGGATCATAACGTTGCCTTTGTTAGCCCAAAAGCAAATGAGTACAGTAGATGACAAGTGTATAGTAAACCCAATAAAAAAGACAAGTGTAGACCAGCAATAGCATATGCAATTTTCTTATAAAAAAAAAGTGTGCCGGTTCATGAAAAACGAACAAAAACAGCGAATTTATAGATACGTAATGTCTTTTTAAATCATAGGATTTACAGATAGATTAAAAACTTAAAAAAAGAAAGACGAACAGGAACAAAAGCAAAGTAAGAAACAGTGAAACAATGCAACATCTAACATTAATAAGACGGTTATTTCAAAAGAATTTAATAAGATGGCTGAAAAATGTGATTGCAAGTCCTTGCGAGTCGCAGTCACACTTTGTCCACACTCGCTTGTTTCCCTGAAACCGAGGGGAATTTTCATTGCATTAATCTCAAAATCTGTCTGTATGCTAAAGAGTCACATGCTAGGAACCTGCAACTTTAGCCATCATGAAATGAACATCTGTTACTTTGTCCCTGAAAATTATAACTAACTGAACAACATTGACAAATGGAAAAAACAGATATTGTTCTGAAATTGTTGGGTTTTGATTTAGAATGCAGAAATGGTAACGTTCAAGTATCTAAATTACCATAAATGTCATGAAAATAACATAAATACAATTAGTTTTGAAGAAAACAAAGTGACAGGGAAGAGTACCGCTTGTTGAAATCCTGTGAGATAAATTGCAAGTGAGCATTCAAGTTTTCCAGGACAAAGAGCGGACATGGTAACATCTACCGTGACAGGAATCGTCATGAACGTTGCGAAATTATGTAGAAAGAATGTGAAACAAAGATGGCTCAAAGCCGGTAAATTTTCCATCTCTCTATATCTCTCTTTCTCTCAGGCTTCTAAGCAAGACAAAAGTAAAAGGGAGATCAGAAGAAAAAGCTTCCTCTCTGAAGCTGCGAGAAAAAGCTTGAACGGTTGAACCAGGCAAAGAAAGTAGTGGAATTCAAGATATTAGACACCTCGCTTTGAAATCTCGCAATTGACGTAAGCTGGCCATTGGTGCATGTCAAATTCACCGCTGTAATTATTTGAGTGACAGTACAGGGGAGGAAATTAAGAACTAAGTCCAAGTAGCAGGCCTTGAACGCCGCTGAAAACTAGACCAGCCCACTCAAAAACGAGTCGCTGGCCCAGTAAATAGTTGATTAAGTTCTTTATCATGTTTCTTTTTCTTTCTTTTCCTTTTCCATTTTTTATAGGGATGAATCATCAATGTCAATATTTTCAATTACTTGAATTATCATTCTGGCAACACTTAAAACGATCAATGATAAGGACACATTGCTTGCGATTTACTGGACTATACATTTATCTTTTTCATATTTAATTTGGATAAACTCCAATGGCCCTACTTAGTAAACACGAGTAATAGAAAATAGAGGCCCCTATGAATTGGAGAAAGAGTTTAATGTACCCAAGTTTGACTTCAAGTAACTAATGGTTTATTAGAGTTTATGTTTAACAATATTTACTTCATTTGAACTCTGTACATTCATTGTTTTTTAATTAAAAAAAAATGCACGGAGCTTTTTTTTTTTTTTTTTTAAAGCTGATTACCTTATTTACTCTGTTTTAAGTGAAAAATCGTACCACAAGGCGGATAGAGCTTGGCCATTAGTCCACATATACTTGGAGTGTAACCAAAACGGCTAAAAATAAAAAGCGACTCCTTGAAATTGAAGGGAAATTTCGTTAAGTGAGTGAGACAAAACAGAGTTTTAACTTTTTGGGATTTGTCATATGCTCCTCCGAGGATGAAGTTTCTGCTTCCTAATGGTTAACTGTTTACTCAATTGTACTTTGCAATCTAGACATTTCCAATTAACAGTTAACCAAAACCTTCAAGTGAAGACCCTCGGGGGAAAATGGAATGCAACTAATTGACTATCAATTAATTAAGAACCCTACATGCTACATGCATCTTAACATTTTTGGTTGACAATGCAAAAGGCCATTGATTAGCAGAGAAAAGTTTGAACATAAGCAGAAAAGAAGTAAAACTTGAAAAATGACATTTACCGCAAGTTGAAATCCGGAGATGTAAATGGCGAGAGAGCATTCATCTCTTCCAGGACAAAGCGCGGCCATTGTAACATCTGTGATGGCAGGAATCACCATAAATGTGGCGAAGTTGTGAAGGAAGATTGTCATGAAGAGGTGGCTCAGCCCGGACAGCTTCTCCATTGCTATCTCTCTCTCTCTCCCCCCACTTGTCTCTCAAACTAAAAGCTAATGAGAGAACACCTAAAGGATAAAACTAAAGCTAGCTCTCTCAATCTACAAGCAAACTCTTTCAAAGCAAGAAAGTAGTCAAGGACGACGTTAATTTAAAGAATAAGTGGAGTGTAGACTTTGCCGTTTTATATCACTGTCTTGCATGTCCATTTCACTGTTTGGTGAAGCTTGCTGTCGACTTGGAGAAATGACTGACAAATCAGAACAAACTCAATGTTAGGCGGCTGTAGGTTCCAGCGTAAATTGATTGGTCTTCTGGCTGACAAAACATAGAAGCAATATCACATGTTGTAGCTTTAACCACGCTTTTTTGGCCTTTATTTTCAAAACCGAAAAGTGAAGAAAGAAGCTAAGGAGTAAGGTGAAAGAATCAAGAACGCGTAGCTTGCAAGACCTGGCAAAGGGTAATATGGCCACTGAAGATAAAAATAAAAATAAAAATCTTCAAACAATGGATCGTTGGAGTAGTGCACATTGTGATGACACTTCGAAGCGTGCAAGCTTGGGTTGGCTCATTCAGTTGGATTACCAATAGAAAATCCTCTCTTTGAGAATTTGTTTTATGGCTTTAATTCTTTGTCATTTCTTTGACTAGGTTTACACTTTAAATCACTTGAACTAATTGCATCTTTGGTTTGATAAATCCATCCTTTTTCTTTTCAATCTTCGGCACCACATAAACCTTGATTACCCATTGTTTTCTTTCTCCAAGGTTTGTTTAAAGTGTCACCTCTGGCCCATGTTTTATTACTAGTAATGACTATAGAGAAACTATGCTTTGGCTCTGGTCCAACGCCAGGATGTATCTAAACAATAGGGCCGAAATCAGGGAATTGCCTTGAAAAATGTCCCCCAACTACTATTTTTCTTTTAATGAAAGAAGACTTGGGATGAAAACAGTAAAAAATTATAAATGTTAAAATTTGAATTATAAATTTATAAAATAATGTTTAAATGATTGTATGAATCAATAGAATTAAATTTCGGATTCAACTTATTAACTTTAAATTTCAAAGTTCTTGCATAAAATCGTCTGTGTATAATAGAAGTTTTATCTAAAAAAAGGCAGTGGTACAAGAGAGGTGAGAATTAGGCAGCCAAGTTTGAGCAGCAAACCAGATAAACGATAAAAAACAACAATAGCAACAATCTTTGGTGTCTAAAACGTCCTTTCTTAGGACCACAGCTCTGCCACAATTTTTTCTGTGGATTATTAGACACCTTTCTCAGGAAGTTCCTACATAAAATTGCGTCGGCAGCAGATACAATTCGAAGCCCAAAAACAATAGGAGTATGTTACTATCTACAAAGCTGAGCTAACCAAGATTACCTTGTATCCCAAAGAATAGTATGGTAGGATTGAAGCTCAATTTCATGGTTTTGAAATTTGTAAATAAGCCACTTTCAAGCCCCAGCAAAAGCCAATGAGGAATTGGCTTAATGGTAAGGTAAAAATCTTAAATTCTTGAGATTTTACGTTTAAGTTTTATTATCTGAACATTTGGTTTAAATTTATATTAAATTTGTTTAGTTAAATTATACATTATCGATTAGTTTATTTATTTGATTATACTGTAATACTTTTTATAATTGTATACTTTATCATAAATGGCGTTCTTTAGGTCCACCAGTATTCAGCCACCCAGCCCAAAAGATTGTCGAAGTTTGGCCCAGCCCGGAGTTGAGTCATCATTGTGCTCGAGGGAAGAAAAACATTCATCTGTCTTCCCATGATCCCACATGCAAGATTGGACGAGTGGACCTTCAGAAACATCGGCTGTGTAGAACGACATCTTGGATCAAAGGCTGAAAGCCTTTAGTGCATAAAGGCTCGAAGCCCTTTGCTCTGTGCAATGATTGCCACGGCGGCGGACCTGGAAGACACGTTCTCCTTAAGCTTAACGCCTTTTTTTGGCCATCTTAAGCTTAAAGCCTAGTTTGGGCTGTTCATCTCACAGAACTTAGGGGAAAAATACACGTGATTAATGAATTAAAAATTATTAGTATAAAAAAAAAAAAGGAAAAAGGGGATGGTGTTTGCTTCCTTTGTAAGCTAAACAAAGAAAGGCAGAAATATTCACAGATCCAATGGAGAAAAAGTATCTTTTGGAATTTGTTTTATTTCTCTGGTCTTTTTTTTTTTTCAGATAGAAAAGTACAAGTATGATAAAGCTGCATTAATTTTAAACGGATCTTCCACGTGATTTCTTGCTACAGCCAAATCTACGAATTAGGGGTGGAAAAAAAAATTTTGAAAATTAATTTAAAATTATAATATATAATTGGATATAAATTAATTTTTGTATTCAATTTATATCAAATTTAAATATTAAATATATATTAGATTTAAATTAAATTTTAAATCGTAAATAAAAAAATCAAATTAAATTAAATTATATATTTTTTAAATTTTTATAGAATAAAATAATAATTTTTATTAAAATTTATTTAAATATATTAAAATAATTTATATAAATTAAAAATTAAAAATCGATAAATTAATTCAATTTGATAAAATTTGATTTAATTCAATTTAAATTAAATAAAAAATTAATTTAAATTTAAATTAAATTTTAAAATTTTATAATATTATATAATATTTAAAAAAATTAAATTGAATCGAATGTAAATCCAATAGTTACCACCTCTACTACAACACATTTTTAGGCTTTAGATCAGCTTCTGTTCTTGGTTATTGTCATGCGAATGTGTTATGCGCCCACGTAGCTTGACACTCAACCTCGCCAGCTAAAACCCGCTTCTGAGCCTTTTGTCCTCCTCTTCTGCATATGACAACTTGCAGACGTCCACCCGCAACTTGAATGTTGAAACTCTCCTCTTGTTTATTTTTTTGCTTTTCCCTCTACTTCTCTCTCTTTCACATTTGATGGGTGGTCCTCTAATTTGAAAATTTATGTTAAAAAAATCTACAATTTTCCTTTCTTTTTTTTTTAAAAAAAACGGGATTCAGACTTCAAACTCCAGAGTTGTTACCGCCGTTGGTAGCACATGCTATTTGAATGTTAATAAATTGAAGTGATTAAAAGTGTGAAATCAAGGACGGTAAGCCATTTGGAATGGTTTCTCCAAATTAGTACAAATGGACCATTTCAATTATTGATTATACCTTTAATATTTGGCATTTGCCTATTTTCAAACTACATAGCCATTTAGGTCCATTTAAATTTTGATCAATTGTATATAAATTAACTTAAATTGAATTAGAAGTGTTTGCCATTTTTTTCATAAAATAGAATTTATCTAATTATAATCGGTTCAATAGATTTTCCACGTCGGGTCAATTTTTATGAATGGTGCATAAATTAAATTCATGAATCCTAATCCTAAACACTAAGACTTTGTTTGATAAAAAAATTAAAATAAAAAATTTTATTAATTTAATGATTAAAATTTATAATATTTTTCGACTTTATAACTTAACCATTAAATAAACCTTTTTTTTTATTTTTTATCTTTGCTTCTTTCTTCTTCCCTACCAAGCAAACACTAGGTAATTATCCGTTGCAGACTTACAGCAGGTGAACTCTATTCAAGACATCCTCAAGCCGAAATTAATTTCTCAGAAAGAATGAGACTAAAATCCAAATTGTAGGTGGCTTTTAATGCTTCTTCTAGTTCTGGCATTCTCGTTCTCATTCGCAATTAAAGCATTAGGCCATCAGAAGCTGTGAAATTTATTACTCAGAAGCAAACATCCATAAAAAAACACTGGTTTCTATTACGACAAGACTACAAGTTAAATTACAACTGTAGAAATTATTCAAATAAAAATTTCTCATTGGCTATTGTCACAGCACGTGCTTTGCCTTGTAGGATATTAAGACTGCAAATGGGCAAGACAAAAATACCATTAACAAAACAATTTTTAATTTTAATTTTAATAATTTTTTAAGTAGCAGTAATAGTAGTCGTAGTAAGGAAGGAGATAATTTTCATATTTTTCCAGCCAGCCTATTTAAAACGGGAAAGTAAATCCTGTGGAACATGTGGTGAGAGCACGTTAGAAACACCAATACTAATATTTAAGATTCGTTTTTGAATTTAACTGAAACACGTATTACTCTAAGTGCGCCGGAAAAAAATATCAGAGATTTTTTTTAGTTCTAAATTTAAGAAAAATATACCAAAAATATGTACGATTTGCAGAGATCGCTATTAGCCGGAGTAGGCCTCTGCATTTTCTGTTCTTCACAATTGTAAATACTGTGATACTTATTATAAGATTCTCCAATTCATTTCAAAATGATTTAATTTTGTTATTTATTTTATTTTTAAGAAAATGCCACAAAATTGCTCTAGAATAATTTGTTAAGATTAAATGAAATAATGAAAAACAATTATTATAAAAGCTACATGACAAATTTTATTACAAAATATTTTTTATTTCATTTTCTGAAAATCGTTGTAAAATACAGAGTTTCATGATTTGAGACGCTTAAGAAAACAAAAAAGCGAGGGTAAAACAGTAACTCAGACCTACATCAGTACATTGTACTTTGTCTACTTTCTTTTGTTCTTCGTTCTCCACGTGGTTCTGTTCAACAATTTTTACACACGCGCGTCGCGCGTCTACTTTAGCTAAATACGCATTTAATTTTTAGGGAAGGTGAGTGAGTGTTATACTTTATGCTCTCTCTCTCTCTCTCTCTCTCTCTCTCTCTCTCCATTTCTTTTCTCATGGATTCTCTAGCTCTCTTCTGCACTGGGGCTCTTCTAGCTGGCGGTCTTTACTGGTTCGTCTGCGTTTTAGGCCCAGCCGAGCAAAAGGGTAAGCGTGCCGTCCATCTCTCCGGCGGTTCCATCTCCGCTGAGAAAGTTCAAGACAACTACAAGCAATATTGGTCTTTCTTCCGCCGCCCAAAGGAGATCGAAACTGCCGAAAAAGTCCCAGACTTCGTCGATACTTTCTACAACCTGGTCACCGATATTTACGAATGGGGTTGGGGCCAATCCTTCCATTTCTCTCCTTCTATCTCAGGGAAATCCCACCGCTACTCAACGCGCGTCCACGAAGAGATGGCCGTTGATCTTATCAACGTCAAGCCCGGAGATCGAATCCTGGACGTCGGATGTGGCGTTGGTGGACCCATGCGTGCCATCGCGGCTCACTCGCGAGCCAAAGTCGTGGGCATCACTATCAACGAGTACCAAGTGAATCGTGCCAGGCTTCACAACAAGAAAGCCGGGTTAGATTCGCTTTGTGAAGTTGTTTGTGGAAACTTCCTTGAGATGCCATTTCAAGATAATAGCTTTGACGGCGCGTATTCGATAGAGGCAACATGCCACGCGCCGAAACTGGAAGAGGTTTACGCCGAGGTGTTTCGAGTACTGAAACCCGGATCTCTATACGTGTCTTACGAGTGGGTCACAACTGACAATTACAGAGCTGATAACCCTGAACACGTGGAGATCATTCAAGGTATTGAAAGAGGTGATGCTTTGCCTGGTCTGAGGAGCTACTTGGACATTGCGGAGACTGCCAAAAAGGTTGGCTTTGAGGTTGTCAAAGAGAAGGATCTAGCGAAGCCACCTGCTTTACCCTGGTGGACCAGGCTCAAGATGGGGAGAATCGCCTACTGGAGGAACCACATTCTCGTCACTGTTCTGGCTGCCATAGGGATAGCTCCTAAAGGAACCGTTGATGTTCACGAGATGCTGTTCAAGACCGCTGATTATTTGACCAGAGGTGGGGATTCTGGAATTTTTTCCCCGATGCACATGATTCTCCTCAGAAAACCCGAGGTGCCACCTTCAAAATCTTAGCCATTTTGTTTTGAGGTAACCTTGTTGCAGCATTGTGTTGCCCCACTTTTTATTTTAGCCTTTTTTTTTTCTTAATTTAATTTGTTAGGTATCTTTTTTCTACTTTAATTAATCGAGATCTTGTACTTCTTTATTTGGTTTTTAGTTTATTTAAATAACAGTTGTTGATTTTGGTTTTTAATTAAAATTGTTGGTGATAAGGAAAGGAACGAAATTTGTTGCTCTTTTTCAAGTCAGTGAATTTTGTTGAATTGGAATTTGGAGTCATTGTGTTGTGATGTTGAGCTGTTACTTTGTGGGGACAAATAAACAGCTTTTCTAAGCTGTCGACGATGTTGAATAACCTTCTCCTTGGCTTTTTCATCACATTCATCCTTACGACTATGAGATGGCATTAGGCGGATCTGAGTTCAAACTGAATTGAAATTTCAGCACTTATAATTTCTACCAGAAAAAAAAAAAAAAAAAGTGTAGTCTTTTTTATCGAAGTTTACTCTAAGTCATTAAACTGAAAGATTGTGCAATCTGAAAAAGGTTATATAGCGGACAGTGATAATCTGATTTTGAAAAGTGAAACCCAAAGCAGAAGTGATGGCAGTCCGATGGCAGGGGAGGGAGCGCACAGTCACAGGCGCAGTCACAGTGCACATGGAAGGTTATGAACTTTTGCACAGGAGCTTAGGTGGCGACCACTAGCACATTCTAACCATGGATTCCACCAAATCTGTTCGGCTTTTTGTGCATTTTGTCACATTTTATGTAGTTTATTGAAAATGTTACAATTGAACTTTAGATTCAACTTATTGAATGTAGTTGAACTTTAGATTTGTTGAATGTGGTTGAATGAAGTGTTTGAATGAATAACCTATTTGAACTCGGGTTCTTATGTCGTATTATTAATACATTGAATTATTATATCAGTGGCTCTTCAGCTCGTGTTAATGGTTAATTTTCAAATTTGCTTTGATACCAACTATTGAATTGTGTAGTTAGCCGTCTAATAAATCTTTTTTTTCCTAGTCATGCTCCCTATTTAGGTCATTGGGTACTGATATTTTTCATGCAAATACATCGTTGTCCACAAGTTTTAAGATATTTGTTTTTGGATATGTGAAAGAAGTCCGGATTTGAATCCTGGATTTCAATTTTTTAGAAGTGTTGATAATTATCAGGTTATGACAGGATTGTTACTAGTTTTGAATCTTCTTGTAACATGGAAAATGTTGGTAATTGGGTTTGTGAGTTCTATGAAGCAAGATTTAGGGAATGCTCTTTATTCCACGACTTCCTGAAATCGAAAATGGTGGTTGAAATGGAGACTATACTTTTGGCAGTAATAGGAAGGTCGGCTAAAGTCGCAATACTTGACTAAAATTCGGGCTCTACTTTTATCTTAGAGTGATTTTCCATCAAAATTTTCACACAGACGAAACTTGCCATGTGCATTTCGTAAGAGACGTAAGTGCTTTTACATGTGGAAAGTAGAATCAACATTTCCAACGGCTACCTATAGCATTTTCCATGTATCAAAACAACACTCCTAATGTGGTAGAAAAAATTGCTTTTTTAAAAAGTAGATTTTTAATTTAGGAACCTTGTTTAGGATAGTTTAGAGTACAATTAGGTAAGGAATGTATAACTTGTAGAAAGAAAATTCGTAAATCTCCCTGTTTATATTGATGAAAAAGTACTAAGAGATGAAGTAGAAAGGCCTTGAGTTGTTGATTAAGTTACTACTACTGCTGCTAGTTGATATTTGGGCCTTCTTTGATTTGAGACTAGTAACTCATTTCTTTTGTGCGTTTATGATTACTGTTCTTCAGCACCCATTTAACTTGGACCTTGTAATTAACCGTCTTGTCAGCCTTTGTCCGTTAACGGGTTAAAGGCTTTGGATTTTGGATTTTTTCTTCAACAAAGGCCTTTTGCAGCATTGCGTTGAGTCTGGACATCGGGCCTGGCCCAAGATGTTAAAGATCTTGCCCCTTGTCAGTTGTTATATTTGATTCGTGACCTCAGGGCTCCATTAACCCTTGATGGGTTTGCCACCGAAATTCAAAGTTCAAACTGAAAACCAGGCCTAAGTGTTCACATGTCTCAACTCTATTTCTTTTTCACTAACAAAAGGACAAGCAAAAATTGTGTGAGTATAAAAAAATCTTCCATCCAAGGTGCTGAAATATCATGACCAATAATAATGCAGAAAGGAAAGAGTGAAATATAAGGATAGCATGCACCAAACGCCCAAAAACGAGTGGTTACTATTTCTTTTCAATGAGATTTTTGGGTTGCAAAATCCTAATTCCATACCGCTTGCTTTCCTTTCTGTTCCTTAGGAGCTCTCCCAGAAGAAACTCCAGAAAGAGAGTTAATTCTTTCTCAATTACCTCACCTCTGAATGGCTACAGTCACAAATTTCTTAAGTAAGCCACCTTCTTCTAATCTTTACTTCATCCCAAAAATCAATTTTATTTGCTCCCATGGTTCCTTTCTACCATCCTTTGTTGCTAGGCCTAGACCTTTTTCAACAAAACTAGAAACAGGCAAAGCCCCCCGCTTCATTACCAAGGCTAAAGCTGCCCCTGGGACAAAGGAAACTCCAAGTGATGAGAGAGTACAGAAAGTTCACAGCATAGAGGAATTCGATGAAGCTCTTAGAACGGCTAAAAACAAGCTTGTTGTGGTAGAATACGCTGCTAGCCACAGTTACCATAGCAGTAAAATTTACCCTTTTATGGTAGATCTTAGCAGGACTTGCAACGATGTAGAATTCATCCTTGTGATGGGTGATGAATCGGAGGAGACAAGGGAGCTTTGCAAAAGAGAGAAAATAAAGAAAGTCCCACACTTCAGCTTCTACAAAAGCACGGAGAAAATCCATGAAGAAGAAGGGATTGGCCCAGATCAGCTGATGGGCGATGTGTTGTACTACGGTGACAGTCATTCAGGTGTGGTTCAGCTTCACTGTAGGGAAGACGTGGAAAAGCTCATTGAAGACCACAAGCTTGACCATAAGCTGATTGTTCTGGATGTGGGGCTCAAACATTGTGGGCCATGCGTCAAGGTATATCCAACAGTGATTAAGCTGTCGAAGCAGATGGATTCTGTGGTTTTTGCAAGAATGAACGGTGATGAGAACGACAGCTGCATGCAATTCCTGAAAGACATGGACGTGGTCGAGGTGCCAACGTTCTTGTTCATCAGAGACGGAGAGATATGTGGAAGGTATGTGGGTTCTGGGAAAGGAGAGCTTATTGGGGAGATTCTAAGATACCAAGGCGTTCGAGTCACTTAAAAATGGCACGTCAAATGATACAAAATCAATTCCTACAGAGTAATCCAATTGATTGTACTGCTACATTATTCATGTCGAAAGATGAGTTTTTAGTAGTGAAACTTCAAGTGTAGCCCACATTAAATCATATCAAAAGAGGACCAAAATTTTCTTTGCTTCAATCTTAATCATGATATACGATTTATTTGCTTAATATGCTTTCTTCTTTGTCACTTGTATAATTATTGCTTGCGTTTGTTGTTTTTCCAAACTTATAATTGGTTCATTAACTCATAATATGCCAAAAAAAGATTTATAATGTATATATTAGGCGTAAGCCCATTAGACACAGCTTTAAGTTAACTTTAAGGTACTGGACTACAAATCACTGCCATTCATTCGGAAATCTGAGCAATAGTAATCATTGGGCCAGAAAGATGACGGTTCCAAAGGAAGCGAAGCACCTCTAACTAAAACACCATGGGCCCAAATCGCTGGCTCCATTCTCCGTTGCCATTTTTTCACGGCTTGGTTGATCAGAAAATGAGACTGTCATGAACAGAAAGACAACCACTAATACCAAAATTTGCTTGTTCGTTCATATGCTGAATGGTCGCCTTTCCCTCTGCTGATAGAGAGGATTTTTTTCATTAAATGATATTGCTCTTTCATGTCACATTTTTCTTCATGTACATACGAAGAAGATTTTTTAATACTAGGCCTTTGATTTTTTAAGAACTCGAAAATTATCTTCTCGTGAACCATCTAAAATTATGTAGAGTTGATGAGTTGTGGCAAGAGGGCAAGATAAACTTGATTAAAGTTAAGTAGTGGCTCATGTATGGAACCAGACAACGTAGCTCGTAAAGTGATACAATGGGCTGAAGTTTGGTGGCGTTTTTAAACTGGGTCGTGGACAATTTCACAATCACATATGACCTCAAACGACTTGAAAAATATCCTAAAAGAAAACAAAAAGCATAAAAGATTTTAACAAACAACAGTTGTTTTGCCAATAATTTTTATATCCATCCATTTGATTAAGTAATATAAAAAGATGCACTGTCAAACATTGCTGAAAGGTCGACCATGATTGTCAGGGCGTTGTGCGTTAGCTTAGTGCCACCATTGGTAAATGGCATGTACAACCCAAAATCAGCTCAAAATTGGACTACTTATCTTCTATATACAGCTTCGATTTGACTTTCAAACAACCTCCATAGTCCATACCTTAATATGGTTATGAGTTTTTTTTTTCTTCTTATTTTTCCATTTTGGCAGCTGGCCACCATTTTGACAGGTAGATTTTACTTGTAAAATATATCAACCTGTTAGTAATGGAATTACAAATTGGCACTTCTTAATTTAAACTGTTCATATTTAACAGTAAGTTTTACAGCCAATAAAACTTGAAAAGTCGCAGGAACTTGATCCAGCTTTTATTAATAGTATTAACGTGCCTTGTTCAAAGTGATTACGTATAACTAAGAGGATAAAGTGTTGATTTTTCGTTCTTAGAAAAATGGAAACAAAATTAAGTTATGCATTTTCCTCTTATCGGATGAATACACGATTCTAGTAAATTATTTCCCTTCCTTCAATCCTTATCCTTTGTTTGATTCAAATTGCAACACTTTGTTTCAAAGTAATCTCCACAAGCATAAGCAGAAGGAAAGCACAAGCAATATTTATCTGTACAGAAACCAGGAATCAACAGATTCCCATTAGGCCAAATGCCAATTTGAGATTCTCCAGATTTTATCATTCTATATTTGCACAATCCATATATGAGAAGTAAGAAAAAAAAGAAAGAACAGGGAGTTACAAAGAACAAAACAAAAAAATATCTATCAATTTGCGCTGACCATGGAATTCAATCGGAGGGGCCGAGGTGGATTCATTGTTCTTCTCTTCCATAAGTTAATTTCTTTCCTTGGCTGCAAAGGCACGCCTCCACCAACCGTCATTGGGGCCGAGAAAGGAATGATCACTTCTTCCTCTTCAAAATCACTATCTACTCTCTCTTCATCAGAGTAATAATCCCTCTGATCAGCATCCATGGGTGCAATCTGAGACATCCAGTCAAAACTGGCAAAAGCATTACGCCCACTTGCAAACCGCTTCATTTGGCCCAAAGAAGGCGCTCTATCAGGCAACTCAGTCTTATTACTAGATGCAACAGATTTCTTTGCTGGTTTTGCCATGCTAAAGATTCGCCTTAACTTTGATGCATGCTTCTTTACTTCTCCAGAAGAAGAAGATTCAGAGACAGGCTTGGACACTTTAGGAGGCGAAACACGCTTAGCTTTTTTGATGCTTTTCTTGTGCTTGATCTGTCCCATGCATGACACTTTCGGTGAAGTTGGTTCCTGAGTTTCAAAGGTTTCAGTCTTGGACTTTCTTCGGGCTTCACGAGGAATTATCGAAATGATCGGACCAGAGAATCCTTTGCCTGCATAACCTTTATGCTTGCCTGTATGATTGTCCGGTCTCTTGTCTCGGCCAGGGCTGAAAGGAGGGTTTTGAAAGGTGACACTGATAGCCGAAGCTGCTTTTGGCAAAAATTTCAAGATATTGTTCTTGGGTTTAGCCTGTTTCTCCATTGTCTGTAAACACTTCAAAACTCCTTTCTTTTGACACTCTTTTTATAAGTAATGAATAAGATAAAGTCAGAATTTTTCTAATGAAATGTGAGGTTTTTATTTTGACGAAATCAGACAGGGAAAGGTTCGGTCAAAGCAGTTTTGAGACTGAGCAAAACATGTTTGCCCATCAGAATTTTAATAATACAGCTTGCTTTGGTGACGCAACAAATTTAATTTGCTATAAACATGGGAAATTAATTAATTAATTAACTAATAAGCAAAGTGATTTAAATAAATTGCCAAACCTTTCGCTCTGTCGGTTTTTGACTTGTCAAGCTTTGATCTACTCATCAGATTGTGTACGAGTGTGGCTTATAAAGGAATATTATATGCAAAAATGGCAGATAGGAAGAGAAATTAACTAATGTAATTAAGTTTGGCAACTGTCAATGGCACTAAACATAATTACATTAGAAATGGAGTAAATTCATTGGAGGTTGGAAATGTGTCTACCTTCTTATTAAAGTATTTACTCCATTTTTGGTAGGTGATTTTTTTTTCTTTTACAAAGCTTACCAAAATCTAAGGGATTCTTGAGAATTTTTCCTCTTAAAAAAGATGAATAAATAGTTTTAAATGATTTCCAGCCTCATTTTTTATGGTTAATACCAAAAAGGATAAATTATTCCTCAATTGTAACTTAATTTGTTAGTGTGCTCCATAGTTGACATTGAAACCTTTTAAAATTTAAATGTAACAATAACATGCTTGGTGGGAAAATAAAAATAAATTTCTATTTGAATTTTAAAAATTATTTTATTTGTTGGTTTTTATTCTTATGATTAGGGACGGCAATCCAATTTGTCTCTGACGGGTTTCGACCCGACCCAATCTTATGAGGTCAGTTTTTTTTTTTTTTAAATTCGAATTTCGTGTCGGGTTCAGGTTTTAGGCAAACCCGACCAAATATTATATAAAAAAAAATATTAATTAATTTTTTAATTATATATATTTATATAATGATATTTTTAAATATTTATATTTAAAAAATAATATTTTATTAATTTCGAGTCAGATCGAATCGGATACGATTTATATAGTATCGGATCAAGTATGAAAAAATAAAAAAATTTTCGGATAAAATCTAATTCGAGTTATTAAAGCATTAAGTCGGGTCAGATTTGAAGTGAGCAAAACCCGTCCTGAACCTAACCCGATGTCAACTCTACTTATGATGTTATTTGTCTTAGTGGGTTGGGTACACCCAAAAACAAAGAAAAAAAACCTCAAAAATCAATTTGTCGGCTTCTTTTTATAATACTATAGTGAAAATTATCTTTAGGTCTAAGATAGCGATGATTACGATTTCTAATAATACCATTACCACCACCCAATCTATAAGATTAGTATGGAATTAGTTGGTCTTGCCGCAATAAATTCTGAAGGATATAAATTTTCAGAGTTTATATTTGAAATGGTCCACAAAGTTGAAAACTATGCTGCTATTATTATAAATTGAGAAATTTTCAGCTTTTCAAGAAAGATCAAAATTGGAGGGTTTATTATTATTATTATTATTATTGTTTTGTTGTTGAAGTCAAAGATGTACTTCGTGTATATGTATGTCAAATGACTTACCCTGATTTGCAGAAGAAACAGACGGAAGAATTTGTTCGTGAAAAGATTATGAGGCTGTTGTTCACCGGTTTATGGTTGTAAAAATACAATATATCTTTGATATTTACGTGAAAGACAAAGAAACATAACAAATTCAACTCATTTAAGCAAGTTGCACTCGAAGCAATCGCTATCACCTATTATAGGGCTAGCTTGGACCGATCTGGATTTTTCATATAGCTGATGGCCATGAATGTTTCACTTCGCTATAGCCCACAGCCCATGAATTGGTGGACGAGCCCGTTGTTTTTACGAAAGGAATGCAAAGCCTTGTTTTTTAATTTTTTTCTTTTCTTATTGTCATTAGTCATCGTCTCAACGCCGTTTCACGGCTAGCGACAGAACCATTGGGCATTTTCGCTATAGTTTTTCACAAGTTTGGGGCTTTTGTTGTTGGATTGATTGTTGCTTTCAGCTCTTAGCATTCACTTCCTCTCTCTCTTTGTTTCGTGGTAAGTTTATATTCTTTGCTTTGTAATCAAATCCAATTACTTTCTTAGTTGGAAATGAACCTCCGAGATTGATCTTTCTGACTTCTGGTGATTTACCCATTAATTTGTACGAGAGAAGTCTCATTTGGTGCCAAGTTTTTTTATTTTTGGTAGTGGCTAAACCTTGTTCTACCCATTTTGAAGCAAATGTTGATTATAATCGGTTATGTAAATGAGTTTCATTTGGGCTTAAAATTTGAACAAATTTGTGACAAAGGAAGCTTTTTTTTTTTTTTTCGGAAAGGAAGGGAATCAGTTATGATTCTCTCCTTGGACTTGCAGGACTTCCTGCTTCGTGCTCGAGTGCTGAAGCTCTACAGACAAGCTCTACGGACTGCTCGAAGAGCCCCTGACCTTTCTAGAGGTGAAGCTTCTTTGCTAAATATTATAATCTCTAAATGCTGCCAAGAAAAGGTTTTAAGAACTTGACAAACAAGAAACACCTATTCTTCGAGCTGAAATCTTGATGTATCTTCATTGCTTTGTTGTTGTTTCTACTGCCATTTTGTTATCAGTTCCTTGTAGATTTGGTTCATCTTGTTTGCTATGAGTATGTGCTTTGAACATTAATTTGACTTGCATTGCCTGAAAAGAAGTGGTTTTGCAGCTGAATTGAAACAGGTGATTAGACAAGAGATGGAGAGTAATCGAGATTGTAAGGATAAACAAAGGATCCGCTTCTTGATTGGTGAAGGAACTGAGAGATTGAAAGGTCTTACCGAGATGCTTGATATGCAGGGACATTGATAGTGGAATGAAGCTTTATTTGGAATCTTGAAAGGATAATTAGCAGATAAACGAGGCTAGACTTCATATTCGAGATGTTATCAAATTTCCTAATTTTAATTTTAGTTTATCGATAATGCAAACCAGACGCTAAAAGAATTGTTTGTTTTCCCTGAAAAGCTATCAGTAGTTAGTTGTAATAAAAACTACTGCTTCAGAAATTAAAAAGTTTGTAGTGCTATATAAGTGCTTTTGTGGTGCAATTGTCAATTATTTCAGTTTATTCTTAAATCTTGCCAACGCCTGGTTTCAATTAGCAAGTAGCAATCCAATGTAGCCTGCCAAATTTGAGAGATTAATAAAAGAATTCTCAAGAATCGTTATGCCAACCTTACGGACGGTGGTGTAAGTGTATGCCACAGATCGTATTGTTTTCTATGAATTACAAACAGGTAGTACCTGTATTAAAACTTGATGCAAAGGAAGTAATACAAATATGATCATCAGAGAGTAAAGATCATCCATAAACAAATAAATAAATTGCTCCAATAGATTAGTCCAGCAAATAGAGTTGGAAACTGTAACCAAAATTTGAAGGAAATTTGATCATCCGTAAACCACGGATGCTTATTGTCCAACACAAAAAGGGTGAAGAACTGAAGATAAAACAGTACATCCTAACTCTCCAATGTACAAACTTATGACGGTACTCATTGAATATGAGACTTGAAGCATTTAATTAATTGATAACATGAAAAAGTTGAGCTAATAAACATCACAGATACAACAGCAAGAAGCAACTTTTACAGAGGACGCGTTACAAATCCCCTATCAACCATCTTCTCTACTAGTTCCTCATGTTTCTTTAACTGCTCAGCTTTTCTCAGCTGGTTCAGCACCATCTCATAAAGAGGCATACTGGGTTTAAAGCATTTTTCCTCAATCATCTCTTTAAAGAACTTGTAAGCATTGTTCCAATGCCCAATCTCGCAATACATTGTGACCAGAATCCGGTAAGTATTCACATTAGGCTCAACCTCATTCTCATCCATCTCCTTCTTCAACTTGAGAACCATATCAGTAGATTTAACACTGGCAAACATTCGCATCAAAACATTATAAGTAACAGTATTAGGCATACATTTCAAATCCTTCATCTTAGCATACATACGATGAGCAGCATTCACATCCCGTGACTTCTCAATAAACCTAAATATGGTATTGAAAGTAGACGGATTTGGAATACACCCTTTGTTAACCATCAAATTAAGTATCTTAACTGCATCATCAAGATTGTCATCCTTACAATGACTCTCTATAAGAAAATTATAAGTAACCGTATCCGCGGCACAACCAAGCCTTTTCATCTGATTATAAACCTGTAAAACCTTCTCCGTCCGACCAGCCTTGACATGAACCCTCATCAAATTATTAAAAGTAATCGAATTCGGCTTACATCCAACATCAATCATCTCTGCAAAAACATCATGAGCACGCGTAATTTGGCCACATCTACACAATGCATCAATAACAACAGTATAACTATACACATTAGGCTTAATCCCTGCCATTTTCATTTCTCTAAATACCCTCTCGGCCTCCGAAATTTTATAGGCACGACACCAGCCGTTAATCAAGCTAGTGTATAGAATCACATCAGGTTCAAACTTGTCCTTCAATTTATCGAAAAAGGCTTGAGCTTCATTGGCCCTTCTTTTCCTACATAAACTACTAATCACAATTGAAAATGCAATCTTATCAGGAACGCACCCGTAATCCTCCATACGATTAAACGCGTGCACCGCCTCCGCAGCCAATCCTGCCCTCACGTAGCGCCTGATTAGAATCGAGAATGTTTCGATTGAGACGTCGATGTTTTTGGCTTTCATCTGATCGATCAAATGCCAAGCCAAGTCGAAATGCCTCAACTTTCCAGCAAGGTCGATAATTTCGTGGTAAGGGTCGGGGGAGGGAGCGAAATCGGGGCGGGTGGTGACCCAGTTGAAGAAGGATAGGGTTTGGAGGAAAGGTATGCCGTGGCGGACCCGACCGCATCTGTCAATGACATGGCGGACGAAGGAAGGGGAGATGGAGTGGACGGTGGAGATTTTGGAGAAGCCGAGGGAAAGAGATGAGATGGTGAAGTTAGGGGCTGGTGGGGCCGAGTTTGGGTCTGGGTTTGGGTTTTTGCGGTGATGGTCTTTGATTAAGGAATGGAACTTTTCGGCGACCTCGGCTTCTTCGGGTGAAAGGGCGGCGGTTTGGGGTTTTTCAACAGTATCAGCTTCATCGGCTTCAACTTCCTCGAGCGAAGTTGGCGTTGAGGAAGAGTAAAGCTCGAAGAAGCGTTGAAAGAAAGGAGAGAGAGAGGAGGGAAGACGTAGCTTTGATTTGGTTAAAGCCATGAAAATTCTTTTTGCCGTTTAAAAGAGTTGAAAACAGAGAGGAAAAGCAGATACAGGTTACAGCGTGTTGCGGCAGCCTAAAGTAAACGAACGTTTTGTAGGGATTTAGAGGTTGTAAAGATAGGACGTCGTTTACTATTTGGTCCATTGGCTATGGGCTTTTCTACCCAATAATACCTTATACTTTTGAGCTTTCTAGGAATTAAGCCCCAAGTCCACTAGTCCATCTTGGTGCTTAATTATATTTCTCTAATTTCGGGTACCCTTACTTCTGTGAAACTATTTTTGGGCAAAGGTAAGCCCAATAGAAATAATCCTAGCCCATTATTAATGGGCTTTTCAGAAAGACTGCTTTGTATACCAGACTTGTCGATTGTATTATGTTCGACTGATTCTTGAATTAAATTAAGATTGTGAATAAAAAAAATTAATGCAATGTTTTACAATTATCCACTGTTTTAAAAATTAAAAATTAATGAAATAGTTTAAAAATTAATAACATCGATTATCCACTGGTTTAAAATTCATGATTAAAAACATGATTAAAATTCATGAATAAAAATAATATAAATTATTTTTGCATGGTTTACTCTATACACATAACAAGAGTATACCATGGATTTTCAATGGTGGAAAAAAAATAATTAATGACTTCAGCTTTTCCTTTTTTTTATTATATTAAAAATATATCCTATTTAAATTTTTTATATTTTTAAATCAAATACAATGATATGCTAATTGTTTTCAATTTATTTTAAAACAAAATAAAATAAGTTGAGGACGAATAGTTCATTTTCAATGATGGTTAATGCGAAACATTGTACACAATATTGTGTTGATTTTTAAATTTAAAAATTTTAAACAAATTAACCACAATAAATAATGTTAGAAACATAAATATCATTTAAATTGATTGCAAAAAAAAAAAAAAAAACTGAAAAAATTAACAAATAAATTATCTTCCTAAATGCCATAAAATAAAACGGATCGATCATTGAAAAATAAAATAAAATGACAAGCCCATGGGCCTGAAACAAAGAGACCGACCCAATTTCCAACATTTTACTTATTGTCTTCCGACATCCTAATTTTTTTTTTAAAAAAAAGAACATTTGAGGCAGAAGAGGAAGGAGAGAATGATGGCTTACATGCGAAACTGTCGAAATTTAATGATCCGTTTAAAGCTTGCTGCAGGAAACGATGTCGTTTGCATCCAGCGTTTCTTGCACGACGGTCCAGACACCGTGGAAGAGCTTCTTGATAGACATGTGGTGAAGAAGGAGAAATCTTTAGATGATGGGGAAGATGAGTTGCTGGCTCGGCAGCGACTCACCAGCAATCGGCGAGAGGCGCTGAGTCTCTACCGCGACATCCTCCGGGCGACCCGATTCTTTATGTGGCCCGATTCACGGGGCATTCTGTGGAGGGATATATTGAGAGAGAACGCGAGGAAGGAGTTCGATGCAGCTCGGTTCGAGAAGGATCCGGAAATTGTGACCCGATTGCTTATCGGTGGGCGTGATGCAGTGCAATCAGCATTGGAGAAGCTTGCGGAGAAGCAGAGGCAGCAGATTGAGAAGGAGCGGAGTGGTGCAGATAGACGGTGATTTTTATTTATTTTCCTCCAACCGGAAATGACCTTAAAAAAAATTTTCAATGGAAATGAACTTCTAGAAAAAAAAAATTCAGTTGTTTGATAAATTCAATAGTTGATGTTTTTCTGTGTTTGGTATTCAAGAAAAAATTATAAAAATTTCTGTAACTTCAGATTTAAAAGTTCACAATCCAGATTATATTTTTTTTAACTCAAAAAATCTGAAACTAATCCAAAAAAGAGCAAATTAGAGCAGATTTTTTTGGTTTTGGGTGCGTTGAAGAACCACCCAGAACTTGTTCTTCACTATTCTCCTTTGGTTCTACGTTTGCCACAGCTGCCTAGACACCCAAGCAAGGAACTTACCAATTCAACGACAGCTGCCCATCAAAACCCATGTACTTTGCAATCAATAGCCTTATCTACGATGTCATCTGTAACGCAGCTCTTACAACGGTGAACAAGAATGATGTTGTCTCCATCTCGATAGACTACTCTTCGCAAAGGAGACGGGTGTCAAGAAATTCGAGGGAGGAAGGTGTGGTTGGCTGCTTGTTGGAAGGAGAGGAAGCTGGGGGTTCTGTTGATCGTTCCATTGTAAGTCATCCAAACATTGAAAAATGAAGAAATAGATTTTAGGAAATTATTTTCGTATTTACCAAACGGAACCTTAATTATAAGAATTTGATTTTGTTTGTAATCTACATGTTATGTTTTGCTTTTATAATGAATAGAACGTAGCGTTCTTCTTGTTCAATTGAAAATTAGTCGTATGAATTCGGAAATCGAGAACAAATGTTTGGTTGATGAGAAAATGGAAAAAGGGGAAATGAAACTTTGATATTTCGCCGGTTTTGTTAGATCTATGGGTTTAAAATATATGGTTATTTTGACATTGAAGCAGCTGACATAAACCAGGGACAGTTTTTAAGGACAGTAACAAAGGATTTGGAATGTATATATCAAAACACAACACAAAAAAACAACAATGTCATAGATTGCAACCTTCAATGTTTACCAATTCCTATATTTCTCCTCACACCAAAATATAAATAGCATGGAAAATGACAACAAAAAAAAAAAAAAAGAAATATCCCACTCGCTACACAAGATTTAACAGTCAAACAGTAACAATAATGGTGACTTGGGCAAAAAACCTACCAAGCACCATTGAATAAATCTAAAAGTATATTATGAACAAAATATGATGGACTTGAAGGGTCATAAGCTGTGTTAGGTGCTTCAAAAACTGCACCATTTTGCTCCCGATTTCCACTCAGTTTCAAACATCTGTTACTGTCTTTGTAACAAGCCCAGACACAAATCAATCTTTTGCACTCATGCACTTCTAAGACAGATCCTCCATGTAAGAACTCATGACTTGATAACTTTATACCCCATATTTTGATAATTTTTCTTTCACTTGCGGTTCCAATGCGGAAAAACACTGTTCCCATGCTCCATCTTTGAGAATCTGTACATATATGTTGTTCACCAGTTTGTAACATATGATCTCCAACATCTTAAATTTTGAATTAGAGGCACAAAGAGAAATGAAAATACCTGCTTATACCCAAGCAATACCTGGCAGACCTCGTTGTGTAATTCCTCGCTCCTTATTACCTAAGAGATGGACAATAGTAAACTCGGAGAAAAAAAGGTGCATCAAACATTCAAAAGTTAAATTGTTGGTTACTAATATTACATGCCAACTTGCAATTGCTCTGCATAGATAGCTCAGTGAATTTAAAGCCCCGGATGGATTTGTTCTAACCTGAAATTATTTGAAAAAATCTTCTTTAAAATTAATTCCTAACATAATTCACTAAGAAAGATTTTGAAAGAAGTCGCATACAATTGCACAGAGACCATGAAAGGCATCTTCCTTCTCTATATCATCGCGTATCCTGCCAGGAATTTATAATTCATCACTACCTTTCTTAAGAGTGAAGCAGCAACCATAGGGTGAATGCAGAATGGCAATTTCATGCTCAATGACTGAAATTTTGAGGAATTGAGATGAAAATTCTGACAGTAACGAAGGAAAACGTAATTCAATTATCTATATTTCCTCATCCTGGCATGAATAGATCCAGCTCCACCTTTTCAGCAAGTTTAAGTTACAAGATTGATTCAAGGACTGGATTATTTAAACTGCCTATTACATCAATTAATATGCATGTATGTCTGAACATGTTCATTGAATGCATAGAGTACATGATTTTGTTTTTTCCATTTTAGATACACAATTCTTGCAGTATGAATATACAGATTCTATACTATGGCAAGTTAGTAATGAGCAACTCATAATAAAACTTATTTTACTTCTCAAAAGATCAATTGCTTGTTCTGAATGAGAGTTGTTAAAAGAACTGAGTTTGTGCGTGAATTGGAAAGCGTAAGGGAAAGGAGGATATCTCCTTGGCGACAAGACACGTTACTATTCATTTTGAAATGGTTGTGGTTGATCCCAAATTTTCACGGTAAAAGAATAGCTAGGATGCAGGCTACCATGCATTATTAAACCAACAGCTCTTATAGTGGCAATTGAGAAGCAAGAGTACTTTACATGGATAAAGCATTGCACCATTCTTGCATGAAATGCTCCATATGAGGTGAAACAATCTCTGGACAGACCCAAGCAAGCCTACCCAGAGTGATAGCACTATTTTCTACAAGTGATCTGTTGACACCCTGCCCAACAGCAATATGTAAATCTATATTTTAGAAAGGAAAAAGGAAAAAATGACAGAAATTAGAAACTTCGAATAATACAGTTCACTAGTACCTCTGCATGTTGGAGAATTGGGAATATGCTTAAGACTACAGTCATGACAATTGGAGAAACTTCCTGACGGACCTGTTAAGTGCGAAAGATGTAATCACACTCATTCAAGCATCATTAACACAGCTTTTATGTCCAACCATCAGAGCCATTGAGTGCTTACTAGCAAAAAGATCAAGATGCAGTTAAAAATTTTGCAGATTCTAATCCTCTCACAGAATCTAGTTACATGCTACTCTCTCAATTATGGCTCCACCAAGAAAAAAAAAAGGTGAACCCCTCTGTATATGGAGTGAACATACAGTAAAAATCTAGATTAAAAACCCGACTCAATGTAACTCTTATTTGCCCCCTTTTATTTTGAACACAAATTTACACTATCAACTGGTTTATTAAAATAGTACTCTCCCAACCAAGCATCCTTCCTATGGGAATAATTTTGATAAAAGAAAAGATAATCCAAGCATCTATCAATGGAAACAAATTTACTACACCGAACAGTTGGAAAAAAAAAATCTATCAAAAAATTCTTCTCGTGAAAGATGGCCTTTATACCAAGAGCACTTGGGCACCAATACTTTTATCCAATTTTACACGATAAAAATCCCAGCTCATTAGTGATAAAAGAGTATATATATAAATTATAAAGATAGGAAACCAACCTTAACTGCTAATTCTCCGATTGCCCAACAAGCATTGTTAGCCACTGAAATGGATTCGCTTAGCTTAGGAGTGCTCTGCATAAACCAGAAAATATGTAAGGCTGGCACTGCTCAACAATATATTTCACTGTTGTATAGTAGGCTTCACCTTACCATTTGTTTGGCTGCAACACTAAGAAACTCAGATAGACAAGGATGCAAATATGCTGGACACACCTGTATATAAAGCACAGTTATTGTTACACTCTACAAACATACCCGAATAAAAGCATATCTAATAATATATAAAGGAATTTGTGAGGGATGAAATATAAACTCACTCTTGCAAGATCGCCAAGAAGGGCAAGAGCACTTTGTCGAACATCAATAGTTTCATCCATACAACATTGCAGAAGTTGGTCCCTCAAATTGGTCTGGGAAACCTGTAAAAGCGATTGAAGCCCATATGTGCTGAGTTGAATTGGCTTGACCAAATAACAATCATAAGGCACTTAAAGGCAATATTTTGTATGAATCAGAAACTAGTGGCATTGCAATTGAAATATTGTTTGTTAGTAGTATATTAACAATGAAATGACAGATTTTTTTTTAATTAAGACTGCAACATTCTCCTGAATTAATTTTCAAAATGTCATCAAAATGACAAGCTTAAGATTGAAACAGATGCCATCAACAAATACCAGATGAATGCACAGGTAAAAATAAAATATAAAATATTTATCAAGGTCGATACCAAACTTTCGATGCCACTACCAAGACCTTCTGCAAGCCCTGAAAGCAAGTCCAAAGAGCAGACAATGAACTCTTTCTCATATTGCACTCCAGCAGAAGAGCGATTGACCTGCAAATTAAGCATCAATCTTAATCATGATTTAAAGAAAGTTTAAAGTTAAGCACATGATAAAAGAAATATAAACTGAAAGGTGATAGGACAGCTAAATCAAAATATGAACCTTTGCCAATTGTTGTGATTGGATAATGTTTATGCACCTTTGGAAAACTGGTTGAGCAAATTGGGAAAATCCATTTCCCAGTGCCTGAAAAGGGCAAATCATAAAAATAGGGTGGGTATTAGTAAGGCTCCTATCGCACTCAATATTTGTCTGAAACTCAAAATCTTTGGACAAAGTGTGAGAGAGAACTGGATGGAAGGTGAGAAGGAGAAAACATCATTTATAGTGAAATTGATTTTCCAAAATGATTTCTAGGGTTAAAAATAAACTAGTTCATCCTCCCCCATTCTTTGGTAATCAGTCATTATCGGTGCTAGCCATACACAACCACCATACCTTAACATGTTCATTTTCAACTCACATATTTCAATCTTACGAATTAATCGCAGATCACTCGTGTATAATTAGAAACAAAATCAGGATAGGAGAATGTAACTTTGTCATATGAGCATGTTAGAAAGGAAAATACAAATACCTTTTCTTTTTTGGCTTCATATAAACTGATACATGGATATTGTTGGATGGATAATAAGTTTTTTAAATACTGCTAAGTGTGGCTCTACAGTTAAACTCTCTATGTATACCATACCTGTGCTATAGATGTAAAGCACTCTAGTAGGGGGAAAAGGTCTTTGTCTGCATCAGAAAGCTGCTCCCACTTAGCAATCAATGGAGGCATCAAAATCTGTAGATACCTGGGCTGCAATATAAAGAAGAAAGTTAGAAGCAATTTTAGCTGATCACAAGACCTAAGTTTTCGGCTACTTTCCAAACTAAAAGGGAGATAAACAACCCAAAATAGATATGAACAAGCCATGCAAACATTAGATACCTGATTCAGCTCCCCTCCAACAGCCTCTGCTAAGGTACCAATGGCATCATAAACAATTCGAAGGTTTCTTTTCTAAAAATAGTTATAGAAAGAGCTATTATTATAAGACAAAATTGTAAGATATATATATGCTCTTATTGGTACAACTAATAGCTCTGCTGGAGACTAAATTTATATGCAACAGAACAAAAACCTGATATCTTCCATAAGCACATAAAAGGTGCTGAAGGATGATTTCCAAGTGAGGTGCCAACTCCTCAGCAGCCTCCTGTAGAAATTATTAATTCTTGAGTGCTGAGTATTTATGAAGTAGAAATGTCATTGAGTAATAGACATTACAGGACAAACCTCCTCAAGTGTAGCCAAAGCTGAACATGCAGCCTCTTGCACTCGCTTGTTGGTGTCTAAAATTCTACATAAAAGACCCATAAGGATTTTGTTGAATTGCTCATAGCCTTTTGGATGGCCAATACCCTGAAATGAAGTATTTAAATTTCAACCTACACTTTATTATTTCTATTGCTTGATTTGATAAGGTAACATTTACTTTAAAACTGGAGGACATGAAAACATCTATGGAGCATGGGGAAAGAGAGATGGGATTTGGGTGTTAAAAGGAAAATCTCATATAACAAAATAGGAAGACAATGCAAGTTAACAAGAACTTCTACCTATTTCCCCCACCTGAATAAGCATATGATGCTTATTCCCTCTAAAGCATTGATGGAAACAATTTTATGAAGTAAAGCATGCAAGAAAACTATCAAAAAAAAAAAAAAAGCTAAGCACTAGGCTGTGCAATTGCATAAAAAGAAATCTGAATACCTGAACAATAAATTTGCTGAAGCGAGAGAGTGTC